TTTCAATATTGTTCATCTGAATATTTCCATCCAAACAACGTTTTTAGTTAATTTTCTGTCTCTAGATGGCAAAACAACTTTTAAAGAGTTTCTTGTTCGTACTCTGGAGAAAGCTACATAGAGCATCCCATGCATGAATACGGGGTTGTTTAACACAACACCAACAGACTGAAAGGTTTGGCCTTGAGACTTATGGATGGTCATAGCAAAAGCTGGTCGAACTGGAAACTGATGTCTTTGCAGCGAACATCCGAGTTGACACTTGCTCGAATCAAGAGTGACTCTTGGAATGTGTACATCTCGACCAGAATGACTGCCAGTAATTATTTTAGCCTTAATAATGTTAGGTTTCTGAGTAACATTATAACGACGTTGTTTTTTAGTCGGAGTTCATGAGGTGGTAAATCTGATATTTCAATTGAGTTTAAAAACTCAGTTGGGAATTTGAGAGCTCCATCAGGTTCATCTTTTACTGAATCAAAACTTTTATAAATTGTTTCTTGTCCAGGGATAATTTGGATGATCTCGTTATTGATATTATCAACATCTCTATTTAAAGGTGCAAGGATGGCTCTATCTCTCATAGCATTGTAATCTCTGTCGGCTAGGCAATCGCCATATATTTGTTCAACAATATTTCCATTTGAAATAATGTCATCGGGAATATTTATTTCACAGTCATTGTTGGTGGGCAAATCTCCATTTCCAAGTTGAAGGAGATATCCAGCAAATGCACTTTCATCGAGATTGACTCTCATGTTTTGATGAAGAGAGAAGAGCTTGAAAAACTTCCAAATACTGCAACGTTTTACAGAAAGGTCGATCAGCTCAGATCGATTTGCTCTAGGCTGGACTGGAAGGCATTGGCGGAAGTCTCCTCCTAGGATCATAGTTTTTCCTCCAAAAGGCAAGTTTCTGTTTCCTAAGCTTCGCAGGAGTCCGTCAATACAACTTAGGCCATATTTTGGTAGCATTGGTGCTTCGTCCATCATAAATACGTCTACTTCTGCCAGTTCTTGGGCCTTCTGAGTGCCTGGCTGAATTGATGATTTAGAATCGCTAGTCAATGGAACTTTTAGACCAAAAGTCCTATGGGTAGTACGTCCTTCAGGTAGCAAGATTGATGCAATGCCGGTATATGCCATGCATTATACATTAAGATACATTAAGAATTAGATGGTAGAGGGTATTGTACACGTATGTCTTCCCTGTACCTCCTGGTCCATCGAGGAAAAAACACTTGGGGATGCAACTCATCGGGTCTTCTATTGCTTCCATAACAGCATCAACAAAGTCTTTTTGTTCGTTATTCAAATTGCTATATTGTCTGCGACCAATGGCTTCTAATTCGCTGACATTGTGGGTTTCTTCATTTCCCTCGTCTTGAAAATTCTGAATGTCATCCATACCATAGTTTTCCACCCAAAATTGGAAGTTTCGGCCTGAAATAAATAATTATTTTGAGTTCACTTTTTACAAAATCATAAGTATTAAAACATGTAGTATAATTTATTTTAGTCTAATGCTTTCTCTTATTTTAATTTGTTATAATATTCATTGCATATTTTTTATTTTTATTTTGCTTCACACTTATATTTAATAAAATTTGAACAATTATACACTCTAATTTTACAATTATCATAAATGACATTAAAAAATATAAACGTTTCACAATGTTAATAAAGTTTATGGTCAAGTAATCTACTAATGAGTCACAATAACAAATGCTAAATATTTAATTTAATAATAAGTTAGCATTTTCAATTCTGTACATAATTAGTATGGGTTAGTTTCTCATATTTTAGAACTTATGTGAAGCCTAAGTCTAGTGCGCTTCCAATGTTAGAATTGAAATTTAAGCCATAGAATCAGTTGATCAAAAGTAATTGTATGTTATTGTTATTGATACTATGAGAAAGAATTACCTTCAGTAGCTTCAGTATTCAGCTTATGGGCAATAATACGGTAAGCCTTCATGAGTGTTGTGATCATTTACTGCATGACTTATATTAGAAGATTCATTACAATAGGGAATGTAGTGAAATTGCACGTGAAATAATAGTTAAGTTGAAATAAATTTAGCAGAAATCTACTACCCAATAAATATAAAAGGAGGTGTATAAGTTAAAGCTAATTAAAGATTATTCCATCCTCTCATTAATTTAACTACCGCACTCGACATTGACAGAAATTGGTTTTTCAGTTATTTTCGGCATGCAAGAGTGTATAAGGGGTTATTTCAGACGTTTTCCATGACGATTAATTAAAATCGAGTTTTCACGAGGATTCAGGATCTTGAATACGATCCCATCTTTAGGTAAAAAAAAAACTGAATACAACAAGATGTGCAAATAAATCCCAACTAAGCTCTGAAAGAGTTCACATAGAACTGTATAGCTAAACAACCACTAAATAATTGTGTTAATAATTGTTATAATGTTTTCGTAATTGTAATGGAATGTGTTAGCAATACTAACAAAGTTGTCTTAAGTAACAACTATTCCCCTTCACCAAAATATAACTTCAAACAAGGATTTGATATTTACTTTTCACATTAGAATTTGCCTAAAATCAATATTTTTACTATTCAAATGTATCCTGGTTATCTAAAGAATGTCTGTTTCCAGAGGCAAAGCAAAATCAGAAAATTATTTTCAGCAACATACTAGGCTTGTAAACTCATAAATGACGTATGTCGGAATCATTTTTTAATCGCCGCGTTTTTCAACGATTACAATGAAAGGCGACATTCAGTATGTCCACTGGAGCAGCGCACCCCGCTCCCCTCGCATCTGGCTTTACACTCTAGAGGAATCAATTTGCGCTCGTGTGTGATAGATCGCTCTCTGTAGCCACTTGTTTTTTCTCTGATTGGATTAATGTGCACATGTGGGCCAACTCCCGCGACCGCGGTTTTTTATCAATAATGGCTCTATTGTCTGAAGCGGATCAGCTGTGTGGACATGTGTCGCTCCGCTCGCTCCGCTCGCTCCCCGCCAACGTCGCAAGTGGTGCGTGGTGCAATAAACACTCAGTCCCTCAGGACAATCCAGTCAATTAATAATATTCTTCTCTCATCAACGACCGAGTTGTTGAATTTTGCCGTTCCTGCAGACGTATATCCCTTGCTAAGTATAATCTTCCATGGGTGTAGGCTGAATTGCGGATATTGATGCTGTCCGCGAAAACTCGTGCTCGAAGAATATTCTCATTTTAATAAAGGATCAAATTTTTACCGTGTTGATTTTTCCTGAACATCGACCAAAGTGCGCGCGTTTTTTATACAGCACAATGTGTATTTCGGTGTCGATTGGTAGCGGGCTGGAAGCGCTCGCTAACATTTGACCCTACACAACATATACGGACCCCACTTCATCAGACATAATAACAGGCCACCTTAATTGCCTCGCTCGAGTTAATTACAATTTGAGCAAAGCTCGGCTGTGAGGCGGGGGCGGGGGCGGGGGCGGGGCGGCACCCACAGACGTATTTATGACAAACATCTCGGTCTGGTGCTTGGCGTTTATGGCACCCCCACCCCCACCCCTGGACAGTAGCCTTCAAAACCTTCTTATCACAATGCTCTTTGTGTTGGGGTATACGATTATTTTAGTATGGGGTTTCAATTATTTGGAAAAAATTTTATGTTAAAATGAGATTAATTTTCACAAAATTAAATCAATATTTCATTAGAATGTCAATTAACATAAGAAGTTTTAGTTGTCAGTGTGAGTGATTTATTATGACATGTACCCAATATTTAAACTCTTAATGATTTAATTTTGTGAACTGCATTTACTGTATACAAACTGCAAACTTTGTTAATACTCATACTCCCGACACTAAATAATGGGTATTAAAAGTCTGATTTGAGTTTGGATGTTTTTTCTTTAGCCTTAATCAGTAAAAAGGTGATTGAAATGATGAGAGCTGTGATACCTTATGCACAAAATAAACAAATTATATTTTAACCCTTACCACTCTCATTGTAAGGGCCTATGCCCTACGCACTAGGTTTAATTTATTATGCAGGTCATTAAGCCTCCCCTTATTTTAACTTCCAATTACATTAATAATAAAAAATAAAACTTCAAAAAAAATATTAATTTTAAATTTTTTTTAGTCTACATGTGATACGATTGCAAATGGCCGACACGAGAGGCGTAAGGGTTAATTGTTGATTTTTCTTTTCATAACATTCTAATTCACTTTCAATGCAACTTAATGTGTTCCTAGTTTAACAGTATAGTGGATTGTGGGAAAATGTTGCTAGTTTTTTATGTTTGTTAATCACCTTCTTTTTTATTATGTATCAAGGTAATGGCAATACCAGTAAAAGTATGCGTTTGTTAGTCTTGTGAGTTGCAACAGTCCAATAAACGTAGTGCCCCCGACTGATGACCCAGCCCCGGGCCCACGAACGCTCGTGATGCCGCGGGCCCGCCCATCGCCCATCGCCCGGACCCGTTCCCAACAATCCAACCACTGTTTTTATTGAGATGTTTATCTGTTTAATCAAATTGAGAGTGTATTGGAGTGTTCCGTGCCGCGCTGCCGATAATACGTGAGATTGTTGCCGCAATCTATTAATCGCTTGCTTTGTGAGGGCAATGAAATGTGTGCCTTACCTGTCTATCGGACGTAATGAGAAAACGCAGCGCGGTCTGTGTCCGGTACCCGGTCTCCGGTGGTCTGGTCAATGTCGTCGTCTGCACTCGAGGTTCCCAGGTCCCGCGCTGTGTGCTGTGTTGTGGCAGTAGTCCGGGCCACTTGAGATCTTGTCAACAGCCCACACTCGTGCTTCTGCCAGACAACCTCTACACTCGTTTTATATACGACTACCGCTACGACTGAACACAACAACACGCAGATAAAACACACGCGTCAATACAGTTCCATGTTATAAAAACAGTTTGATGATTTGTATTACTAACATGGTAATTGCAACTAAAATAAATTATTCTTAAGTTTCATGGTAACATCCACTATTCTTGTTGCAGATTTGAACTACTGCGGGACTCACGAGCCGTGCAAGAACGGAGGCACATGCAAGAACACCGCGCCGGACCAGTACAAGTGTGCGTGCCCTGAGGGGTTCTCCGGCCTCAACTGCGAGGTGGTGGACAACCCTTGTGTGACCGGACCTTGCGCCAACGGTGGAGTCTGCCAGGAGACCGGCAGTACCTTCTACTGTGCCTGCTCCTCTGGCTGGGCCGGGCCTACCTGTCGCACCAGTGAGTCTAGTGTACATCAGCGATGCATGTGTGCTGTGCATGTGAAAGTGTCAATAGTCGCTTGTTGTGGTAGACATACAGTTTAGTTGTTGTTTGTCCCCACTCAAAGTACTTAGGCTTTCCCCGTCTAGGCTAGGCATCGTGGTAGCGGCTCATATCAGACCACGGATAATATGATGCTGAAACACTCACGAAATCATCCCTTCTGTAGAACAGAGGATTTCATCGTTGGTAAGACAGTACTGATGGACTTCCCTCGGATCCCTTCAAAGTGCATCCTGTATTTACCCGCTCATTGTAGTTATACCCGTCTAATCGTGTGTAGTCAAAAACTTTATAAGAAAGGTCCATTCAGAGAACAATACGTATCCTGATTTGACTCTGGAAGTAATTTTCTTACTTCTTTTCAGCCCTTGATGAACATCAAACAGTTAACTAATGAAAATAGGTTTGTAAGTAAATGGGTGAGTCAGTCGAGTCAACAAGCTAGTATCGCATAATATTTAGGAAGACGTTATTATTAAACTTTTCACGAGATGAAGTTTCGACGGAGACGATGCTGATGAAGCAGCAGAGATGAAGAGGAGAGGCGCCCACGCAGACGGAGACAGTTCACTTTAATATGCAAATGCTGCCTATTCAACAAACTCAATGGCACAAACAGTGCTAGGTGATGTATAAATACTCCATTTAGCGTCGGCGTTGTTACATTTTGTGGGAGTGTTTAGTGGATGATGAAGCGGTCCCAACAATTATCCTTTTATAATTACACAACCGCCGCAACGTCCCTCGTAATGCTGTGTCACCGGCCTAGGCTGTCCACTAGTCCACTCCTACATGCCACCTGCATCTAAACTGATCAAACAACTAGCTATACAACAAGTTATCACTGTGTATAGCTTTAAAATAGTCATATTGTGTTACGCAAATTATGTGCAAATTATGTGTTATTCGATTAGTAACCTACTGTAAAATAATATTCATCGCAAAAAGACTTCCGAGTGACTATAAACTAATCTAAGTAGTATGTAACGTGCAATAGGTCTTGACCAATAAAACGCTCTTGGTTATTTTACAAAACTATTACAAGATTACACCAGACAAGCAAAAACAGTTCGGAATTCCAACATCACATAAACTGATTTAAAAGAAGTAATACAAAATAGCATCATCGGGATGCATTTTATAGCCGCGATAAAGCATAGGAGGGACTTTAATCAATTCTGTTTGCCTGGAGATAATTTAACACCCACGTTTTAATTACGGTCGTTAATTAAACGCATGGTTGTCCGGCGAGTTGTGTGAGGTATGATGTACAGGTGTACACACTACACAGCCCTCCCATCCCGTGTCGCAGCACCGGCACGACCCTCAGCATTAATTATATTTGGATTACTCGGAGTGACAATTAAATTGTTATTTGGCGCAGGCTATTAGCCGGACTCACGACCGATCACCCCCCCCCCCCCCCGGCCACAACCCACTGGCGAAGATCTGGAATACACAACCCGCGGGTCATCGTTTGTATCATCAAAATTATTTTTCGATCACGTATTGACCTTTATCTTACGCATTAAAATGTCGATCATCGAAATTGCTTTATATCTTGAACGCGGTTGCGTCCAGCAGACAATGGGTCATTAAGGAAGGTGTAATTATCAACTTAAGTAAAACCGTATCCTCCATTAATTTTGATGTACAGTATGAGAGGTTTTCAGACGTGTTTTTTTACTTGTAGCATTTACACGTTTCATGGACAAAGCCTTGGAGAACAAAATATAGTAATACATAGACTGAGCGAATTGATTTAAAAACTGACTAATGTTAGCCAAGTATGCCATAGGCTTGAAAACAAAGACTCCTGATTTTTTGTGTTAATTTTTCATGTCGTTTGAGTTTTAAAATGAATAGACGTACAACTTAAGATGTAGTTCGTCTTACGTTCGTTTAGAACTTACAGCGCTAAAAACTGCGGGTGCTCATACTGCGATAACTTTTGGCAGCTGGAAAAGAGGTTTGAAATGGTTTTTTTCTTGTGTAGTTTCACTTATTAAAAATTGTACAAATTAACAATAATTGCTTATGGATTGCTCTTTCAAACATTAAAAATCTATTGACTCTTATAACTATTCTTTTATTCATAGAACTTTTGCAGATTTCAAAATCTGAAAACTCGCTCTTCTGAATCCTGTCAATCTATCAGAAACATTAGATCTCTATTTCGTCTAAGGCTCAGGCATTTACTAATGCACCAGCCACTCTGTTAGATGGGCTATAATTCATTTACGCTAAAATTAATAGAATATACCGGCGCCTGTCAACCGGCGGCTCCATGGAGGAGTAAATCATGTGGTAAATCGTGGCAACAATCGACAATAACAGCGACGCGACGCGGGCATAAACGTCACCAGGAGACCCGCACTGCACCTGGCGTGTAGTACACTGGTTCGCTAAATGACTGACCTCAGCGAGGAATATGTTTAATAAACCCTAAGATATAACTAACGCTATCTCAGGAGGACCCCGCCTAGTGATTGATTGAGTCTGTGACGCAACATTCGCGTCGGTAGGCTTAGCTGTGTGTGGGAGAGAGCAGAGCGCAGGAATGTCGAACCACCACCGAGTCATAACTCGTTAAATTCAATTACTGAATAATGGTACCTTACTCGTACTAAGCCGGTCTGTATTTTTTCTGGGAACAATAGTGTTAAGGTAGCGAGGCAGGAGGGGAACCCCGCCTCCGCTCCCCTCCTCCGGAATCCAATTAATTTAAACCTCAGTGAAAATAACAGGGTTTGCTCCTCGGCGGCCTCTACGGTCGCCAATTATGTTTTATTAGGCCTATTTCTCTAGGAAATTACACTAGGCCGGTCGTGACAGACGGTCTACTGGTTGCGATCATTGCCGAAGATTGCCGCTCATTGACGGAGATCGCCGATCGTTGCAGAGCCCTTAAAACATCGCACGTAGTTTCACTGTGAATCTAAAACTATTAGAGGAGATATTTTTTTTAGTCTGGGATTTGGAAAGTTTTTATAACAAGCACTATTCCATCCAAAAGGGCTTCCGAATTATTTTCCAAATAAGAAAAACGTTTACAAGTCCTGACGATTTTTTTCAATTTATGATTAGGGACTTATCTTACATCAAATTGTAAACTTTATATACAGTGATTACTTTTATTATAGGCGGCAAATTACACTAGATATCCATTAATATTTTCCCTCAGATTGAGTCCATCGGCAGTCCCCATTTCGGTTGAACAAATCAACAATAGCTCATTTTTTGCGGGTCTTCAGTTCCCAAACCAGAGGTGACTGGCATACCCCACCTATTATTTCACCCCTCGAAGTTTCAATTAAATTGTTTGATACTGGGGCTACGGTGGTGGTGGTTGTTGATTGTAGATACGTAGCACATGTGTGATTGCCGTTGTTGTAGACGTGGACGAGTGCGCGTCCGCCCCCTGCCAGAACAGTGGAACCTGCGTGGACCTTGTGGACGGCTACCGCTGCGTCTGTCCGCCGAACTGGCACGGGACCGCCTGCCAATACGGTGAGTCACTCCGAAACTATTATTTATGTAAATGTTATTTTTTCTACAATTTTTAGGTACACTTAAAAGGATCGTCTTTTACATTTAGTTTTCTTTATTGTCAGAGAATAGGTTTTTGCAGATTAGAGAAAACTTTAGTGAGTGACAAACCTAAAACAGTTTTAAACTTGTCTTCAGTTCTAATGTTTTCTCATTGAAGTACCTATATCATGTGTGTTTTTCCTGGTGACAGACGTCGACGAGTGTGAGGCAGAGCCATGTATCAACGCATACTCGTGCCAAAACACGGTGGGTGACTATCGCTGCAAGTGCCAGAAGGGATGGTCAGGCAAGGACTGTGACATCAACATCAACGATTGTGTGGGTCAATGTCAACACGGGGCTACATGCATAGATCTGGTCAACGACTACCACTGCGCCTGCCAGCCGGGATACACAGGTAAGACATCCTTCATTTATCATATCACCAACACTGAAGTGTCATTAAAGTACAGTAGTATCTGTTGATGTCCTCAGGTGGTGACTGTCACACAGATATAGATGACTGTGTCAGCAGCCATTGTCTCAACTAAACTGTCAGTCATTGTAATGTGTCAGCATGTTCTACAGTATCTGTTGATGTCCTCAGGTTGAGACTGTCACACAGATATAGATGACTGTGTCAGTAGTCCTTGTCTCAACTAAACTGTCAATCATTGTAATGTGTCAGCATGTTCTACAGTATCTGTTGATGTCCTCAGGTGGTGACTGTCACACAGATATAGATGACTGTGTCAGCAGCCATTGTCTCAACTAAACTCTCAGTCATTGTAATTTGTCAGCATGTTCTACAGTATATGTTCATGTCCTCAGGTCGAGACTGTCACACAGATGTAGATGACTGTGTCAGCAGCCCTTGTCTCAACTAAACTGTCAGTCATTGTAATGTGTCAGCATGTTCTACAGTATCTGTTGATGTCCTCAGGTGGTGACTGTCACACAGATATAGATGACTGTGTCAGCAGCCACTGCCTCAACTAAACTGTCAGTCATTGTAATGTGTCAGCATGTTCTACAGTATCTGTTCATGTCCTCAGGTCGAGATTGTCACACAGACATAGATGACTGTGTCAGCAGCCACTGTCTCAACTAAACTGTCAGTCATTGTAATGTGTCAGCATGTTCTACAGTATCTGTTCATGTCCTCAGGTCGAGATTGTCACACAGATATAGATGACTGTGTCAGCAGCCACTGTCTCAACTAAACTGTCAGTCATTGTAATGTGTCAGCATGTTCTACAGTATCTGTTCATGTCCTCAGGCCGAGATTGTCACACAGACATAGATGACTGTGTCAGCAGCCCTTGTCTCAACGGTGGAGAATGTGTAGACCAAGTCAACGGTTTCCGCTGCATCTGTCCTGTGGGGTTCGCTGGAGACTTATGCGAGGTTTGTATCCTTAACTAAATTACTTTAATCCTGATCTTATGTGTCACTGGTACTGTTTTTATCTGCTAAAACCCATTCTTCTGCAAGAAGTCAAGATCAAGAATCTATTAGATATAAGGATTCATTTTATTTAATAACACCAAAATAAAAAAGGTCAATAACTTAATACTATTTTACTCAGATTCATTGACAACTGAAACCGCAATATTGCTACGTTACACTTGTTTCGTTGTTGATTTAAACTAAAAAGTATCTATGATGTAATATTTTTTATTTAACACAAAACGTGGAGGTTCATTGCAAACCAGATGTCAACTCACCTTTTTCGTCAGTTCTTTTTTTAGAATGTTCTTCAATTTCTTCAGACTTAGCATACCTTTTTATCCTGTTTTATCTATGGCTAAAGTGACTAGAGTAAGTTTGGTGTTTCAGGTGGACCATGACCATTGCAACCCTAACCCTTGTGAGAACGGAGCCAACTGCTTCAACACGCAGCAGGACTACTACTGCCATTGCCCGGAGGACTGGCAAGGCAAGAACTGCAGCACTCCTCGCACTCAGTGTCCCAACCCTCCCTGCCAAGGTACAACTACAACCTACATAGGCAGATAACCATTCTGTTCAATAATTTGATTTAGCCATAACAATAATATCTTTAAAGAAATAGTAAGAACATAATATCATAAAACATCAAAGCAAAATAAAAAAAAAACATATCTATCAAGCAATACTCTTATAATAAGTTTTTTTTTTTTTTTATTTAGCCACAATATTTTGCTATTGTACTATTTTGAAATCAATTATTTTCTCTATTTCAAATATCTATCTTTGTTTAAAAACTGTGATGTTTTTTTGTCATTTTAATAAACCGTAGGTAACGATTTACAACGACAGAAAATAAATCAACAAAATGAAGGCCCTAGAGTGCAACACTGTACCCTTACAGTGCCTACTTATTGTCTGTGGTACTGTACTCGTTAAGATGTATACTGTTTAAGGTCACTTTGTTTTTGCAGTACATGGATGGAACATGTTATTCATCAGATACAGGGGTAAAAGGAAACAAATATTCATGCTAAATATCAAGGGAGGTATCGTTTGAATAAATGTAGGTTTACACGTTTATACCAAATTTAATCAAAATCGGATCATTTTTGCTCAAGTCATCGTGCTAACGGACACATATATAATATATATAAATATATATGTATATGAATTTGAACGGATGGTGTTTTTGGCCTCTAGGGACCTCAAAACGAAAAAGTAAATCGGTCCCGGGTCCAGGTCTTACCATGAGTACTACGGTAATAGCTTATTCCCTATATGGGAAATTTGCTAATATGCTAACTTTAACATTTTAACAGTTGAAACAAGTTCAGAACTGTTTCGCCCATCACACAGTTTGATGCTGGGAGTGCAGAGTGCATAAAGTACTACAGTAGTTACAAGCGCTACAGCAGGTACTTGTAGAGGGACTGAGACTGGACAGTTTATCTATGAGACGGTGTTGAAACGCAACACAGGTGACAAGTGGCTGGTCTAGATCCTGTAATAGCCTCGTGTAGAGGTGTAGTGATTGTAATCTCGACTCTGCCTCCATTTGTTAGCCTCTCAGCAGGGGCTCGTTCACACTACTCCCACTCTGCATAACCTTACGTTTTTAATTAAAAACCTATTAATAAGCTACATGCAGTTTCCGGTTTGAAGAATAGATTAAGCTTTCACTATTCTCTGAGCTTTTGTTTGATATTTATAATAGATACTTTGTAATAATTATATTCTCATTAGTTTTTAAAATTTGAGTGAATAATTTTAATATATACACCTAAATTTTCTTTGTTCACTCTGTGATTTGTTAAGTGGGAGTAATAAGATGCCCCGCCTAGTGCCACCAAGGTATGTTAATAGGTTGACAATGTGGAGTGACCCAGTTGATGCATGTTGCATGTTTTTGTATATTTTTGTCTGTACATCACAGTGCACCCTTTGAAGTAATCATTGTTGTGTTTGATATTTGTGTGATTTTAAACACACCAAGGTTTTCACTTCCAATATTAGTTTGGTTATTGTTACTTTTTTTTACTAAGATATGAATATTATTTAGATTTTAAAACTGTATGTGTATTCTTTAATAGTCTAGTTAGTTCTGTTGTGTGTTGATTAGTAATTACATCAACATATTATACATATAATAATACACACAACTTTTTTAAAATTTAAATGTTCTCCAATTTTCTGGTTGTGTCCTATCTTTCTCATCAGCAATATTTGCAACAACAACATTCTTTAAATTTAATCATCATTGCTAATAGCAAATTTAAAATAATTATAGCTAATTCATATTTAACATCATTCATACTGTTGAAAAAGTTAGATTTATTTAATCAAACAATCTAAACCGGTTAAACAGGTTCTTTAAGCTGATGGACCGAGACATTTGTGCATAAACTTTTACTTAAGGTAACAAAAAACAATCAAATATTACATACTTAACTCCAAGTCCATTAAATGAGGTACTGTTACTAATACCAAGAGTTAAAATTGGATGAGTGAATAATTTTAATGATTTAATAACTTTCATATATTTTGTTGTTCACTCACACACAACAATCTCGACATCACTGCATTCAGTTTCACACGACTCGCCCCTTTGTGTCATCTCCAGGCGACATATTTGAGGTTTTAAGGTTTTCAGATGTTAAGCAAGTAAGAGTGATAAGATGCCTCACTTTATTGATTTTAAGAGATTGGCATTGTAAAGGTATGGAGAAACCTTGTTGATGTTGTTAACATTGCCTACAATGTTAAGATGTCTATATGAGGGATTTCCTATCTTTATGTTGTTAAAATTAATCGTTACAAATCCATTTCACTGATTAGCTGTGTTGTACCAATTACATTATTATTGGACCAACTTTAAGAGGTTGGAATTACAAAGGGACTTAAATTACAAAAATAAATTATTGCAGTTTTTATTGATTCCCAAAACTGTCTGATATCTTGTTCAGATGAATTACAACAACTAACTGACTGTGTAGCTGTATTGTACCATCAGCTGTTTAGCTCCTTGTACTGTCCAATAATATTATCCCATGTGTTGTCTTGTTCTGACCACCTATTGTTTGTTACAGTTATTGATAGCTGTGTGATGGGTACTGCCAGTCCAAATGCCAACAACTCTCTTGTGTTGATCCCTTCTGGAGTTTGTGGAGAGCATGGTCGCTGTGTTAGTCTACCCGGGGGGAACTTCCGCTGCTCCTGTGATCCTGGATACACTGGAAAATACTGCCACGAGAGTAAGTATTAGAAGAAGGGAAAGAATAAGTATTATGATCCATTAGAAGAAATAATCAAATTAAATTTGTGAGGTAATTCCTCCTCACAAAATTAAAAGTAAGCAATTAATGGAACAGTATACTGGTACAGTATTTAAAAACATTCTCTTATAGGTTATGTTCAGTGTTGTTGTATCATTAAAACATAGGTAATTCAGGAAAATCGAAATGGTATTGAAACATTTTCTTTGTTCTTATATTAACACAACTGTTTATCATTTTTGTGTACCAACTGGTATGAAATGTGAGATGAAAAATGTAAATTCCAAAAGAATAATTATACAAATTTTTTTCAAGTTTAATTGTTCCATAGATATTAATGACTGCAAGCTGAACTCTTGTCAGAATGGAGGAACATGTGTAGACAAGATCAACTCATACCAGTGTATCTGTGCTGGAGGCTGGGAAGGCGAGGACTGCACAATCAGTGAGTTATTGAATAATCCTTCAACATTTTTACCTAAAATACTGGGCAAGAGATATCATTTTTACATACAGCTCATCCCAAAACCTTTGGCTCCTAAAACACAAGAATTTAAATTAGTGCAGATTAGTGTAGATAAAATTTAAGGTACAGTAAATTCTTGAGTGAGGGATTTTAAAACAAGATGACTGCATTAAAAAAGTTAAATATGAAAATTAATTGTTGTTTTTCATTATAAAATAAGGAGTATATTTGGAGTATAACTTTGTGACGCCTACAGTAAACCTTCGGCAACTATTTAAACATGTCATCAATAATCACTAATAGTGTTGAATTCAAAGCATTAAATTTAGTATTAATGGACAAGGAGGCGTGAATACTAACACCATGTAACTCCATAACCATTACATTCTGTGTTTTAATTTTAAGTTTAAAAGTCCAAATAGGACTAAAAATTTTGAAAATTTCATATTGATTCTTATTTACTTTTTCAATTAGATCACTTGTATGGTTTCAAAATGACTTTTCTGAAATTAAAAATGTTTATTTAATTCATAAACCAGTACCATTCACTTGTTTAAAACTATTTTAGAAACCAGTAAGGAGATTCCCTCTTAGGGCTACCTTTCTACCACACATCTATTTAACCAGTTGTTGTAGTTGAATCTTTTACATCCCTTTAAGCGGCCACTTTTTAGTAAGCAATTGAGTTAACTTGTTACAGTACATGATGATTAGCTAGAAATTAAACCTAAACTTTATGATGTTTCTCTAAACTTAACAAAACTCTATGTTCCCTTAGATATGCATTTTGAATATTTTCTAATTAATTTTTAGAAGAGCACATAACTTTAATATACATAATGTGCTCTAAATCTAAATCGTTATCTTGGTAGGTGTCCTCTCTCTCGATGAGGATGGAATATAGGGCTACTGAACTCCCAAATCCTAAAGTCATTGTTTAGAGACAATGTTAAATAACATTTTTAAACCTCTAATTTTTTTTCAAAACTATTTTCAGATAAAAATGAGTGTGAACCCAACCCATGTCGGAATAACGGCACATGCATCGATGGAGATGCAGACTTCAGTTGCGAGTGTCACGGTGGATGGAAGGGCAAAACGTGTGGTCTGCGGCACAGCCACTGTGATCGTGGCACTTGTCACAACGGTGGCACCTGCCAGGACCTCGGCCACTCCTACCTGTGTAGATGTCCTCTCGACTGGGAAGGCACCACCTGCCACATACGTAAGTCTCCACAAATATCGCGAACAGAATTGCATAACAACAGAGTACTCTGCAGTATTTTTTACTTTTTGCAGTTTATTGTTTATGATACCATGTTTACACCATATTATATAGATATCTTGTTTTTGTAGCTCAATAATTCAAATTAGTCCAATTATAAGCTTCATTTTGTTGTATGTCGTCATTTCAATTTTTTTAACTTAAATTGTGAGGTCCTATAAAACTCTTAATAATCCAACCCAATAATTTGACCTTTTGCAAACCGTTGTTTAAAAATATAATATGTTTTCTTTTAGCGAATTTCCCATATAGGGAATAAGCTATTACCGTAGAACTCATGGTAAGACCTGGACGCTGGACCGATTTTTTTTTTTTTCATTTTGAGGTCCCTAGAGGCCAAAAACACCATCCGTTCAAATTCATATATACAGGGTGAGTTTTAATTGTCCCCCCCCCCCAACTTTTTTCTACATTTTTTCAAATATCAATCCCAGACCACTTCCACACATTGTTGGGTAGTAAGTACTTCATTTTGACAAGGTAATCATTTCCGGCCGCCATCTTGGATCCGCCATATTGGATGCAAAATTTTTTTTTCAAATGTAAAGGTGGGGTTGTGACCCATTATTTCGAACTACATTTTTACCCTGATTACAATGCCGCAAACCATTTTCAAAAATCTTGGTTCATTCTAAAGTTACGAGGGCTTTTTAAAACATTATTTTTAGCCCATTTTAACATTGTGCATTTACAAACTAAGACCATAATCCCAAAATAGTGCTAGATAATGATAAGTATACACTACTAGTAATTGTCCACCTATTTTCACTTGATTATGACTGATGTATTTTTTTCGGCCGCCATCTTGGATCCGCCATTTTTAAATGTGATAAATTATTTTAAATATGAACGGGGTGTTGTGACCCATCATTTTGAACTACTTTTTTAAGCTAAACTCAATGCCGCAATCCATTTTTTGTTATCAAGTTTATTTATGAAATATTGAAATTTTTTTTGTTAAAAATGTCAATATTTCAAAATCAAAAAATGAAAATGAAAAACGGATTATGGAATTAAGTTCAGCTTAAAAAAGTAGTTCGAAATGATGGGTCACAACACCCCCTTCATATTTAAAATAATTTATCACATTTCAAAATGGCGGATCCAAGATGGCGGCCGAAAAAATACATCAGTCATAACCAAGTGAAAATAGGTGGACAATTACTAGTAGTGTATACTTATCATTATCTAGCACTATTTTGGGATTAGGGTCTTAGTTTGTAAATGCACAATGTTAAAATGGGCTAAAAATAAAGTTTTAAAAAGCCCTCGTAACTTTAGAATGAATCAAGATTTTTAAAAACGGTTTGCGGCATTGTAATTAGGGTAAAAATGTAGTTCGAAATAATGGGTCACAACCTCACCTTTACATTTGAAAAAAAAATTTTGCATCCAATATGGCGGATCCAAGATGGCGGCCGGAAATGAAGACCTTGTCAAAATGAAGTACTTACTACCCAACAATGTTTGGAAGTGGTCTGGGATTGATATTTGAAAAAATGTAGAAAAAAGTTGGGGAGGGGGACAATTAAAACTCACCCTGTATATATATATATATATATATATGTGTGTGTGTCCGTTAGCGCGATAACTCGAGCAAAAATGATCCGATTTTGATGAAATTTGGTACAAACGTGTAAACCTACGTTTATTCAAACGAGTTCGGGATCCAGCATAATCGGACCATGGGAACAGGGGTTTATGGGGGGTTTTATGGGGTAAAAATGTGTTCTTCCCATTTTTTACACTAAAAACAAAAAATTTTGCAATTTTTTTCCAAACCATTTTGTAGAGCTTAAAAAAAGAAATAATTTAGTATATTGAAGCGCTGTTGTATGCCTAAGGTCACGGAGAAAATTCAAAAATAGTTTAATTTAAAATTCCCATGTTATTCTTATGGAGAAAATAAAAATTGTTGTAGTTTACTTGTTTATGGATATATATTGATCAAATTTGGCAAATTTATTTATTTCATCCCATACTATTCACGTATGGTCAAAAAAACACTTTTTACCTTCCCTGTAGCAGCAAACCTAAGCACTTGTTAAATCTAATGTTATTTAAATAGGGAATAAATATGTCTTATTTATGGAAATATTTGAGTAAAAATGTAATCAGACAAGTTGAAATTCGCTTAGTCTGCAGGTTTGCTGCGGCGGGGGTATTTTCATTGACTGATGGTTCTCTAGTTTTTAAAAGCATGTTGCCAATTGTGTAGCACTAAGGGGAAATCTGGTTGAAATAAAAACAAATGTTATGCTTGAGTTGCCTGGAATTACTTTATATTTATTTTTTTTATTAACATAATTTGTTTAACAGTTAATTATATTTGAAAATGTTACAAAAAATAGTCCCAATATTTTCAAGTTTTGTTTATTTTAATAAATTGCAGTTTAAAAGTTTTGGATTATAAATGTCGTATAATTCAGTAATTCGTGTTCTAAAGGTAAAATCACCCTTGTAGCACAAAGCTAGATCCACTAACAGAAACTAAAACTACTAATATTTCAGCGAAAATGCAGTCGTGTAAGTCCAGCCCCTGTTTGAACGGCGCTACATGCATCAACACCGGAGACATGGGTTACTCGTGTGTCTGCAAAGAAGGCTTCGAGGGTCAGCGATGTCAGCGAGACGTCAATGATTGCAACCCCTCACCTTGCTACAACGGAGGCAAATGTGTGGATGGTATCAACTGGTTCAGATGTGACTGTGCACCTGGCTTTGCTGGTCCGGACTGTCGCATCAATGTCAACGAGTGTGCCACCAACCCCTGTGGTACTGGAGCCACCTGTATTGACGGGATTGCATCTTACACCTGTGTCTGCCCTCCTGGGAGAAAAGGGCCCCGTTGTCAGGAAGGTCAGTTGCTTTATATCAACCAGAGTTAAATGTACTCTTTTACAATTCCTGATGTAACTTTTTGTTACCAATTCTGTAAAAGGGTGGCACTGAAACAATTTTTTAACTCATGAAACATAGAATTCAATTGAATTCTTTGAGGCACCCTGCACAATTGCTGATGAGTGCCAGTGTAACATCAATTTATTTTTTTACTGTTAAATAGCACATCAGTAATCATAACTTACACAATCTTAAGTGAAGAAAATGTTCTGTCAGACATAAACCTGTAGCAATGAATGATAATTCATACATTTTATTTTTTTTCCTACTGCAACAATTTAACTTGTAATTTTATGGATATTAATTGCAATAATTCTCTGTAACAACTGCATTATTGTTTTTATGATTGTATTTAAATTTAAATTTACTTATAACAATTAAAATGTTCTTTCATTCTTCAGTTCATTGCGTAATCCATATGCGTCCAAAATCGTTCAATTTTTACAGGACTTCATAATACAATTAATTTACCATAACTCCCCACAGTTACCATATTAGTTTGAATAATCAACTCCCTACTGAACAGTGCACTTTCTCTGGTTTACTTGGTTAACTTGTGAAAAAGAGTTATCTTTCTAACAGTGGATGAAGTGTCACTTCTGCGAGGGGTTTGCTTGTGGAAAGGACAATACTTTGCCAACAACACCAACTGGCCGGATGACTGCAACACGTGTTCCTGTGTGGAAGGCATGGTCCGCTGTACTCGGGTCTGGTGTGGTCTCAAGAACTGCCTTGGCTTTCCAGGAGCAAGCTGTGGAGATAACCAGGTCAGTCAAGTTGTGCATGGTCAGTTAATCCCTTCAGTCAATGTGGTAGAAAGGAAAGAAATTGTATGAGATCATGCTAATTGGTAGTTGTTTTATTATTTCTTTTAAATTTAAGTATGTTTAACAAATAAAATTTGATCATTTTTCCTTAAATTCAAATGCTTTTATGGGTGGATATCAAACTGAGAGAGAATTTATGTCCCAGCAAAAAAACATATAAATAAATAAAAAAAACTATAACTAATTTTTATTTAATTGTTCCATGTACAATTTATGAAAGGATTTGTCATATATTAATATTTAAAACAATATTTGAAAGCCGTTTTTGTCAGGTCACTAACTGTCCCCAAGACGTCATATAGAAACTTGAAGCAGTTTATGAAATTTAAAATATAAAAATAAATAAACATTTATGCTGTACAAACATTGTTGTACAAAAATTATTTTAACAATGAATATCATAGTTTTTGTGGTCCACTGTTGTCACAACGACAATTTCAGCTGTTAGCTGTTACAACGGCACTATAGACCAAGACGGCCATATTCATCAGGTCGCTAATGCTCAGGTCGCTGACTTTATTGCTCTTTATAAACGTTTAACTCAGGTCGCTGATGCTATTGACCTGATGTTATTCCCGATTATTCTTTGTTTCATCACAGATCCAGTAGATTTATATGTAATGTGTGTAATGGGGGGGTTTTACTCTTCTTTGTTTCAAATGAATATACTTTCATACCAGTACTTTGGTGATGACAATGTTATATTTCTACAGATTGCTAACGTTTTTCTAACAACAGTAACATTACTAAATCAAGATAATTTTTACTAAAAGTTGTATTGTCTGAAAATGACTTGCATTTGCAGTAAATATACTCCTTCTTTACTTCGCTGAGCGCCATATTTAAAGCCTAAAAAACGTCTGTTTTGCTAGCGCCGCATCAGGTCACTAACGCCACATCAGATCGCTAACACTCACAAAAATGAATTTTTTTAAATATATTACACTGTTGATGTATTATTTTAAATGGTTTGTTCTCTGCTTGGTGAAAGTAGTTAAAAATTAGAATGACAATTTTTGTACATTAAATATTTCAAATTTTTTATCAAAAACCTGACATTTCAGATTGTTCCCGTTATTAATGTTTTATTTTTACATATAATTTTTTTTTTTTAATTTGAAATATATGATAGATGCATTATTCAGGAAACAAGTTAGATGTTTATAAATATTGTTTTTAATTTTCTATTTCCTATTTTTTTCTACTTTTACTCCTACTTATTTTTTCTACAAAAAATAGAAAAACTTACACTGAAGCTTTGCTATGGTTAGCAATGTAATGTAACACTTAATATTATATATATTGATTTTTTTACAGTAACTTATAAATGAAATTTGGTTTTTTTATTATTTTTAATCAAACTAATTAAAACACCATCATTCTTAAATCAAACTAATGTAAACGTTAATTTTAAAATTATGGTGCTCCTATAAATTGTATGCTCTGGGCCTTAGCCTGTTTGTTTTACTGAGTGTATTTATTTGCTCCCAGGTGTGTGTGCCAGCGCCCAAAGAGGCATGTCTGACTGGAGGCTGTGGGCCGTGGGGCGACTGTCGGGAGTTGCTCAGTGGTAAGCTGGTAGGTCCGCCCCTGGTTCCTGCACCTCCGTCCTGCTGGCCCAACCAAGCCTCACTGAGCAACACGTGTGTGCGGCTCAGTCTGCTGCTAGAGCGAGGGCGACTACCACTGGGCGTCAGTACCGAGGGCTTGTGTGGTGAGTTGCGCAGTCTGTTGGCCGCACACCAAGCCACCAGCGGGGCACACGACAGCCTCGTCCTGCTCTGCGACCTCAAGACTGGGGTCAACGACACTCTAGAAGTCACTATGGTGAGGGAGCTACACAAATTAACATCTTTGTTTTAATTATTTTTCAGGAATATGCCTACTTATTATTTTCAAATTTAAAAGATTTGATCAAATCATGGTACAATGTGTTACACACAAAGCAAGTGTTTAAGTGTTTTGGCACGGTTTAAAGATTGATTTTATTGAAGGTACACTCTGAAATACAAAACAAATTTTATCGCTCGCTACTCAATATAGTAAGTACTGGTAGTCCACTGGAGCTTAAGTACTTCATCGAAACATTGGAAAGCACGAAATATTGCTGCATCTGCCTTACTGGCACTCGTCCCAACCGGCCGACTGTGTGACCTGATGGCTAAGTTGACAAATGTGTGTAAAGTGTAAGAGTAGTACTGAGGTCTTTCTTTATACACAGGTTGATTCCCCTACTTTTGAAAACCATATTAAGCTTAGGCTACTAAGTGTGGCTTAGCCAGTGGGAGGGCCCACCTTAGATAAACTATGTCCGACAAGAAATGCTTAAAAATATCTGTTAATGGGTTAACATGAATGGTCCTATGTTTTGTATCAGTTACAAATTTTTACTTGATAAAATAATCAGTTCCTGATTTCTCAGTTTACTAACTTATTTGATTCCTTCTAGTAACAACGATGTGGAATATTTACTACTAAAACATAGGTAACTAAACTTTGAACTTCACAACAATTTTGTAATGTTCACATTTTCATAAGACATAAAGTTAAAACAATGTTTATTTTTTTACTACTTTAAAACACCTCCATGGTGTTGGTCATTGAGTACTCCATAACACATTGTAATACGATTTATTTATCACTCCACAACTTCTGTACCTACATATTCTGTCAGCATGTTACTTGATTATTGAACTGTTGTGATTGTGGTTATAGTCAGAGACGGGTGATGGCCAGGCTGTCAAGGAAGGCATCAGAGTTCTGGGTGAGCTGATCAGCCGCAAGCAGACCAACAGTCTCTCGGCACTCACATCCGTAGTCGAGGTCAAAGTTGAGACTGCTCTAGTCAGTGATAGGGCAGACGGTAAGTAGAACAAGTTATGCAATTTAACCTTCACAATGTAATTTATTAAACTTTTCATACTCATTTCTGCACATGACGGTGGTATGAAACGTGAAGTTTACAAACCCTCCTCAATTGTTACCTCAAATAATATTACTGTTACAATTACTATCATTAAAATTCATTTTAAAATATATAACACTACATTGAACAATTATACTGAGATTTTTACTCTGTCATTATTATTCTGATACTACTTTTTTGGCAGTAAGTTATAATAAGTAGTATCAGCACTACTGAAAACTAGCTACACTATTTACATGTCCTAGTATCCTTTGCATCTCTTGCTTGTCCTAAGTATTCTTTGCATGATCCAATGTCTTGTTCAAAGTGAAAACTGATAGCGTGCTGACGGATTGAAGAAATCATTACAATACAGTTTGGAAAAGGAAGAAATAAAAATTGGAATAACCTACCAATATTGAACTTTGTAAATGTGTCAGGTGGAGGCAGCTACTGGCTGGGAGTGTTGTGTGTGATCCTTCTGACAGCTGCTTTGTCACTGCTGACTGCCATGTTGTATTGCCATCGCAGTCGAGGTCAGGGCCTCAGTCCGTCCGGGGCAGACTCTTGTCGCCATCATGACGACGAGAAGTCCAACAACCTCCAGAATGAAGAGAACCTCCGCAGGTAATTAGACCCTCTCTTAATTGACCCTAGACCAAGTGTCGCTTGGATTAACCACCTCTGCCAAGGCAAAAATAGAGGTTGATTATCTGCCCTGAATTTCAAAACTGTTAGGTTAGACAGATTTTTTAGGAATCTTGACCTGGCTGTTTTGAGTAAATTTTAAAACGAACATAAATGAACATAAATAATTGTGTAAATAATGTTCTTAAAATGCAATTAATGGTGTGTGTGTGTATTATTAATTACAGTAATGTTTAATTAGGATGGCTGCATCTCTAAGTATTTATATGTTGAATAATACAATTGGCAGAAATGTAGTGTGTGTTGTTTGGTAAGGCCAAATACCACCCAGGGATGGGTCCATAGCGATGGAAGTCAGTAAAAGAGAAAGATTGTCTTACAACTTGGGTTGGTTGCAGGTACGCCAACCCTCTGAAGGAAGAGTCGGCGTCACAGGGCAGCAGCCTGGGTGGCAGCCTATGTGACCTGCCTCGAGTGAGTGTGGTGCGACCTCTGAGCTCGGCCTCCAGCGCAGAGATGTTGGAGATGGAGGGAGGCAAGGGTTGTCCTTCCTCTAGCCAAGTGTTGCTGCTCAAGACACAGAACACTGACACCAAGAACAACACTGTCAGTGACACCTCCCCACAGAAGAAAGACTTTACTTGCAAAAGGATAAATTTGAAAGTGCTACCTCCAGTTCAAAGGACGTTGCCAACAAACAGTGATCAACCAGGAGACATCCTAACAGTCCTGGTTTAGCCGGTCAAAGCTATCTCACTGCCCTTGTGTTTAGTTGAAATTGTATAGTTTATGTAAATTGCCATACATTTTTTAGTTTTATGTTTTTTATACATCTTGGATTGTAACTAGTTATTTTAACTTTGCAACACGTTAAGGGTTTACAATAACAATTTTTAGCTACAGGAACAAAAGTAAATGCAGATTTCTTCATTTGAATAAATGTTTTGAATAAGACATCTCTATGTTCCTTAGACAGAAATGTATATTTTTATTTACAAAATATAGATAGATTTACAAACTAATTGTTTTTCTCTAAGACTCTTTAAGTAGCTTTAATATAATTTCAGTGCAATGAACAACTACGTTTTAAGTATTGTTAATGAGGGAAATCACCCTTTAACAGCTGATGTTGTAGCCAATGTGGCAGATCTCTAAGACATGTCAGTTTTTAGTGCTATGGAAATGCCACTTTAAAGCCTTAGGTTAAGCATTGTGATATTGATAATTTATTTATGTGTACAGATAGGTGTTATGTAAAACAGGTATTTTTCTAAGATGAAACTATAACAGATGAGATCTTTTATTGTAGATTTCTCAAGAAAGAGACACATTTTTTATTTGTAGAATGTATGAAAGAATTATAACATTAGGTTGTACCATATAATAAATTATTTCATCATACTGTAACCGTTCATCTTGAAGAAAACATTTTTAACAAACTCATACAACAAACTCCATACCAAAAGTACTGCACCCCAAATCATTTTAACAATAAGAAAACATACTAAATATTATTTACTTTAGAGTGAACTCTTAATTGTATGGACTAAAATGTTAGTGTGTTTGAAAAAAATTAGAAGTGTTATGATAAATCCTCTGTTGATCACTCCTAAATGTATTCGACTAAGCTACAGCCACATGGAGTAATATCAATTATGCTTTGTACAAGTTTTTATTTTTCGATATCATTATTTGCTCCCATTTATTTATCATCTTCATGAATCAGTTGCAGACAATTTTAAGGTATATTTACGTTCAGTAAATGCTTGAGTGAGTTAATGTCATATACTTATTTCTCATATTTTTTTCTATCTATCTTCAAAATTATTATAACCGAATAGAAGTCCGTTCATGAACTACAGCATCTCCTCTGATATCATACTACTATTATTATGTAATCTAGTAAAAACTTCAGAAGAAGAGTTTAAATCAACGCACTGAAGCGTTGTCAAAACATGAACCAGATTATTATTATGTTTCCTAAAGATATGTTTCCATTTTGTACAAATACAAGTCTCAAGTGCTGGGATATGTGCCTGGGACAGATCCCACAGTTGTGATACATAGAGTACTTTTGTATGATTATGCAAACTGTCGGCACTTCGTCCCGGACCACAAAATGTCCCAGGCACAAATCCCACAAGATATTTGTTTCAATGAAAACATACCTTTATTCTGTAAAATTGCAAAACACAGCTCTAAATTGAAATAATTAACTAGAACACATTGCAGTTAACCTACAATTTCTTATTTATTAATACCAATCAATGGTAGTTTGATTTTAGTAGTAGATGATGGTAGTAATTTTAATGGTATCAATAAATCTCTGTACAAATAGAAAAATTTGATCTTTCAAAAATCCAACAGATTATTATAACTATTTCACTTTTTATAGAGCTAAAATTTTGAACAAACTTTTTGTTGACAGAAAAATTAGAGTGTTCAGATTGAAATTAATAACTGGGATATATATTGAAATTTATTGAATTTAGGTACTTTTGTTATACAATGAAAATGATTGTTCATTAATTATTATTCTCCAAGCGCCAATATAATATGTAGCAGCTACATATTATAAATACCTGTAGAATCATAGTTGTTTATTTAGACTTATAAGTTTTATTTTGTTGAATTCCTATTGATTTGTAATTTGTGTAAATATACATATAAATGTTATGATAGAAATATGTACATATTTAGTGACTTATTTCGTTGATAGAATATTAGTTTATATTTGTACAGTGTATGTGATTAAAATTTATATTTTTATTGAAGAAACAATTGAAAATGTGATTTATTGTATAGATTGATGGTGTTATTTGTACATTGTATACAGAAGATAAATTATTTAATTTTAACTATTTGCTATTTTGTACTTAAAAGTGTTTTCATGCTGAGTACTTTACAATGAATTACAAGTTAGTAAATTGTTAGCAAATTAGCAATTGATCGTTTTGGGTGTTCACGGTGTGCCACAAAATTAAAGTTACAAGAATAATGTATGCATCATGACTACATTTCAGAATTCCTCATGAAATTTGTTTAGATTACCTATTTAAATGATTATATTTATGAAATAGAAGAGTTTCTTATTCATAGACCTTCATTTTAACAATGACTTTATTATAATGAAACTATTAACATGATCGCTAAAAGTTGTACTGAATGTAAATTAGACAAATAAATGTTTTCTATGTACATTGGATTTATTTTTATCACCATTAAACTCAAACAGTTTGTGCAATATTTTTGCTACCCATAAAAAATAGTTTTGTAAAATTTATGTTAATTTTGACGATGTGTACGATTATTTGTTATAAAGTATGATTATTGTTTGGTGCCAAGAAAATAAACTATTTAATAATGATCCATTTACATTTAAACACGTTTTATAAAGGAACATGTAATAAAGGAAAACGGTAACATCACTTCATTGTTGTTCGATCTAGCAACCTTGTATCAGCTGTTGCTGGGCCCACTGAGCTAGAGAGAGATACAACTTGGAGGATTCTCTTACAGTAGAACCCCTCATATCCGGCCTTGGTTTTACCGGTCCTCTGTTTATCCGGCCCCTTCCAGGAAGCCAATATCAAAATTTTTTTCTCACAGCTTACCGACGTTTAGATGCAAGCACTAATCTTTGTGACTGATGAAGTCATAAAATAAATTTTTCTCATTATTTATCTGTTTGTATACATTTTTTTGCTGAGTCACTATAATCAGTTGAGCTAGGAGGCCTAACCTCTTATCAGTTGGTTGATTATTTCCAAAGTGGGGTTAGTCCAGTACAGTACGAGTACATTAATTTTTTTATTTCACAAAATGGTTAAGAATGTTGAGTAGAAATGCATGTACCATTTAAGTCCTAATGATCTTTAAGTCCAATTTATTGTAATTTTTACCTCCATTTAATAGGTTTTGTTACCTGGAATCGTAATATTTGTACATTCATTACTTAATGACTTTAACCTACAAATATTTTTTTTTCTTTTTACAAACATGTTTATTTTTCTAAAAATTATCCCAGAACAGAATTAAATGATACTTTTGATTGCATATATTGATTACCTATTATTATTAGGTATGAATTGTCATTTTCATTGTAGGTTGGTTTATCCGGCCAAATCGGTCAGGGACTTGGTCCCGTGGTGGCCGGATATGAGGGGTTCTACTGTATTCACTTAATAAGAGAATTTTGAGAGACGTTTGATGCCATTGGTACTAGGAGTAGAGTACATTGTACCTTTTACTTTTACTTAGTACATTGGAAGTAGGGGCAAGGGCGGTCCTAGACATATATTTAGGGGGGGGTCACCGGGAGGGCCTGGAATACCCCCCAGCAAAGGAGGGGGGTCCGAGGGTTCCCCCCCAGGAAAAAGTTGGAAATAAGTGCTGAAATTAGCCATCATCCAGGTCGGGAACCGGAGATTCTGTGTGTGTCAAGTTGTACTTGAGTTTTGATTAGCGGGAAAAGACCGTGAATCAGTGTTGTACAGGACTGGAAAAATTATCTTTCTATGTAAATAAAATTAAGAGTTTTATAAGTCACCTCAATTTAAGGAATTTTTTATTTCCAGAATATCTACATAGTGCTCGTAACCTCTGCTTAACGAATTTTCAGCGTCTTTCTCTTCATATAACGACCCCCTCTCCTTCCCACATAATCGTTTTGGAAACATCACAGCTCCTTTGATGAAAATGAAATGGAAAAATGACTTCAACTTTAACGCTTGCGCCAACAATCGTCTGCTCCGTTTTACACTTCTGTCTGCTGTGCGCTATGTTACAACAGACTTCAGATACAACAGCTGGGGAATGATGACGATATAATGATTAGTAAACTGTGATTGAGTGATTAGTATAACCATGGTAACTTTAGTAGGCTGTGATTGGGCAATGAGTAAATATGGTGACTTGTTGAATTTGTGTATGAATTGAAGAGAACCCTAAGAAAGAACAGAAGAAAAAATAAAAATAATAACAAAATTGTTCTCGTTACATTCTTTTTAAGAGTGTTTTTATTATCTCTAAATATAATTTTACACTTTTGTATTGCTTATCTATTAATTCCTATGTTGTGATACAGCACCTACCGGTAGCCTATCTGTCTATCATGAGCATAGCTTACAAAACTTTCTAAGGTTTAATATTTACGTTATTTATAGCAATACAGTGTTTGGCTAGTTATTAGTTGAGTTTGAGTGAGCTGTAATTTTAAAAATTGCCATTTGTACAACTGAACCAAGATAAATTATTTGAAATGTCATTATTGCACAATAATAATGATTGTGCAATATTGAATTTCGTTGATAAAAATGCAAATTTTTTATACTATATTGGATTAACCGTATTTTTCATTACCCCCCCCCCCCCCCACTATTAACTCAGGTAATAGAGTATCTACACTTAAAGTATTAAGTAATAATTACAATCAAGTAGCCTATGCTACTTGATTGTATTTTAACGAGCTTTATGTCAACAAAGCGTGCTGTGCCGAGTCGCGGTGTAGCTGTACGTGTCTGTACCACGCGTTATCTTTATCTATCTCAGCAGTTGAGCCATTCCGTGCCCTCCCTCTTAGATCTCACGTCTTGCTAATCCTGAACAATAAATTCCTACACGAATCCTAAACTATCCTAAAATCCTATTTTAACTAATTGAAATCAATAATATAACTACTATTGTCATTAATTAATCAACTTTCTATCTAGTGACTTTGTAATATATTTTTGATTGTCGTCACGTTGAACACTGTTGCAATTAACTTTAGCCCCCCCCCATTTGAATTTTTGGAACCCCCCCCCCCCAAGAATTTCAATGACGCAGTCTGCGTCACAGCCCCCCCCCCTTGTGGGCACCCCTGTCTTAGAGCAAGGATTTACGCTGCTGTTGAGCAAGTTACACCTGAAATGCTAGTGCGAGTCTGGGAAGAAATCGACTATCGATGGGATGTCTGCAGGATAACCAACAGAAGTCACATAGAACATCTTTAGTTTAAGGTAAATAACTTGAAGTGTTTTCATTTAAAACAACACCAAAACCAGCTCTGTAACTTGTTTAATAAGATTTATATGAATTTTCAAAGTTGTAAAGTCCTTTTTGAATCACCCGGTACTATAATACATACTGCTGATAAGGGAAATAACAAATCAGATGGTAACACATAGGTAATATGTAAGAACAAATCAAAATTTATTAACAAAGAATATATAAGTACAACAAAAGATAACATAAAATGTAATTTTCAAACATGTACCATTTTTACAAAAAAAACTTTCATTTAAGAATAACTGTCTTTTTAATAAGGTGTTTTTAGTGTCACAAAGGACCACACTACATTAGTAATAGCAGTTCCACAATGAATCAAGCTCTTGTATGAATCAATATTGTGATGTTTTGATAGCTTCTATGTAGCATGAATGAAAAACCATGAACAAACAAATTATAGAATAATTTATATTTTGTGAATCAAAATTTATATAACAATGGACTGATAACACTTCAATATGGATATATTTTTATTACAGCATGTATATGGGTATACAGGCCCGTTTTTGACCCTGTCAGCGCCCTAGGCACATCTAATAGTAGCGCCCATTTGCAATATATATATAACAGGGTGTCCACCGACCGGGAAATCCGGGAATCATGCGGGGGATTTTTGAACCATGAATTTTGTATTTATACCTAGAGTTTTCAATTCACCGTGATCGCGCATGACCAAAGTGATGTTTCCGTGATCGCGGGAGACGATAATATGTCTACACACGGCCGCGAGGGATGATCAGAATTTTCCGCGATTGCAGAAGACGATGATGGTATCTACAGAGCCGCAACGGATAATTAGAGTATTGCCGCGATTACAGAAGACGATGATAATGTCCACACGACCGCGGGAAACAGCAAGAATTTTGCCGCGATCGTAGAAGACGATGATGATCTCCACACGACTGGAGGACATTTAACATTTTCCCGCAATCGCGGGAGACGATTACGATGTCTTCACAACTGCGGGAAACGATTACGATGTCTACAGAACCGCGGAATACAATAATGATTTCTACGCGGCCACGAGGGATGATCACAATAATGCCGCGATCGCTCAAGACGATGATAATGTCCACATGACCGCGGGAAAAGATGAGAATTTTGCCTCATTCGCCGAAGACGATTATATCCATATGTCCGCGGGAGATGATTACCATTTTGCCGCAATCACGGGAGGTGATCACTACATGTCCAAACGACCAACGGGGACGATATAATGATGTCTTCACGGCCGCGAGGGGTGATCAGAATTTTATCGCAATCGCGCAAGACGATGATTATGGCCACACGATCGCGGGAAAAGGTCAAAATGTTGCCTAATTTGCGTAAGAGGATGATGACCTCCACAAGACTGAGGGAGATGATTACCGTTTTTCTACAATCGCGGGAGGTGATTACTATGTCCACACGACCGTGGGGCACGATATGATGTCTTCACGACCGCGAGGGGTGGTCAGAATTTGACCGCAATAGCATGCAAATACTACCACGATTTTTTTTTAATTTCCAAATTTTTGGCGCCCCCAAAAAAAGCCAATTGCCTCGCGCCCTAGGCACGTGCCTACCGTGCCTATTCGGTAAATCGGCCCTGTGGGTATATTTTTATGACTAAATTAATAAATTAGCCTACCTTCGTCAACCAGCTCCTGCATTGTAACAAATGTTACAGTCGTTTCAGCATCACTGTGCTATCATCAGACAGTGAAGTTCAACCATAAGGCATCGTTAAAACACCAAACGTAAAAATATCAAAAACATGAAAAAACACTGACTTGGAAATCCTTCACACCAAAGGTTAGGAAGTTAGTCACCCTGGAAGAATTTGAGATTTACAAAGCCCACATAAAAATGACAATAGTGAACTTACAAACTACAATTCAAATCACACGTAATTTTCAATAGTCCTTTTAATCAGAGGAAGGAACCAAGACCAAGAGAACAAAGTACAGCTGATAACCCCTGCGGCCGACATGACAACGCAGGGATGACTCCAAGCAGCTCCTCGCTCGAGTGTGGAAATGTGCATTCAACAGGCCTGTTTTTTAATAACCCCGTTTTGGTATGTGTAACTTATGTTGCGTGTGACATTTTTATGTTTTTGTGTTTTAAGGACGCCTTATGGCTGAACTTTAATGTCTGATGATGGCATAGTGATGCTTAAACGACCATAACATTTCTGACACTACAGGAGATGGTTGATTGATCTAGCCATAAGATCAGCTCAGGGGCTAGAAATTACGGATTTTGGATTTTTATGTTATTTATTACATTAAAAAACCCCACATAAATAATTTTAAGTAATGCTTACCCAGAGTTGAGCATTGTAACAGGATGCAAATTTTTAAAACTATTTCATCAAATTAGTACCGATAATTGTTTTGCTGCTCTTCAAATTTACATCATACAATAAGGTAGTAAATTAAAAACAATTTTAACAAACAAATAGATCATATAACAGATGGAAGTACTTAATTATTACACTTAAGGAACATGAAAACACAAACTACAATTAATTGCCCTACATATTGAATTACTTGTGCTTAGGCTTGATGCCTTAATGTTGGTAACTAATAAATACATGAGCTTTGATTTTTTTTTTTATTTCATTTGACAATAATCTTGCACAATCAATAGAGCTGGCCCTAGGCCAGTGCAAAAGGTGCGGGATGGAAATATGTTAGTAATTAATGCTTCCCAATTGGTGGATGCAATAGCGAGTTTATAAGGTAAATATCCATTTACCAATTTAAAACTTGCCAGCGTACTTAGAAGTATAAGAGTTCCCTTCCAATGCTCTCATTTCAACACAATATTACACCAACACTCAACTTATTTGAAGCTATAATGAGTTTGCTGTTACTTGCTGAGTGTCCACAGCTTTTGTAGAAACTGGAAATCGTTAGTGTGTTTTGTATAAATCCACAAAATTTTATATTAATAGTAATAGCAAACAAAAATAATCTGCCAATAAACTAGTTAATACATTTTTTGTGTTGTCAAAAAACGCAATGTAAAAATGAGGAGAAACCTGACACAATCTACCTGGAAATCCAGTCAAAGATGAAGACATTGAGTATAATAAATAAGAAAAAAATTAACAATCGCAGAACATGATCACAATGTTTCTCAACTCGCGGAAGCCGTTGCGATTTTGAGAAATGATGATGGGTATCGTCTTGACCACAGAGAACTATCGTGGCCAAGTTACTATGACTGCGGGAGATGATCATGTACATGTTGCGATGATTGTAAGAAAAGATCACTGATATATTTGTGAGTCCTAGAAATCATCACGGATGTTACTGTGATCCTATATTTTCATGACAAATGTTGCTGAAAGGTAACTCGCGGTTTGACTAAAAACAGCCAACTCTGATTGCTGGTGTGAAATACAAGTCGCTCCATGAGTTATTGTTTCAAAGCCAAGTTCAATTTTAATGGACTGTCCCCCTTCATAGAAAATAAATTACAAGCTATTTTTTGCCTGTACAAAATAATTACTTGAAATGCACTTCAGCCGATACAATCAAGTATTTTTATATTACATGCTTGCATTATCATTTTATTATTGATTATACAAAGTATTAAAATCTATACATGCAACACAATTTATTTAGAAAACACTGAAAAATATATAATTGGTTTACAACCACTTGGATTGTAAAATAAGTTCCATAACAAGTAAATAACGAGGTTTAGTCTATTAGCTGACTTTCTGTTCTAATAGAGTCCATCTCCAGTATTTTCAGCTCGGTGAGTAGAGACAAGGTGTAGTGTGGTAAGTACATGTATGAAGAATAAGCTACAAGGGAGATTATCATCACGATGATTCCATCTGGACAAATAGGTTAAGGATATATTTTTGTACCAAATAACTGTTAAAACTTTTTTTTATATTATATTGTATTTTATAGACCAATCTTATACCCTTATGTTAAACTGCAGTTTACTGAAATTCAATTCATCGTTAAGGCTCTACTCTATCAGTCATAGATGAAAATACAAGGATATTCTTACTTGGTGTTTTAACAGCAGATTCAACATTTTGTTTGAATTACCGTAAACTAAGATATAAAAGTATATTACGTTTCTACTCCAGAAAATAGATGTTTATTGAACGAGTACGGGTATGGTTGTTCCTGCGGGAGATAAAGTCGAGTGTAGAATTACCATTCAAGTACGGTAAACACATTTTGGACGAGTGACGTACGATATTTTTTTCATACTAGGCCTACTTTAACACAAAGTACGTAGCATTGGAGATATAAATTGCCACACCACCGTGGATAATGCTTGAGCAACAAAAGGTGCTCCCCAGGCTATAACCTTCAAGGTTATAAATATCATAGTTGCTGCTATTAACTAATAAGCCAATGTTCACTAAAGAACAATAGGCCTACTGAAAAATGTTGCACCTTGAACAGCATGTCCAATTCATCAATTTTGTTGATTAAACTTTGAATATTACTATAAAACATTGATAATTTGTTTAAATTAGCCTACTGATCCTCTAGACTTGGGCTCGACTGTACTGCTAAAGCTGAAGCTAGGCCTACCCCTTCGGACTGGGAAAGTTAAGTTAAGTTTAAGTTAAGTTTTGGATACATCCTCCTTCTGTATTGAACTCACTTTGACAAACATTTTGGTAGAAGACATAGGCCTTTCTGATCATAGTGCCATTTGGGCTGAAATACCCAATTTTAAATGTAAAGTAGAAAATAAAAAGTATACCCTAAAGAGAAGATTTACACCAGAGGCTATTCACGAATTTAAAGAGTCAATAAAGCAAACAGATTGGAAGGTAGAATCAAACAAGTCAGCAAATGAAAATTATGATAACTTTTTAAGAGAGTTCATGTTAAATATGAATGAGTCCTTTCCTGTAAAACCTTTGAGGCAAGAAAATGGTAAAGTAATAAAATGGATAACAGAAGGTATAAGAATTTCAAGTAAGAAAAAAAGACTTCTCCACAGTGAAATAAAGATTAATAAAAGTGCCAAGTTGCAAAATTACTACAAGATATATAGACGAATATTTAGAAAAGTTGGGCAGCTAAACGTAAGGCAAATGATGACTTTATTAAAAGATCTAAATGTAAGAGTAGAGCATCATGGAGGGTAATAAAGAATGAGTTGGGAATGATACAAAAGAATAATAATGACATAAAAGAAATATTAATTGACGGAAAAACTATCAACAACCCCATTGTTATTCCTAATTACTTTAACAACCATTACCTAAAAATAAAACAACAACTGAAAGTTCAAAGTTTGCCACATAGAGCAATTGAGTGCTGTAGTAAGGTAGCCATCCCAGAGAATACAGAATTTACATTTAAAGAAGTAAAAGAGATAGATGTATTAAAGATTATTAAGTCAATATCGAACAAGAGATCAACAGGTTGGGATGAAATTCCAGTTAGATTAATTAAGGACTGTAAAGAGTACATAGCTGCACCACTTACAAAAATAATAAATCAATCATTAAAAACTGGTGAATTTCCAACAAACCTTAAAACTTCAATCGTAAGGCCAATTTTTAAGAAAGGAAATAGAAATTTAATTGAAAACTATCGCCCTGTCTCACTATTACCTGTGTTTTCTAAAATAATTGAAAAGGTGGTACACACACAACTACAAGAATATTTAGAATCAAACAGATTAATTACAAACAGTCAGCATGGTTTTAGGAAGTCACACTCAACAAACTCAGCACTAATATCACTAACAGATGATATATATAAGGCCATGGATGGATCACAGTCGACTCTTGCAGTTTGCTGTGATCTATCAAAGGCTTTTGACTGTGTAGACCATGCAGTCCTTTTAAAAAAATTAACTAAATATGGGATCAGAGGGTCGAGTTGGAAGTGGTTTGAATCATACCTAACAGGAAGAAGGCAAAAAATATCAATAATAATAGAAAACAATAAATATGAATCTGAGTATGACACAGTTGTAACAGGAGTGCCACAAGGCTCAATTTTAGGCCCAGTTTTATTTACTATATACACCAACGACCTCCCAGAGAATGTAAATGCCAAAATAATCATGTTTGCTGATGACACTACTGCACTCATAAAAGGAAAGCATTTATTAGATATAAAGGAGAACGCAGAGGCTACGATACAAGATCTAGAGCATTGGTTTGTTATTAATGGCCTTCATTTAAATACTAGTAAGACGAGTTTAGTTCATTTTAGAAACTTACAGAGTAGGGAAGGAGAGTTGAAGCTAAGAATTAGTGGTAATGATGGTAATGACTATTTGAATCCAATGGTTTAATTTCTTCTGATCAGTTTGGCTTTAGGCCTGGTATGTCAATGGCCAACGCGGTTGGGGCCCTTGCTTCATTAAGAGTTTCGAGTGAGGCTTAGCCACTCGTGCTTTGTTATGTGACCTGAGCAAGGAGTAATGTATCCTCTACATATCAGGTGACATTACCTATCGGTAATAACCTACTCGGCTGTATTTTTCCGCAAAACGGCTAGCAACAGATTTTATAAGGCGCACGCACTACTTATTGCTGCATTTACCCCCGCTAAATTGGTCCCCAGGTACATGATATTGATACTGTCGTGTCCATTAGGTATGTGTCCTCTATCAGGTACCACTATCATTAATAACTAACGCGGCCGTATTTTTCCGCAAAACGGCCAGCAATAGATTTTATAACTTAAGGCGCGCACACTACTTATTGCTGAGTTATTGCCAGGTTTGCACAAGTGCCAATTTTAATTCACTCTAACATTCATAATTGGCAAATTACATTAACTTATTCTACAATTGCAATTTATAATCCATCTATTTTAGACTAGGTCTAGGGTAGGTTACACAGTCAAAAGGATACTCAGTAGTTTTTTCTCCCATGGTTCAAACATATAAATGCATGTTATCAATTCATATTGAAAATACCAATAAGATAACCAGTTCATTAGGAAATTGAACATTTTCTTCATGTAAAAAATTATCATCAAGACGAATACTCCTTAAACACTCGAAATTATTGAACCAGAAATCTCTCCTAAAACTTGGATAGGACTGACACTGGTGGCCTAGAGAATATTATGAATTCTAGCCTATTTAGTGAGACAAACAAAAATTTTCTAGTTGATAACCTCTGACGTTTTGTGAAAATGTTAAACGAAATCACATGTCCTACACAAATCACAATTATTCAGTTCACTCATAAAATAAAGAACACTACGAACACTGAGTAATATTTAAGTTATTTTTGTTTACTTCTTAGTTTAGGTTATCCTCCTCTGATCAGTCTGATCCAACCATAGAAGAAGAAGTAATAGTAAACTTAATAATAAATAAAATAAGAAAACTCACCTTTTTTCTCCTTCTGATTGAAATAAGTAAGCCAAAAAAAAGTGCAATGAAACTTCTCATTGTATTACTTTTCTTAGAGGTTTGGGTCGTACGTCGTATCATTGTTTAATGTTTATACATTAGAAGTGTCAGGAGCGCGCCTGAGGAAAGGACAATTATTGACGATGCTGCAAAATTGCAAACCATCCTCTCTGCAATCGATCCTACTTTGGATGGCAACACCTTCAAGCTATTTCGTGTAGGCAAAATCTCCAGTAACAAAAGCCCCGCCCGATTAAGAGGCGGTCGGATAGAGCCCCGTATCCCATATTTTGCAGGCGTCACGAGCAACAACACAGTCCTCCCAAAACAGACTTTTGTAATAGTACCACCCTTGGCCACCAGTTTCGTGGCTGTCGCATAACGGGATCTGAGATGGTTGACAACCCTGTGTTACCTAGAAACTTGAAAGCATCAACTCGACTACCCTCAGCCTGTGTCCTAGCCCTTGTCTATTGTCCCACCGCATGTTTCACTTTCACTGGTTTGCTACCTTCGCTCACCCACCCTTTGCGTCTCAGCGATTACGTGCCGGAGCAGGTCTCAGTTCGTCACCGCACAATATGCTCATTTTCCACACAAAAAATGTTTTGGAGATACAAATAGCACTTTCAGTAAGACATTTTGATTTATACACTTATCAAAATACATGATAATGTATTCAATTATAAATAATATACTAGTGCTACTGGGCTAAATAATGTAACTACTTGGCCTATCCCATACATTTTATCGAATTTCCCTGTAATGAGGTAGCTATTACCGTAAGTGGCATGGTAAGACCTACGCCCGGAACCGATTTACTTTTTCATTTTGATGTCCCCAGAGGCCAAAAACACCATTCGTTCAAATTTGTATATATATGTGTGTCCGTGAACACGATAACTTGAGTAATTTTTGTCCGATTTTGATGAAATTTTGTTTGAAGGTGTGAGGCGGGATAAACTTGAATGAGTTCGCGAACCAGCATGATCGGACCATGGGAACGGGGTTTTATCGGGTAAAAATTGTTTTTTCTAAATTTTTGACCCTCTAACTAAACACAAAATTTCCCAATTTCTCGTGTTGAACGTTAAAAAAATGTATAATACATTAAAATAGCATAAATGAAACCTTTAAAGTATATGCTCAAACCTATATAAAAAACTACAAATATTGTCCCTAATTAAACTACATTAAAATACCTATGAAAAATACTGAACATGGTTTACAAAAGACTGAATATACGAATGCTTCGCAATATAATGTCACCTGATCGTCTTAGTCCATATTTTATATCTAATGATAGAAGGAATTTCTTTTAGATCTATGAGGCATAGCCCTACGTAGGCCTGTAATTGAAATTCACCTTTCACACTGGTTTAAAATAGTTACATACTACATCAACCTCACTACTGCACACTTTATTCAGGTTGAAATTTTCATTTACAAAGGTGCTCTTGTCTTTTCCACGAAACACTGAGAATTAAGGACATTAATGCGTTATCAACAGACATACTCACAAAAATACAGAATTGAATTAGGGGATATTTATTTAAAAGTTGTTATAGTGTCATCAAGTTTTATGATAATCGTATTTAGGCCTGATCCTAATCAAACTGTAAAATTGGTGTACATCCGTTGGCAAATATATAAATAAGTAAATAAATACACAGTCCACAAAACATTGATACGTTGACAACGTAACGCTTTAAAAATTCATTATGGTTTGTCCAAAAAATCTTTCACTTGATGTGGTATCTTGGTATCAGTATCGAAGTAAAATTAAAATTCATGATGTAGCCCCTGAACTGTTTAATTAGACTAATATGAGGTACGCACCTTTACGTACGTCAACAGTTCAATTGTAGTAAGTAGAACTCACAACATGTTTCACCTATTCAAACAGTATCGAAGTTATTAATCTACCTTGGTTTTGGATTTTTTTTTCGAAAATCAAAGTTATTTCCCATTAATAGCATTATTTGTAAGCAGCTTTTAATGTTAACATATTAATGACAGTTTGAAGAAAAAACCCTTATCCAAACAAAGGGTTCTTATTTGAAAGATTACGTAATCTCTAAACGATGATCGGTATATTCCCAGCACTGAGCACTATACAACACTGATTCACGGCCTTTTCCCCGGTTATCAAAACTCAAGAACAATCGTTGTACTTGCGATTAATTAAACCGGCTAAGTAAGGCACAACGTTTTTAATCCCACTTGGTTTGGATGTGCTTACAAAACTTGATCGGAAATGGTTGCGGTATTTGTAAACAGTATTTAATGTAAACATATCATATGTGACAGCTAGAAGTGAGAACTAATCCAAATAGCTGATCGTTATTTCATAAAATTTAATAGTAAACATTGGAAGAAAATTTGACAAAAATCGAACAAAATTGGGTTTTTGATGGTTTGTTATTTTGTTTTCAAAGAAGCGGGGCCATGTTTTTATAGCCAAAGAAACTCACTAATCCAGTAAATACAGAAAATGATTTGAACCTTGATCGGTATTCTAGTTTTCTAGGAGTAGGCCGCGTAAAATGACATTTTGGCGTCACTGACAGAATGAAAGAATGGACAGACAGACAGAAATTGAGATAAGACTCGTTTCGGCTTTCTTAGGCTATGAAACCTAATGTAACCAGAAACTGCATGATTCTAAGCAATGTAGGCCTACAGACAAAACTGTATTTTATTTATATAGATATATGGAACGATTTAAATAAAAAAAATATAAAAAATAAAAACAGTAGGTCCTATGTGTCGTATTTTTACGTTTCAAAGCCATTTGAAGTTGCAATCTTGCTCTTGATGTTTTTTTCTAGATTTTGCCTTATCCTGTGCCTCTAATATATAAAAAGGATTTCGGATGGGCACTTGGGGTTTTATCTTAGCTCGAATATTATAGACCTAAAACGGGACATCGCAATTCCAAGATAATCCGTGAGTCAGAAGCTGGCTTGGCTACGACGCAGTGCTGGTCCGGAGGGTGGATTTGGTTCCTGGAAAACCTTAATCGTATATACCACGTATGTCAGAAAATGCTTTTGTTCCACTGGACCTTGTTTTCTTACTGACAAATAGTTTGTATCAAATCGTGTAAATTGCAGCAGCTATCTTTATACAGCTAAGTCCTTAATCAACGTACTAAGTATGACCAAAAGAGACGTTTATTCTAACGGAACTTGTTTTATATTGATGAATGGTTTGTATCAAACCGGGTGTTGTAAAACTACTTTTATCTCTGATGACAGTAATATTTTAATACATACCTACGGTAAATACACAGTCCGAAAATATTAGATTCTTAGATTCCTGTGAATTCAATATCATCATTTCCTTGGCATTATAATACATCAGGGATGTAACCACATAACGTTATTTATTTATTTAAACAGATCTGTGGCCAGTTTAAATGCATTTTATTTGGCGCGGTTTGAAAACGTGCTCTGTAGTCCACAATCGACTGTGCTGCCATCGGCCGGGACATCGTCGAACTAGTACTCAGTCGGCAAGCAAGGCTTTTTTGCAAGCGTTTACAAAAAAATACAAAACTTAATGTTAACCATCGAAAAATAAATATCTGTCACACTCAATACACTAATGAATATATGCTCTTCAATATGGCGTTTGAACCAGAATTATTCATAGTGCCAGTCATTTTATATTTTAGCAGAAAGTATTGCAATTCCTTATGGGAAATGTAAGAAATGATTTATTTTATATCCGGCTTATAATTAAACATTATGATTTTTATATTGTACAGTCTTAATCCTACATACATTTACAATGTTTTGAGTGTGGGAAATATTTTTTGGAACACGGATAGACCAGAAAACGAGGAATTATTATATGCGCTCCATGTTAAAGTGACGGCCAGTGTCGGCAGCCGAGAATCTCTGTCCGACCGCCTCTTAAGGTCATTGTTGGCTGTGAGGCTTCTGTCCATGGTGGAAGGAAAAAACATAGGTGTGCTATTCCCACATATTCTGACGTCACTCGGATTGCAAACAAAAGATTACCTGATTGTAACTGTCAAATTAGTATATGTATTTGTTTTGATTTGGTTGTTATTGTTTTTATTATTATAAAAACAATAACATTCAAATAAAAACAAATACATACTAATTTGACAGTTACAATCAGATGATCTTTTGTTTGCAATCCGAGTGACGTCAGAATATGTGGGAATAGCACACCTATGTTTTTTCCTTCCACCATGGCTTCTGTCCAGAAAATGAAAATACACAGAGGATACGCGTCCGGTAACCGGACGTGGATTAGGCGTCCGGTAACCAGACGTGGATTAGGCGTCCGGTAGGGGGTCCCGGAACGCCATTACCACAATGATACGATGTTCAGCCATCAGTGTTCGTGGTGTAGTGGATAGAGTGCTCGACTGATATGCGAGAGGTCCCCGGTTCGAAACCTATCGGTAACTTTAACTTTTTGCCACAGATTTTTCTTTGAATGTAATTTCTTCTTAACTGTACATCTTTTGTTAGAATTTTTGGCATTTATAATTTTATGTTATGATGAGAATGGAACCTTCATTTGATTTTTTTCACTATCAGCAAGTTTGGTTGGTTAGGTTAGGTTATGACAGTAACTGCCGGACGCCTAATCCACGTCCGGTTACCGGACGCGTATCCTCTGCGATGAAAATAACGAAGACTGCTACCAAGGAACTACTAAACGGTTTGGGAAATGAGTTTTCAAATGTGTCCTTTGGCCGTGATAGAACCAAGCTTGAAGCCGCACACCTTAAAAGCCGAGCTCTCCCGTCGCTCTGAATCTGGGGAGAAAAATCATTAAATGTTATATTAAAAGTTCACTTCTGTGAAAAATAAGGTTATGTTTCTTCACAAATTTATTTGTTTTATGGTAACTGTAGGAAAAGTATAATGTGCAACTCGAGTGCAAAGTACAATTGCCTCACTCGAGAAACCATTCCTCACTCGCCTACGGCTCGTGAGTAAAGCCTGGTTTACACGGGTCGAGTATGTCAGACGAGTTATTCGGCCCAGTTACTAGGCCCAGTTGTTGATTTGTTCAACTCGCCCGGTACTTGACTGGACTGTCTACACGCATTCCTATTTCGAACAGCGACAGTGTAGGCACAGAAAAGTAATTTTTATAATTTCTCTGTGTTCTGTGGTGTAGGGTATTCCGTATACCGTAGCTTTCGTGTTAAATGTTGTTTGAATTTAAAATGGGACTTCAAGAGTTTAATGCTGAATTTATAAATTAATTTAATCACTGAATTAGATTATTAGAATTAAAACTGAATCATGCATTAAATTCAGGGGTTGCTTAAAAGTTTTTTTTTGCAAATACGATAGACCAAAGTGGAAGGTGGTATTCTAAAAGAATAAGATTTGTTACAAATTACTGTACCGGTACTGCATTTCTTAAAATAAAATATATAGGCAACCGAAAGTTGCCTCCAAATAAAAAAATTTGAAAACACCGTTTTCAATGTATTTCTGATAGAAAACATTTTTAGGGAGTGAGCTTTCTAACAACCCATTGATTAAAAAAATCGTTCCAGTAGAACTGTAGATCTTAAGTTGTTCAACAATTTTGAAAACTGAATTTTATAAGAGTGAGTAGATTTACGAACAGCAGGACAATGCAACACAGGGCCAACTGTTCAACTGAACCATTGAGTAATGAGTATTGAGGGTGATTAGGCATACACTACTGAACTAACCCACAACCCCAAAAATTCTGATCGTTGTGATCGACTCATTGTCAGCGACCACAAAATAAAAAAAGAATTTATTCTGTGGTCGCTGGACTCACTTGATAGCAGTAAACAGATGTTTTGCGGGCAAATTGTGGTGGTGGGGGTAGCTACTGGGCCGAGCAACTCGGTTTTCAACTAAATCACTCGACTCGCTCTCAACTGACCTCTTTTTATCAACTCGCCCGTTGCTCGACTCGCCTGCATGTCTACACCAAGCGAGTTAAAGAGCGAGTGGCAACTCGCACACTGACTCGCCCGCTGTACTCGACCCGTGTAAACCAGGCTTAAGGGTTTCTCTCGAGTGAGTCAATTGCTCACTTTTCTCACTAGTTGCACAAATAACTATTTTTTTGGTAATGTAAATATAAAATCTTTATATTTAATTAATATAAATAATTATTATGTAAAATGACAAATCAAGCGGCTGTATTGTTTATCTACGGCAAAGCCGGCCAACTTTGCCAAAATATAAAAAAAAAATGAAAAAAACAAACACAAAACCAAATAACCAAAACAAAACATACTATTACTACTACAAGAAACTAACCTCTAATTTATTTGCAGTTAAGTCAGTTACAGTTTGCAGTTTATTTTATTTTAATGATTAATATTTTTAATAGTGATGAGGAACGGTTGTAAACCTTTAGTGGGGTTTAAGTAATGTTAGATACACTCACATTAAGGAATGTTCATCCCTATGTTATACATGGTGGCTAACACCTAATTCTTTCCTGGACTTCAATAATTTACTCAGTAATTTTACCATGGAGGTATGTAGGCCTACACATTATTATATTTATTTTATGTATGCCTAGAATGCCCTAATGGGTCTTTTAATGTTATCTGGTTATTTCTTCAGCATTGGTAGGCTATTCGGTATTGGATTGATTTCAGTAGGGGAAAAGGTTTAAAAAGTCTACATTTTATAGCCAACGGGTACAGTTTCTTAACTGGGCTATGCTAATATCGATTGAAACTATCGACTTGAATATATTGCTTAATAATCAATATTTTTACTACGGTATATCAATTATAAAATGAAACTGTCATAACCTAACTAACAACACTTGCTGATACCGGTACCGGTAGTGAAAAAAAATCGAACCAAGAGTAGCCTACTAATCGACAGAGGCGGCTCCAGGAATTATTTTTTGGGTAGGCCTGACAAGGGTCAAGAAGGAGGGGGTACGAGGGGTTTGAGTGATGAACTTCTCTGCAAAAAGGGAGGAATTTACAAATTTAAAAGCAAAATAATTAGGGGTACAGTTTCTTAACTGGGCTATGCTAATATTGATTGAATCTATCGAATTGAAAATATTGATTAATAATCGATATTTTTTAATATCTCTATTATAAAATTAAACTATTATAACCTAACCTAACCAACCAAACTTGCTGATGGTGAAAAAATCGCATGAAGGTTTACTTATCGAATCGATAGTTTCAATCGATATTAGCATAGCCCAGTTAAGAAACTGTACCCATAATTGGTTGTAATGCTTTCCCTTTATTTAAGTTAGGCCTACTTAGAATTATAAATATCTTTATCTAGGTTACTTTATAATTTTGAAATATCTACCTACCAATATTTTGGGTAGGCCAAGGCCCGGCCTACCTGGCCTGCCCTCTGGAGCCGCCCCTGCTAATTCAATCGAAGGCTTCAATCGGTATTAGCATAGCCCAGTTAAGAAACTGTACCCCAGCCAACCCTCCTTACGTTAACACCTAAACTATTTAATAAGGACAGTTAATTTCAACATAATATTTTTAATTGTTTTTTTTATTCTTAACAATATTTATTAAGTACCAGTATCACACTTGTCAGCTGATATGTTTCAATTCGTTAATATTGATTTATAAAAAATCAAGTCAATAATGAATCTTCCCTTTAACAGGAAAGTGCCAAAAAATTGTCTTTCGTCTTGCATTTAACTCTAATGAAACCTTGAATTCTCAGTCTTCCGGTTTAAATTAAGTTAATGTTAAATAGTGTAAATATCGACTTGACACAGCTCTCACTGAAAGACCGAGAAATCAGGGATGACACTGGACGTACAAATGACATTTAATATGAGCTTTATCAAATAACATAGGCCTAGTGCACTAATAGGACCGAGTTGCAGAACTAAATTGTTTTGTTTCTCTATTGAGGTCGGTCAGTAGCGGCAATGTAGTTGGCTTAAGGTTATCTCTGTATGTCTGAGACATTTAAGATGTGAAAACATGGACCATGCATTCTAATAGTTTTCTTAAGTTTTTTTTCAAGAGGTTTTTGGCCTCTTTTAACATTGCATTTGTCCCATATAGGTTTCAGGCTTGTTTGTGAAATGTAGGCTGTTCTACCTAGAGCAAATGATGAACAAGAGTGAACTGTGCTATGGTACTGATAAAATTTAGCAGCTGGCTTCCCATGATATCGAAAAATGTTCTCCTAAACTCATATTTCTGTGGACAAGACTAATTTTGTAAACTGTTATGCTACTTACAGCCTGAGACAGTTAAATCTAAATTATTATTTTGTTTTAAGGACAGTACATTCAACCTCATAACAGGCCTTTGTTCAGATCTAGTCGAAGATACATTACATTGCTGCGCAAATAAGGAGGTCATAATAAAAAGCCTGAGATCAAAGGCATTTGAAATAGTACTTAACGTCAGAAATACAGAAACAGAAGGTAAGTGTATGTATAAATAAGAATATTCAACACTTTGTTCATTCACGTTTAACTTTGAAAAAACATTTAGAAAAATTCTGAATAAAAAAAAAGTTGCTTGATATACTATTGATGTAACTTTTCATTTCAAATTTTGTTACCTATAATTTTAAAGAAAGATATTTAAGTTATGATATGCTTATTTAAAGAGAAGGAAAATACGGTACTGTTAAGTTTTCGAACTAAAGGTCTCAGCATGCGCATATTATTTAATTTATAATATGTTTGGATCTCTGTTAAAAAGGGATATTTTCCACGGAGTTCTCAAAATTGGGTTTCTTATTCCCATTCACAAGGGAGGTGATAATGAGGATGTGAAGAACTACCGCCCTATAGTAATCCAGTCTGCTTTGGCTAAGATTTTCGAGGGCCTGATCTTAGATGTCATGGAATTTACATTTAAAAATATTATTGAACAGTATGAATTCCGACCTGGAAAATCTACAGTGACCAATGTAACCATCTTTTCAAGTGATGTCTTATCGTCCATCTCCTCTGGCCAGCACTCAGAGTAAAGTTTTCATCTGAAACATCGAGGCCGATAAATGTGAGTTCTGGTGTTCCTCAGGGATCTCTCCTTGGACCATTCCTTTTTAGCCTTTTTATCAATAATGTGGGCAAGTCTCTGAATTCAAAGTTCCTCCTTTTTGCAGATGATGTCAAGATTTATACAGACACATATCTTCAGCAGAACATCATTTTGAACTGCAGGAAGTCCTTAACTGAGTAGTCTATTGGTATTATATAACAACTATTTTAGCGTATCTAAATGTACAGTGATGTCTTTTGGAAGGTCTAGGGATCTTCTGACTCTTGATTTCTATATCGGGACCTCAAAATTGTCCAGAGTCACTTGTACTAAAGATCTTGGGGTATTCTTCACACCTACATTGGATCCTGGCGAACACATACAAAGAATCTGTAATAAAGCTAACTCAGTTTTAGGGGCCATATTTAGACTTTCAAGAGGAGGATCTCTTTCAGTACCAACTTTAAAGGTACTGTATGTATCACTGGTTTGGCCTATATTAGAATATTGTTCCGTAGTCTGGTCCTCTTACGAGATAAGACACATCAACTCCATCAAAACTATCCAAAGACGCTTTTTTTGATTGGTTGGTGTAAGATCTAGAATCAGATACGCTGATGTGATTGTTGACCAAGTGCAAGAGAAGCTGCAACTTCAGTCTTTATCATTCAGAAGAGCAGATTGTTGTACCGTCATCCTCAACAAGTCAGAATATGTAAACAAAGTAAGAGACTTTATTGAAACTAACTCTATTGTCACTTTGACCAAGGACCCCACACCTGTTTTTTCGAAAGAGATAAATAAACTAATATCATCATGTAATAACCTTTAAACTAGTGAAGAAATCAGGCATCTGAAAGTCACTAACCCTAGCGCCCCCGTGCTTAGAGGTTTACCTAAAATACACAAGGAAAATATACCTAGGCTATAAGACCGTTGGTAAATTTCACCCCTTCTCCTACCTATAAAATCGCCAAAAAGTTAGACAATATTATCAGAAGAGAGATTATTTTAGAAAATAACCTTAGCTTAAAAAACACAGTAGACTTAGTAAGCCAGATATCTAACATAGAAATGAAAGACTCATATATACTTGCATCATTTGATATTGTTAGTCTATTCACAAACGTACCCATAGATGAAACCATTTCTTTACTCAGAAAAAACTTAGACAAACACACCTTAGCTACGGAAGCAAAGAATAAACTGATAAATTTAGTACGCTGTGTCCTAAAACAAAGCTACTTCACATTTGAGAACGAATATTATAAACAGAATGAAGGTTTAACGATGGGGTCGCCGCTATCAAGTATTCTCTCTGAATTATTTCTGAACAACTTAGAAAATCAACACTTTTGGTCGGACTCGAACCGCCAACGTAGCAAAATAGTTTTCTACAGAAGATATTTGGACGACACACTTGTATTGTTCAACGGTAACATTAGACAAATCAGCATTCTCAAAACATACCTCAACAATGTGCATAAAAATATGAAATTCACTCTTGAAACGGAAGTATCTAAATCTATTAATTTCCTGGATCTCACTATAACAAGAAAAGACAGTAACTTAGAGTTCAGTATCTACAGGAAGCCGACTACAACTGACCAAACTATCCACTCATCATCACACCACCCCTATAGCCACAAATTATCCGCCTACAATAGTTTCGTCCATCGTCTACTCACCGTACCACTAAGCCCAACCAACTACAATAACGAAGTTAAGATACTAAAGCATATTGCAGTGTCAAATGGATACAGTAGCAACCTCATAGACAAATTGATCAGAAAACACCGTAACCGAACCGAAGTAACCTCCAAAGAAAATAACAAAAAATATGTTAGCGCTGAATTCGGTGTAGTTTTAAATGATACTCTGCGAAAAGAACTGGCAAAAAATGATATAACAGTATCGTTTAAGACGACAAACAAGCTGTCGTCATTGGTCAGAGTCAAGAACAGATCCCACATAGATAACAACAACAAAACCGGAATCTATAGATTAAAATGTGACAACTGTCCCAGCTTTTACATAGGACAAACTGCCAGATCTTTCACAACCCGATTTAAAGAGCACCTACCGAAAAAGAACTCTAAATCAGCTTTTTCTAACCACCTAACAGCCACAACCATAACTATACAGACATTCACAATAATCTGGATATTTTACACTTTTGCAATAAAGGACGCCATATGGATACGATAGAAGAATACGAAATATATAGGGCATCAAAAGAACAACCACATCATATTTTGAACGAAAAACAGTCCTTTGAGTCTAATATAATTTACAACACAGCCATCCTGATATCTGATTACCAAACAAAAGAAAGAATAGATAAGGATAGAACAGGGGTAGGGGTCAGCGCTGCCGACACGTGACAGTCGCGACTTACCCTTCACCGGCGCCGTATCACGTTTCACAGTCGTTCCTTAATTAGTGTTTAAATGTTTCGTGCGTGTTTTCGTGTGTGTAAATGTCTACATGTATTTCGTAAAACCATGATGAATTCAACACCGAGGGATATTTTATAGAAAAGCTGGCGTTCTACAAACCTGAGGATGTGCCAATGTAAGGCATGAAACAGCTGTAGTTTCTTAAAACTACCGTGGATCGGAGACAGAAGCCAGGTTACATAAACCTTATTAGTGCTAATTTTAACGATCCAGAGGCCAACCATCATGAAATTGGAAACCTGTTATTTCTCCACAAAATTGCCATCGGTATGATGGACTGCCCTGAAATTCTCGCATAGCTGGACTTTCACATCTCACAAGGAACTCGACAGCAGCATCTTTTCGCCAGACAGCATTGCCCAACTTCATATCTGTACTAAATTACTATTTCAAGTTTGATGAGATTGGGAAATGCAGCGCAAGTGCATCTATTCAATTTGAGTCAAGCCGAATTCAAGAAAAATTTTAAGTGTTTGTGTAAAGCAATAATCCTGATTAGTGCAAAGTTTAGGTTGAATCTCTGGTGCAATGTGCTTCTCTCTGTCAATATATTCCTTTCTCTCGCCCTCTTGTCATTTACCTTCTTATCAGGTACAGAACTCAATCTTTTTAAGTCTTACTTATCAGACCGCAGGCAGCAGGTTGATGTTGCGGGTATATTGTCAGATGAGAGTGAGGTTTTTTGCGGAGTGCCCCAGGGCTCGGTGTTAGGCCCTGTTCTTTTCCTTATAATGATTAATGATTTGGATAAATGTATGTCCTGTACTTCTGTGATTTATGCGGATGACTCCACTTTCTTAAATAGTCAAGGTACCTTTAGTGAACTCATGGTGCTGTCCAAACTTTCCCTCAATGAAGCTAGGAACTGGTTCAGTGTCAATGGGTTTTTTATGAATCCTGAAAAGACTCAAACTATTGTTTTTAGGTTTAGGTCGCACACCTGAGGAAGAAAAGAATTTTTCGTCAAGTGTAAATTTATTAGGCATAGATTTGGATAGTGATTTAAGCTGGTCAACCCATTTATATAACTTAAGTAAGAAATTGTCAAGAGTTTTATTTTTAATTAGACGTCTAAGAGATTTTGTTCCTCCTTTGTATGTTAGATCTGCGTATTTTGCTTTTTTTCAAAGTCTGTTAAAGTATGGTCTGTTACTGTGGGGTAACTCCACCCACATTCTAATAATTTTAAAGCTTCAAAAAAAGGCTGTAAGACTGTTGACCAATTCAGGGTTGAGGGACCATTGTAAACCTCTTTTTAAAGCAACAGGTATCCTGACAACTGTAAATTTGTATATATTAGAGTGTGTTATTTTTGTAAAACAAAATTCACATTTCTTTAGCTCAAGAAAAAATTTTCACTCATATTACACAAGGGGAAGATCTGCTTTGGATAGGCCCTACACCAGACTAACAACAGTACAGCAAAGTTTTGCTAGTATATCAGTAAAAATAGTAAATTGTTTTGCAAGTGAAATACTTGACATTCCTTGTACTCGGCTAAAACAAAAGTTGATGGTTTGGCTTGCTGACCACCCTTTTTACAGTTTAGATGAATTTTTTGCAGAATACAATTGTAATGGTAAAATTGTTATCTAGTTCTTACTTAGTCCCTAGTCAACTGTTACCTAGTCTTTCAAACACTTGTTTAAGTAGGTACCTCACTTTTGTTTCATATATATAGTTACTGTGTTTTTCAAATGATTTTAGCTTTATTTTCTTGTTGTCTTTGTTATATTTAAGTTTAGTGAAGATTCCATGTTATAGACCATGTTATACTATCTAGAATCTATGGCCCTTTTTTTGTTAACGAGGTCTATTGTAACATATGTTATTTAATGACCAATAAAGATTTATGATTTATCAATGGTTGTAAACTCCTCATTTTCACCTATATCTCTAGGGGGGTAAGGTGAAGGGCCTTGGGGGGTGGGTAAGGCTGTATAATATCTCACAGCTATTGCCTTTTTACTTTATCTTATCCCAAAGTTTTGTATGGATTTCAATTCTCCATCAAAAGTTTATATGTTTGTTTGTAGTTCTTTGCTGTTGAGCTTAGTTTTGTTGTTTTAGCTTAGTGATTTAATTGTTACTAGTGTACCTGTTGATCGAATTCGAGCAATTGCGAAATATTACAGGGGTGAATTTTAAAACGAATAACTGTCATAATTTTGGATGACTTTAAAAGAATCGATTCAAAGATTACTGAATACTCACGATGTACATAACAGTTTGATATAATCAACATTTCTTATAAATATTATCATTAGGTAATATTAGAGAAAAGATATTATTATTTGAGAATAATATTATATCAGGTAATAGCTTCAAAGTTCACTGTTTTTTTATTACCATTGCTAGTCACATTGTCTTATTTTATTAATGATAACAGATTTTTTTGTTTTGTTTCATTGTTAAGTCAAGTAGTAAATTTTCTTATTACTTTAAACAGTTTTGTTCTTTTCTTTTTTTTCACCTTTCATATCACTTTTCTAATGTAGCTCAGATTTTTATTTCTTGGTTGTAAATACTGCAATTATTGTCAAAGTTGTTTGTTTATAATGTTCCTGCTTGCTGCTAAGTGTTTACCTGTCCAATTGTCTTGTCAATTGTAAAATGTTTGTACTAATTTAAGATTAAGTCTATATTGTTAACTGGTTTATGCCATTAATAAACAAATTGAATTGAATGAAAACAGTATACTACAAAAAATACTCAAACTGTGAATAAACTGCTTAAAAAATATGATGCTATATAGCTTTTCCACATTATTTTTAGTCTATGTACTTTATGAGCTGATACCACTGTCCTGATGTGTGTGTTTGAATTAAATATAAAAAACATTCCTTGAATAGCCTAAGTGATTTTTCCACTTGTCATTCCTAAATGAGTATTCAGACTAGTAATGCTGCCACGATTTTCAGATGAATTGGAAGGAAGTCCACAACTACTTCTCGCCAATATTCTGGATCATGTTTACAGCAAAGCAAAAGCCAAGGGACAGTGGACTGAGCTCATGTTTGAACACGTTGATCATGTATTGGACAGAGCGGAAACATTAGCCGAGGCCAACCCATCATTTGTATCAGTGCTGAAGTTTCTTATACATCTAGCAAATACTGTCCCTACATCAGGAACCATACCTCACCAGGTTTGATTATAAATGTGCTTGTATCCATACTCTTAATAACAGTTATGAACAATTTGCAGTGGCTTAGTCAGGTTTGGAGTACCGTACCCTGGCTATTGTGTTTTCAATTAATTGTTCAAGTTGAGTGTTGCCTTAGCTTTAAAAAAGATGGTTCACTCATTTAAACTGTTAGACGTTTAAATCATTGTTCATCAAGTCAATGAGATGGTTTGGATTCCATTTGATTGTGAAATTGATAATAAATAATTGCTGGCCCTCCTTAACCGTAAATTTCACTTGCAACATTGTGGTTTTTTATTACTTCCTAATGGTTTTCAGTTTAAAAAAAGACTTCTAAGCATGTTCAATTGTAACAGGTATTTTAATTAAACTTAAACACTCATTGACCATTTCCGAAGAATTTGAACTAACTTGTGCAGCTCTTACCAGCAGTAGTACAGGCCACGGGGGCGAGGATCAGTAGTTATCTAAACTTTTTGACGGGGATTAAACTACGTTTATTTTATTTTTACACAATCATTTGATAATTTAGTAATAATATTTTTGTTTATAAAATAGATGCATTATTGAAGAAAAGCTAACTTTAGTTTTATAAACATACTATTCAAACAAAATTAGTAACGAAACGATAACTATATTCGTTAAGAATTTCCGCCCTCCACAACCTTCTGCCCTGGAGCAACTGCTCCTCTGTATCATAAATGTATCATAAACAACTTGAGGTGTTTTGGTTTGTTCCGGTTTAAGATTCTATCCTGCTGGATATAAGGCCCCTTTGTGGTCCAAAAATGTTAAAATTTTATAAATTTGTACATTACTATCTCCCGCAACATTTATTATGTGAGAAAGTTTTTTTTTTGTCAAAACCATTGTTTGATTTGTTGGTTGTTCTTCTATATTTGAACATTGTTTTAATTGCAGCTGACTTTAAAATTGTTTTGTAATTGGTTTAGTTTTAGCGAATTTCCCTATAGGGAAGTAGCTATTACCGTAGGTCTCATGGTAAGACCTAGGCCCGGGACCAATTTACTTTTTCATTTTGATGTGATATATATATCTAATATATAAAATTCTCGTGTCACAGTGTTTGTCTGCAAACTCCTCCGGAACGACTTCACCGATCGTTATGAAATTTGGTGTGTAAATTCTGTAGGTATGCGAATCGGACGTAAACTATTTCCCGTTTCGAAATTCTTAAAAGGGCTCCGCCCCAGTGGCTCTGGAGTTTCCCATGTTAACCTTATGAGAAATGGAATTAATGAATCTTAACAGCTGTTTCAATTAAACAAGTTGGTTCTGTTCTATGATGTTCAATAGCATTAAAGTTACAAGGATTACCAACAGGGTGCAGCACTATTATTTCTTTTACATTTATGACAACAGCTAATTTGCAACCAAAAGGTGAGTGAGCGTAGCGAACGAACTTCAACCTGGAGGCGAGTTAGCGTAGCGAACGAGCTAACCTGAAGGCAAGTGAGCGCAGCGAACGAGCTCCAACCTAAAGGTGAGTGAGCGTAGCGAACGAGCTCCAACCCAAAGGTGAGTGAGCGTAGCGAACGAACTTCAACCAGGACGTGATTGAGCGATGCGAACGAGATCATCTTGAAAATTAAACGTAACGGTACTTTCTTTCCATCGGTCTGTCTTAGGGGAAACCTATAACTTAGGCGATACGAAGTTCGCCGGGTCAGCTAGTATATATATATATATATATATATATGTCCATCCGCACGATAACTAGAGTAATTTTTGTCCGATTTTGATAAAATTTGGTTTGAAGGTGTAAGGCGGAATAAACTTGAATGAGTTCGCGAACCAGCATGATCGGACCATGGGAACGGGGTTTTACGGGGGGTTTTATGGGGGTTTTATGGGGTAAAAATGGGTTTTTCTCATTTTTTACCCTTAAAACACAAAATTTATCCATTTTTCTCCAGACCTTTTTAAAGAGCTTAAAAAAACAAATAATTTAGTATATCAAAGTGTTTTTGTACAGTGATTGGTTACGGTGAAAATTCAAAAAATGTTTAATTTAAAATTCCCATGTTATTCTTCTGGTGAATATTATAATATGTTGTAGTTGGCTTGTTTATGGATATATTTTGATCAAACTTGGCAGATTTATTTATTTCATACTAAGCTATTGATATTTTAATAAAAAACACACTTTATTAATTTCCCTGTAGCCTGTAGCAGCTAACCTAGGTACTCGTTAAACATAAATGTTAATTTTTTTTTATTAATTGAAAATCAATCCAGGCAAATGGAAATTCATTAAGTCGGCAGGTTTGCTGCAGCGGGGGTATTTGTTCCAAGTTTGTTTTTACTTGATGTTTATATACTTGAATAAGTGAATTTTGCCTAAATATTTATGTATTGCCTCTTCAATGATGGATATTCAACATACAATATTACATATCGAGTAATGTCCATGTTAGAGTGACTGATGTCCTTCCGAACACAAGTGATGCATTTAATGAGGCAATCCTGTAGGCAACAACGGCAATTAGCTAGGGTTGACATGAGACAAGGCCCCACTAGAAAAACAGGCCATGCTGCAGGATCCATGACGTCACACTAGTGGATAGATTTCATTGATAAATTCATTGCCATCGTCATTCCCATATGTTTTAGGTAAATAAACAAGCTGGCTGTTTGTAAGATTTTAATGGTAAGAGTTTAGCACAACTATCCACCACTGTGACGTAGTGTTGCGCTGCCCGTGCTGCAGCATGGCCTGTTTTTCTAGTGGGGCCTTGCATGAGAAGGCATCATTCTCCTATCCTGACCAGCTGATCGGTCAGGCTTAAATAAACAAGAACACAACAATAAAACAATATTCCATTTACACCCCTTTACAAATTCAGTTAGGATACACAATTATCCACAATAAAAACAAATTGTCGCTACATTATTCTTTGAACAGAATTAAAATAGCATCCCACATTCAGTTCATTGGTACCCATCTACACATTGTGAAAGAGCAGTGATTGTTCCAAATTGACTATGTCATGTAGCCTCAAAATGCCAATGTCTCCTCATTAGGCTCCCTGTAGTGTCTTAGCAAGAAGATTATCTTTCCTAAAACGGGCATAGTGATGTTTAATGATTATTAGACTAGAAGGTTGTTTGTTCATGTTCATATTATTTGGAATCAGTGTTTCAAAGAAGTTATATTGATAAAAGAAGTGTGAATAGCCTAAATAGTTTTTCATGTAAGACTTTGAGGTTATTTAAATGTTATCCTATTTTTATTTCAGAAACACTTACATGGTGCGGAAATGAAAATATCCATCACCGACCACAGTTTCAAGCATGAACCTCTAATTGATTCTGATCGTCCATTTAGCCCTACAATCTTTAAGGTGCCCTCTGCAGCAAGGAGTGAAACTATTCATGATCTACAAGCATTCGCTGAATCTCCTGGGACAGGGTTAAAACATGAACAGTTTTTCAATTCTTCTATAAATGCATTAAGGTATGTAGGGCCCACTTTTAAGTGGATTCCTTTTGGTTTGAGTTAACCTGTTGTTAATATAACCTGTTATTTATTTAGTTCATCTGATAGGTTTAACATTTAACAGGTTCCAACACTAAGATGATGTCTTTAACATTAAAGAAAATAAAAAGTAGGTTATTTATAAAATATTGAAATTTAAATTGTCAGTAACCTGTAACCATTGTAAACAGTGTCGATAACATTCTTAATCATCTAGTGGAGGATATAACTTCATTATGGGCATAACAATTATCATGAAAATCTCAACTGAATCTTAATTGTAATTAATAATTAGTATAATTTATTTTAAAAATTAGCACGTTTTGTAATATTTAGCATTTATGTTAATTGGTTAAATTATTACAGTTCATGTGTGGTTGGAATAAGAATCAAATACATTTAAAGATAACCAGGGTTAAATATAAATTTTCAAATTATACAAATCTGTAATATACTTGTTATTTAAAATAACTGCCCAATGAGTAATTCAAAACCCTATTTTTTTTAATAAAATAGCAATTCAACCATTCTAGGTTGCTAACAGTACTTGTAAATTTTCCAGTATGAAGTCAAGGAGATTCGAAGAAGATATTAACAATGGAAACTGGTTTAATTCTAAGATAAATAACATGAACATACCAGTAGACAGCTCTGCCACCAACCCAAGGTTCAGCATGCATCAAGTAAGTGACCAATTCAAAATGCATATCAATTTTCAATGGTTATCAAGGCCTATGGGCATCAAGGCTTATACATCGGACATCAAGAAAATGTGGTTGTGTTGCTAGCCTAGTGGTTAGCATCTCGGACTTCGGTGCGGGAGGGACGGGTTCAATCCCCGGCACATCCACAAAACTTTAATGGGTTTGGACCGCTTTCCCTTAAAAGTGTTTGAAATGACTTCATAACAAAAATGCCACTGGCGTAGATATGAGCAAAAAAAAAAAAAAAAAAAAAAAAAAAAAAGAGTAATATAACCAAACTTCCAATTACCAGTATTAAAGCATACCTCAACAAAAACAGCCAAAACCTGTACCTTGTGCTTCAACTTCGGAGTCAACCTTAGAACTAAACTTTCATACATTGTTTAACCCTTACTGCGCTGTAGATGAATATACTCACCTTTTAATACAGAGTGCATTGGCTAGTCTTGGTAGTTCCCAGTTTTGCAAAAAAAAAAAAAAAAATCAGCCTTGACTTTTGGGGAAAATATTTTTTTTATTTAGCGTTACGGTCAATGCTATCGAACATAATATCTGCAGTGCGGTAAGGGTTAAGTTGATCTGGACCATTTAAAATAAAAGACATCGATGAGAACTGAACAAAAATTAGTAAACTGCTCAAACTAATCTGTTAAGGTACGTTTCCATTCCTACAAATTTGTGCCAGTGCGACTTTTATGCCCGCCGACTGTGCGACAAAACATGTGCCCGAGTTGCTGGCACATGTTCCCAGTTGGAATGGAAACGGCCCGGCACATGTGCCTGCAACTCGCGTGTGCGCAGGTCTGCGGAACAACCACTATTGCCATATACTTTAAAGTTTTTAAATTCAAAGGACGTAGGCATTTCACAAAATATCATCCAAACCCACTAAAAAGGCACATCTAAGATAAAACCTTTAATTTCATACCAAATATGTCTAGAAAAATATTTAGGGATCTATATATTAATTTGAAACTGTTTTTCTTTGTCATAGCTATTTTGAGAGAACGGCTTGGCGTAGAAACTTGGTAGGGGTGTCTAAAGAAAGGTCTTGGTCTGTAGATGAGCCATCAAAAGAGAAACGTGGTAAATTCCCTAGGGGCTCTGCCCCAGTGGCCTTTAAAGTTCCATCCCATGTTATTCTTATGGAGGAAAACGGGGTTTTTGTCACAGCTAATTTGAGAGAACGGCTGGGCGTAGAAACTTGGTAGGGGTGTCTAAAGAAAGGTATTGGTCTGTAGGTGAGCCCTCAAAAGAGAAACGAGGTAAATTTCCTTGGAACTCTGCCCCAGAGGCCTTTAAAGTTCACTCAGCAATGTTGTTTACATTACGACCATATGGATAATTTTACACTACTTTTAATGAACCAGCTGTTAATATTAAAATTGTATTCAAAAGTCTACTGAAACTGTCAAAATTAAATGTTTACATTATTATTTATGATTTTAAATTGATTCTCCACTGCATGGCAAGTTTTTTATAGTTTCAACAAAATGATGAATTTATTATACGTTTTAAATGTTGTGATCAAAGATATATGCTTTATTGCTCTTAGAAAATTTTAAATTATGAAATAAGTGTGACATCAATTTTAAAGGACCATAATTATTCCTTATCGGGTTAGCTTATATATATTGTAAGGTTGGCACTTGCCTTTTTTTGCCTACTTTCAATTACCATTCATTTTTGAATTCAAGAAAGAACACCAGAAATTCATTTATTGGTATACAAGTTTTCGACAATCGGGTAAAAAATTGTGTCATAGATGAGTACGTTGAGGATGAGAGCTGTGTTCAAGTTTTGGAATAGACTAACTACGGAGTATGTTTCATCTATGGTTTTTGTGAAGTAGGTGAACTAATGTCAATTCAGGTATTTAAAAGAATGTGTACAGGGTTTTTACTTTGCTCTACACATGTAACAACGCATCTAAACCTCACTTTATACAAAGCATTCGGAAACACAACAGTGTTATCACATCTAATCGCATTTGGACTAGGTTATGGATTTGGTTCCGCAAATGATCAAGATTTGTGATCAAATTTCCTACAATTATGGTTCATTCCATCCACGAAATACGTGCACAGCTTTATGTTATCGATCTGGCCAAGGCGAAACTATCCCATAAGTTAATGAATTATCAAGTAAGAACAGGATGATTAAATACATGGGTCAATGTGGCAAGAGAAGGAATTAAAATTGCTTAGATTGAAGTAAGAATCTTACTGCTTTCTAGAGAATCAGATATTTTTATCAAATACAAAAAAAACTGATTTAATATGCTGATACAATTCTGTATTTTTATGACCAAAGATGAAGATTTACTTATAAATCCGGATACAATCTGAATGATTTTCCTAAAGCAGATTGAATTAGTTGTTAGTAATAAATATTGACTCTTTCCGTAACATGATAGACTAATTATATGAACCCATTCTCCCATATAGTGAAAGTGGCTTTGACATGAAACAAACTCATGAACAAACAATTATAAGACTCCTAAAAAACCTTTTGGGCAACCTAAAGCCGATAAAAAGGTAGGAAATATTGTGTTAAACGAATTCATCAATCACGTTTTTTAGGGAACACAATCATCATACTTATTATTATGTTTTGTTTATCCTCCCTTCATTTAACTAAGATTTTAATGACTTCACTCTATCTATCGCAGTTAGCTAAATTTACATAAAACCTCAAGTTTAACCGTCGATTTCGACGGGGTTCTACTAGTTGATAATTAATTATGTTCTATGCAAAATCAAGAAAGTTATTTCATGCATCGTATGTATTTAGATGGATAGATTTATTCAAGGTTGTAAAGGTATTTGTCGGATCAATTCTTATCTGAATGTAGACCTTAAAAAACTACAGAAATGGCTTTGCTTGCAAACTACAGTTATGGGTCTTGATATCGTTGATTTAGATCTCCGGTGAAGGTACATCAATGAACTGTAGCTATTGCCTGTCGCTAAAAATCATAGTTGTAGCTAAAAATGTTGCCATGAGGAATAGGTTTTTAACAATTGCTGTTTTTTACAATTTCCTGTACCTAGCTCTAACAAGAATTCAAAATCATGGAAAATCACAAGGAGGAAATTTTTGAAGCCACTTTGTCAGCTCTAATCTCTCATTAAAAAGGCGCCTTTCGAAGGTATTTTAGCCAAAAAACTTGTTATTGAACATCCAGGCTATTTTTGTAATTTTCTTCTAAATTCATTTTGTGCACCAGCCATAATTAAAGAAGCAGAGGCTGCTATGTCATCCATGGTGATTTATAGAAAACAATATAATATAAATAAAATACCGAAACTTATTACATCGCAAGAGATTAACTGATATTGCCTGCAGGCCTAGTCGCGGGACTTGTGCCCCATGTGCTTGGAATGGAAACGGCATGACAAATTACGCGCAACACGTGCCTCGACATATGCCGCGACATGTGCCTGCAACTTGTAGTAATGGAAATGTAGCTTTACAGTAGTTTAAACTTTACATTTAATTTAGTATGACTTTTTGGTTGCCCTCAGCTACTGAATATGTTCTTCTTACCTAGATCCAATTTTTCACATAATATAAGTTACATTTATTCTTTGTCATACTGTAGCAAAGTAACAGCCGTTTTTAATACATGCGTTGCGGGTCTAAAGTAGCTCTTTCTTAAGTAGTTGGGCTATGTGTGTACCAAGGTTTTGATTGGACTCTTGTGATCATAAGATGATGTATAACATGGACAAAATAATCACTTAGGATTATGTAATGATTCATGGATAATCCCTGGGACTGAAAGGTACCTTAACCTGTCCATTTCCCATTTGTTTTCTAAAAGAAAACACATAATCTCTGCAGATAACAAACTCATTTGGTTTTTTGAAGTGCCAAAAGCACCAAAATGCAATGTTTTACCTGTATACCTGCATAATATAATTTACAGGATGAAGGATATGTAACCCCAGATCAAGATTTAATTGAAAATGAAGATCTCGCTTATATTCCATGGGAAGATATGGTTGATGACTTTAATTTGGTCTACGGATGGAAGAATTTTGGTTCTGTAGCGACAGCAAAAGAACCTCAATTTGTTCTTGAAAGAAGAGATTCAGTAAACCAGATTGGCAGGGTAATCCATGCCTCATGTGTTGTATCATCAAGGTCTGCCAAATCTAATACAACTACATTAACAACTGTGAGTCTTCAAGAGTTAGAAGTGGCATTCAAGAACCTCTTGGTTGGCGTTGAATCCAGCATATTCCTGTATGATAAGGTAATTTATTTTATTTTATAAACAGCAAATTGTATCTTCAATGCAGTCAAGAGATCCATTAAAAATAATTGTACAAGTTGAGGTAGCTGAAATAAAACGTTAACAAACTGTGTTCAATATCAATAATGCTAGGGATTCAACTGGTGGTAGCACTGAATGAGAGAATTGCCGTTTTTACCTGGAGATAAAGTGCATTGTACTTAGTAAAACTGAACTTGGGGATTTGGGATTGCATACATGAAGCCATGAGCCAATGAGCTGATTCCCCTATTCGTTATTTATTTAACCCTCCGAGTGTTATGTTTCGTAAAAGCGACTCATAACACACTTTGTTAACCACGCACCGATGACTGATGTGTTTTATTACGTTTATCATTGTTTTAGTGTTAAAAATCAAAAGTAGTGATATACGTGGTGCATTATAAGAAGTGAGTTTGAAGGGCTGGTTGATGATCCTGAAGAAGTAGGTAGTGATATTGATGTAAATTATCAGCCAGATTCCTAGCTATGGTTAGGCTATGCATTCTTAGCTAAACACTATGTACCGAAATCTGTTTTTTGCCCATAACTTATTTATTTGTATATCTACTTATATTATTATATTTTTGGAATCCTCATAAAATTCTGAACGAAATGGCTATTTCAAAATATTTGTAGACCTATAAATTATAACAATTTATTGAGCGCAAACATAATTTTTTTTCATTTATTTTATAATTTTTGAGAAATGTTAACCCCACAAAAATTGTTGAACATTTTTTTTGTAATGTTTTATATGTTACATTAAAGCCCATAATTTTCCAAACAAAATGATATATAAAACAGTATACTTTACATTGTTTTTAAGTCTCTAAGATACATTTTAATAAAACCCTGCGATTGCGAAATAAATGGGCGAACATTAAGACCAAAACTAGAGACACTTGGAGGGTTAAAAAATGTAAATCCTCTCAATTTTCTATCAGAGTTGCCGTATCAGTGCTTCCTTCAGTTTATTTCTGGACAATATAAAATAGGTTTACGTACCTTATGTCGTCAATCCTAATGCAGTCTCTCACAACGTGAACAGCAAGGTACTTAAACCTATTTTATATTATCTTGAATCAATCCTGGAGGCAATGCTGAATAGCCTGCCATCAGAAAACATGTGTGTTTGCTTACAATTTTGTACATTTTGAATTGTTTTAATTTTCAGAGAAATAAAAACATAGTGCATACAGTTTTTAAGAGTCATGGGAGGTACTTTTGCGGATAAGTTAATCTAAATACTCTATTGTTTTTTAATTTATCTGCTAAATTTATTTTTTAAATTTTAGAAAGTATGGAACAAGGTTGTGGTGTTGTTCAGCAAGACAATTGTGTAGTAAGCCATAAATAAACAATGTCCATAATAAATAAATAATAAACAATGTCCATAATAAATAAATAAATACAACAATAAATAAAAAAGCCATAAATAAATAAACCATAAATAAATACATCCTGAAAAATGTAATCATTCATTGACAACTCTTATTCCACCCACACACACATTGAATGCAGATCTCCTGATTACCTTTCAAAATATTTTGAAGTAAATCTAATACATACCTCTGAGGATCAAGTACCACCTAGATGGTTGCCTCGTTGAGAAAAGATCGTTACTCTTAAAATATTGCAACATAATTTGCCAAATGGATCCATTGGAGACAAAATTTGTACAATTACCAGCAGAAGAAATATTGTTGCTGGCAACTGGAAAAGAAACCTCTGAAAGAGTAATGTATTTCATTGCTGTTATTTTGCAGAGAGAAAAAATGATAAAACAAACAAAATCTATCAGAAGACTAATTGTTAGAAGAATTAATGAGTGAAAGGAGGAGAGGTATGATGAGCTTATAAATGAGGCCATCCGATGCGATAGATCTTTAAAGAACAAATGTAAAAAACTTTACATATGAACAAAAACAGTTTATAGAAACTTATTTCAACAGACTTGTTCAATGTGGACAAATAAAAGATGCATCAAGATTAGTAAACTAAAATATGGTAGGAGGAATCCTTGATCCTGAAGATTATATCGAATTAAAAAGAATACCAGGTGTTTTCCAGACCTGGTATGCAGATACTCATCTGGTCAAGGATCCCTTATACAATGGTCAACCTTAGTCAAAAAAACCAAACTAATTTGGAACCTTGATTTTGAAATTCCCAAAAATATTTTGAAACAAATGGAGAGAATGGAAGTTGTTCATAGCAGTAAGTTTGTAGGAGGTTTATTGCCTGTGAGGAAGATAAGACAAAATTTGCAACAGAAAAGACAAATGCTTTGTAAATACATGGATTTTCAACACAGTGTGTTGAAAATCTTGCTGAGATTGCTGAGGAACACACTCAATCAGCCCATACTGTTGATACAAAATCATTACAAGCTGAATGGACCTTTTTCAGAGAGTAGTAAAGCGGCCTACACACTACACGTGCATGGCACGGCACGTTGTTGCCAACACACTTGATCTTCAGGGTAGCCTGCAACGTGCCAAACTACATTGTCTGTTTGTACAAATTAAATGCAGAACACAAACTTATGGCATGTTTTAAGGACATACTTAATTTATTGTAAAAAATAGAAATAGACAGCACTAAACCACCTTAGGTTAGTCCAGACATTGCATCTCTACCGTACAGATATACGCCAGCAGGGCACATGGTTCACAGGACTGTAGTGGAGGATGTGTGCTCTATAGTATAATATATTGTATAGAGATCCATGACTGCGTCTCGGCTCATGCATCACATACGGCGCGTGTTCCATTGTGTTATAATATTGACTAGAGGACCCATGCTGCTCCGCAGCGTTAAAATAAATATAATATCCATGAAATAATCAAATTTATGATTTTTCATTTAGTCATCTTAATCACTTAAATAAAAGCCGATAATTCACTGAAAGTTCTTAGACCAAAATATATAGGATTATATAATAATTATAACTGGTGAAATACATCTTAAATTGATGTAAAAATTTGAAAATTAATCAAATAGTTTTTTAGTCAAGTAATACAGTAGGTAAGTATTCGCCGATGCTTGATGTGAAATTTTTGCGTGCATGACTTCCATTTGAGACCTAAATCATGAAAATTGATCAGGTAGAAGAGCCAAACTAACTTGGAAAAGAGAAACAAAATTTTACTCCCATAAGAAATACATGGGGAGCAAATTTCGTTTACGTATAACCAGAGTTGGATCATAGATAAATTTATGCCGATGCTCGATGGCAAATCTGTGCGAGCATACCTTCAATTTGAGACCTCAATCATGAAAATTGGTCGGGTAGAAGAGCCAATCGAACTCGGCAAAGAAGAACCAAATTTTACTCTCATAAGAAATGCATGGGGAGCAAATTTCGTTTACGTATAAGCAGAGTAGGATTATAGATAAATATATGCCGATGCTTGATGGCAAATCTGTGCGAGCATACCTTCAATTTGAGTCCTCAATCATGAAAATCGATCGGGTAGAAGAGCCAAACGAACCCGGAAAAGAAAAACCAAATTTTTTTAATATATAAGATGGTTCTGCCAAGGACAAAATGACGTCGATTCACAAATAAGAAAGAACTATTATAGAGTCAAACCCTGTCAAAAATTGTTGAGCTACCAGCACGTGGCATGGGACCGCCTACACACTAGCACGTCAGAACAGCGTGCTTTGGCACGGCACACAAAAAATCAAACTCGTTTTGATTTCCACCGTGCCATGCCAATGCACGCCGTGCTTGCACTGTGTTCACCACACACTGGCACGTTTCGTCTGTTTTTGGCACGACATGCTTGCACGGCGTGCAATGCACGTGTAGAGTGTGGGCCGCTTAAAAGTTGAACCAGAAATGTTCAGTCCAATCCAGCACACTATTAGAACATCACTTTTCCTCCATCTGTTTGGATTACAAGAAGGCCTATGTAAAGAAGAGCATGAATTACTACATCTAACAGTAAAAAGAGGAGGAATAGGGATGGCTGGTAGTGCAATCGAAACACATACATGAAACTTCAAAAAGAGGGTGAGAAGTTCCATTACAATCTCTTGCACTAAAAAAATCTTTTGAGTTCAGAAGAATGAAGATACTTAAAAAAATCATTAAAGATCCATGGAGAACAAAAGAAAACTGGAGAAAACAAATAATTAAATAAAATTTAAAATGTTTTTCACGACAAAGGAAAATGTAATGCTACGAAACGCTGACCCTAAATCAAAATATGGCAGCTGATTATCTTGTATACCATTGAAGAAATTAAATTTAGGCATGTCACCGCAAGACTTAGGGATTCCCTGGCACTTAGATATGGTTGGACGCCAATCCACTTACCAACCAAATGTGATGGCTGTGGAAAAGTCTTTAATATAGACCATGCCCTTATATGTCCTGTAGGTGGCCTAATTATAAAATGGCACAACAAAATTAGAGATGCTCTAGGAAACGTTATGGAACAGGCATGGGGAAATTGTATAAAAGAGCCCCTTATAGCAGAGAATGGAAATGCAAATGGGCCTGCAATTAAAGCTGACTTGGCATGTAGAGGGGTATGGGAGACACAGAGGGGAGCATTATTTGATATTCGTGTCATAGACACCGATGCTCCCTCATATGTCTCCAAACCTCATGACAATGTCATAAAAAATTCAGAAGAAGAAAAGAAAGTATATGTCAGTCTGTGATAGCCGGAATGCCTCTTTCACTCCCCTGATAACATAAGTCTGCGGAATCCTATGCAACAATTTTCAAACACTAGCTGAGAGGTTGTCGGAAAAATGGGGTAAGCCTTACAGTCTGGTAGTTAATTGGATTAGAGTGAGATTGACTTGCTCAATTTTAAGGGCAACGAGCATGTGCTTGAGAAGGTCTAGAAAAAATTGAGATCTGCTCGAGAATTTGAAGATTGGAGCAGACATTCAACATATATATTTGAAAGAATCAAAATTTTTAGTTATATTTGTAAATTTAGATTTATTTATCTTGTAATTATTATTAAAAATTTTAAATTGATTTGTTTAATGCTTTAAGTGATTACATATTTTTAACTCCTACAAATTTGACTCATTAAACATTACACTTTTTTTGATAAATCTTGACTGTGCCTAATAACACTTTTGTTTAGGTGGTCTTTTGATTTATCTTCTTGTCCTGTCTCTTCCTTTCCCATGTTTACTTAAATAACTTGAAGACTAGAGATGTTGGAAAGGCTCTAAGCCAGTATTTTTTTATTGTTTCTAAGAAGAAATAAGGAGGATAACATCTAGCTTTAAAAAGTATAGGTAGGCCACAGAACATACAGAAGATACGTACAGAACACATAACATTTCGTCCACTGGGAACACTTGACTACCATAGACATAGAACATACAGAAGGTACGTACAGAACACACAACATTTCGTCCATTGAAGAACACTTGACTACCATAGACATAGAACATACAGAAGGTACGTACAGAACACACAACATTTCGTCCACTGGGAACACTTGACTACCATAGACATAGAACATACAGAAGATACGTACAGAACACATAACATTTCGTCCACTGGGAACACTTGACTACCATAGACATAGAACATACAGAAGATACGTACAGAACACATAACATTTCGTCCACTGGGAACACTTGACTACCATAGACATAGAACATACAGAAGATACGTACAGAACACACAATATTTCGTCCACTGGGGAACACTTGACTACCATAGACATAGAACATACAGAAGATACGTACAGAACACACAACATTTCGTCCACTGGGGAACACTTGACTACCATAGACATAGAACATACAGAAGATAAGTACAGAACACACAACATTTCGTCCACTGGGAACACTTGACTACCATAGACATAGAACATACAGAAGATACGTACAGAACACACAGCATTTCGTCCACTGGGGAACACTTGACTACCATAGACATAGAACATACAGAACACACAACATTTCGTCCACTGAAGAACACTTGACTATTTTGTGTTCTGTGTGTCTTCTCCTTCTGTATGTTCTATGGCCTACATGTACTTCAAAAAGTTTAAGCTTGCTGCTATCCTCTTTATAATACAATTGTAGACTAGAGATAGTATTTAAAAATAAAATATCAACTGTACAGTCATGTATTTTGAAATCAATAAAGTTATTTTCACACCTAACAAGTTAAAATATTTAAAAAAATCTAGGCTAATCAAACTTTTCTTTTTCCAGGATAGAAAATCATTTGTTTTACAAAAGGGGTTGTGTTTGAAAGAATTAATCCCAGATACATTGGAAGAATATTGTGAGGATTTTATTGAATGCGGAAATAATTTCAGACAGCTCAGTAAAGTCACTGAATTATCAAGAAAGTATGGTCTGGTTTTTCAGGTAATAGCAATACACACATTATTTAGGTAGCTTCGTATGACTGAATAAATATCATCCATGGCTTAAGAATATAAAACAAACTATACTGAGAGAATATAAATACCATATACTGTTTTGATTCAGTCCCACAAATGCGAGCTATTTAATACATAAAACTGCTAAAAGTGTTTAAGATGTCATTTCTTTAGGGACAGAACCAAGTAAATCCTTGAAAAAGCTTGCAATGATATAATTTCATTGTGGAGTGGTGTTTAAGCAATTATGGATATAGCCCTGATATAGTTTTCATCAAAGGTAGTAAGAAAGTAGCTTTAACAAGTTTAGGGGCGGAAAAATGATTGGGCCTAGGGGCGCCAAAATGCTAAATCCGGCCCTGTTTACATTATTTTGTTAGTTGCAATTTTTGGGATACTACATTTTTTTGTAGTAAGGGCCTCATTTTGAATTTTAGCACTGGAATCTGCATAACATAAGGCTGCCTCTGAAAATAAACGGTAGACAAACAGTGGAAGTTGACGAGATGGGTGGTTTCTTTGTTAGTTAAAACTCAAATCATGTAGTTTTGCTACTATTTAGATTTTACTAGCCCTTAATGTGTTTTTCTGCCCAAAATGGTTTTATACGAAATTGGATTTAATGAAATCATGAATAATGATTAGGCATAATTTCAAATTACATCTATAATAATTAAATACACAAAATGAAATGTATAATTGCAAATTGCAACACTAGTTTTATTCACTATTAATTTGTTTAGGGAAGTAGCTATTACCGTAGGTCTCATGGTAAGACTTAGGCCCGGGACCGATTTACTTTTTCATTTTGATGTCCCCAGAGGCCAAAAATACCATTCGTTCAAATTTTTATATATGTATATATATATATATATATATATAGGTATATATATAGATTTATATATATATGTGTCCGTGAACACGATAACTTGAGTAATTTTTATCCGATTTTGATGAAATTTGGTTTGAAGGTGTAAGGCGGGATAAACTTGAATGAGTTCGCGATCCAGCATGATCGGGCCATGGGAAAAGGATTTTATGGGGTAAAAATTGGTTTTTCTCACTTTTGACCCTCAAAACACAAAATTTTCCAATTTTTCTCTAAACCTTCTTAAAGAGCTTAAAAAAACAAACAATTCAGTATATCAAAGTGTTTTTGTACGGTTATTGGTTACGGAGAAAACTAAAAAAAATTTAAATTTAAAATTCCCATGTTATTCTTATGGAGAATATTGTAAAATGTTGTAGTTTGCTTGTTTATGGGTATCTTTTGATCAAACTTGGCAAATATATTCATTTTATACTAAGCAATAATTATTTTACTTAAAACACACACTTTATTAGTTTCCTTGTAGCAGCAAACCTAGGTACTCGTTAAACCTAATGCTATTTAAATAGATCAATTGAAAATCAATTCAGCCAAATGGAAATTCGCTTAGACAGCAGGTTTGCTGCGGCGGGGGTATATTGGTTAGCTGTTGTTTTTTTTATGCTGGTTGTTAACATTTAATTTGTTCATAAAAATACTACATCAGCACAACCCTGCTGCTTTGCTACTGTACAGGTACTATGCAACAACATAAGACAGTACCTACGTTGCTACCGAGGAGTCGTTTTGGAAATGACAACTTCACAAAGTCTACTGGAGACTCGTGATTGGCTACACCGACTCTCCTCTCAGATGCAATTCTTGATAAGTCTTTGTCCCCTTAAGAAGGCTAAAGAGGAGAAGAAGACTAAGGATATTCTCGTTTACTTATGTGACAAAATGCCAGTTCTTTACAGACAGGATCTTTCCTTTGTTTACCACTACATCCTACAATCATGCTTTACCGTCTATTTTACGTAAGTGTCATCATTTTATTTTTCTATTTATTAATTGTTAAGGTACAAACAAATAGTTGTTAATCACTAAATTTTTGTTTTTAGGAAAAAGCATTTATCTTGGATTTAAGAATTAGGCCCCTATGTAGGATGGAGAGGACACAACTAACTCACCTAAGGAAATGTTGCAGACGAGTCACAGAACAAATAAATTATATAATATCAACTGCTGAAGAGACCTCTGAAAGAGGCGAAATATCAGGTATTTTGTGTGTATAATCTATTTGTTCTGTGACTCATCTGCAACATTTCCTCATGTGAGTTAGCTGTATCCTCTCCAGCCTACATAGTTCTTTAATTCAAGTTTTTCATTGTTTCATAAATAAACAATAAAGTAAAAAAAATATGTTTATTTTTGCAATATTAGCGGTATTTCTATAGGTTTTGTTTTAATAAAAGAATAATATAACTATTAAGAAGAATACTAGATCCCTCCATCATATTAGATGAAAAAAACACTTTTTAAAATTTCGTTCTAAGCTTAAATTATATTTCACATAAATTATATTCCTGGCAGCCACATTATTGAAATAGGCTGCGCTTTGTATGAGAAATGTCAGTTGCCAGTACAATCTACTCCAGTAGAAAGTGTGCACCAATATATTACTGGATTTTGGTAAAGATGGTTTTAGGTCATGGTTTTAAGGATTTACTTACTTAATAATCACTAAAGCTACTTTATTCAGTTAAATACTCTACTTTTTTACTCTAATAATTGTTTTACTGTGTAAAATGTTGTTTGACAGTCAAATTAAATTATTGATGTTGAATTAAAGTATCTTCATTGTTTTAGGTTTTTGAGCAAGTGGATATTTGAAGGGGTGTCTGATAGCTTGTGGAGCGATGAGTTCTTTATCAGGAGTAACCCTCTTACCGAAGACATGTACAACAGAACATTCTGGTCTAAGGGGTTTGTTCTAGATCATGAATTAGTACCCAACTGTCTGAAAGGGCTGGAGACTAAATTGTTGCTTTGTGGAAAATCTATGGCTCTGTTAAAACTTTGTGCAATTGAAGTAAGTAGAGACAATTTCCTAAATCTTAAATATTATTTGTTTAATTTTCAACAGTTAGTTAATAGAGGCAATTTTGGGTAAATTCCTTTTCCCTAACTTGTTGTGGTACTAACAAGTTTGACAAATTGTTAAAGTTATTGCTGTAATTAATTTTGTTATCAGTTGATACTACTTAAAACGGCTGTTGTTAAAGATAATCCTCCTTCATAATATCCTATACTCTAAAACACGCGCATGCACTGGCAAACTTTTATTTCTGTCCGAGGACTTTTGATTTGTTGTTGTTGAATATGGGGTATTTGGCCACGAGAAATCGATTTGGAGTTGGTCACAATGTGGGGAAAAATTCGGTTTCTGTCCTACAGCCCTTGAAATTGCCCATGTTATCGTCAATACCTTTTTGTAGCGGCAGTTAAAAAATCAGCTGTTACAGGTTATTTTTTTTGTCCCTTGATTTTATGTGTTAACAAAAATAACTGCATTGGTCAGTTTGGACTAAACATTTTAAAGAATAGTTTTATTTAGTTAGTTTATATTAGTTACAGATTAGTGTTGAAGATTTTCAAGGTTAATTTTCAAGATTAAAAATGAAATGCGGAATACTTCCAAAGCAAAAATATTTACAAAATTTGCTAGGGAGAGAAGCTACAATCGATCATCAAGAAACAAATTTTACCACTTCGTTTACAACCAAACCAGAACCATACAAATTTTACACATGTACTTATAATACTTTTCTTCAATTTAACCAATATAGTGCGATTAAATACATATAACACAACTTTATCAATTCTAGTAGTGAGTAAGCACTAACAACTATAGTAACTAGAATCATGCAATTGTTACTTTCGTATCTGCTTAGTACTTTTGCTGTAAGAAATTTATTTTTTGCTTTTTGTTCACATTACTATTTTGCATTTGAGAATAATAGACTAGGAGCTAACACGAGAAAACATGATAGGCCTGTGATAGTACATTTTTTAAATTTTAATTTCAGATACAGTAAATCACATTATAAATTATAAGTTTTAGGGTAGGGTACACACTGTGTTCCAAATATTTTAATTTCATTCAATAATTTCTTACATTGCAGCGTAGAAAGATTTTCCTAATTATTTAATTTTGTTTCACTATGTTTAAGACCCAAAATAAGGAAGGATTAATGCTGAGAAGATATAGAAGACATTACCTAAAAAAGAACAGGAGGCTTATAAAATGTTGGTGAATTTAAAGTGCAGTTGGTGATGCTAAACCATGCTTAAACAATAGTGAGAGTTCAAATTACAATGACTCCCCCAACTTTTAGAAATATTGTATGTAGATAGATAATATGATCGCTTATTCTCATTGTTTGTTTCAGGATCCCATCTGTAAGCTAGTGAAAAGACATCGCCCAGAAATAGTTTGCTGCTTTAACAGTGTTGACTTAGCAAAGGTGGAAGAAACATTTGATTCTTACAAAGGAAGCTATAAATCTCACTGCCTACAACTGTATGGTAACACGACACCGGAGTCTCATGACGAACAGTACTATGCAGACCGAATGGCCAAAACTCTTGATGAAATCAAAGGTAATGTTAATTTAATGAGCGCTCTAAAGAGTAAATACCCCTGCCGAATAAGTGTTGTAAGTGTTTTTTGACCATACGTCAATACTATTGGATGAAATAAATAAATTTGCCAAATGTTATCAATATATATCCATAAACATGTAAACTACAACAGTTTTCATTTTCTCCATAAGAATAACATGGGAATTTTAAATTACACTATTTTTGAATGTTCTCCGTGACTGTTAGGCGTACAACAGCGCTTCAATATACTAAATTATTTCTTTTTTTAAGCTCTACAAAACGGTTTAGAAAGAAATTGCAATTTTTTTTGTTTTTAGGGTCAAAAATGGGAAACCTCATTTTTACCTCATAAAACCCCGTTCCCATGGTCCGATTATGCTGGTTCGCGAACTCGTTCGAATAAACGTAGGTTTACACGTTTGTACCAAATTTCATCAAAATCGGATCATTTTTGCTCGAGTTATCACGCTAAACGGACATAAAATATATAACACACATAAATACACGAGTTAACTAACACACACACATATATATATGAATTTGAACGAATAGTGTTTTTGGCCCCTAGGGACCTCAAAACGAAAAATTAAATCAGTCCAGGGTCCAGGTCTTACCATGAGTAATACGGTAATAGCTTATTCCCTATATGGGAAATTCGCTAAAAGATATGAGATTAAAATAACACTAGCTAGAATGTCAATTGTCTGTTTTTGCTCTTACTAGGACGTCAAGAAGAAGAGAGACGTTTAAAGGCTGAGAAAAAACACATTCAATTTAATATTTTGAAGAAAGAAATGGAGGATGCCCAGGCACGTAAAATTGAGGAAAAGAGAATAACAATAGAAAAAGAGAAAAAGCTAATGGAGGAGGCAAAAGAAATTGATGAAATGGATGACTTGAGAAGACAGGAGGAACGGTAAAATGTCGCTCTAGAATTTTTAATTTTAAGTGTTGAGTTATGTGAATACTGAAATGTTGGCTTAGTTTAGATCTGAACCAGAGAGTGCAAGTTTGGTTCAAACTGTGGAGGCTCGGATTCCAGAGTTTGTCCCATGCTTGACATACTTAATCGATAGTACATAGGCTAGTTGTATCTGTTAGTAATACTGGTTTGTAAACATTTATTGTCTAAAATTATTAATAATATCAGGGTAAAACTTCTGCTAACACAAAAATTAATTTAATTTGTACTATTTAACCTGCATATCATTAATGAAAAAGGGAAATTATGTATTTAAATGCTCATATGTTTTTAGGGAGAAAATAATGCAGTACTATAACTCACTATCTGAAGCTGCAGACCGAAGACGAGACAGAGCAGAGTGGAAAATAAAACGAGCTGAGCTCCACCATAAGAGGTGTGCATATTGGAAGAATGAGATGGAATGTTTAGAGAAAAATATCACACTTGAGCAGCACAGAAAAGATACTAAACTTGTACTTTCTGAACAGTCTCTGGAGAAATATTTGAAGACCTACGATATAACACAAGGAAGTGGTGATTATATTCCTGTTGAAGAAACATCCTTGAAAGAAGCGAGTAGTTCTACCTTAGAGTATGAAAAGAAAGAGGATGAGAAAGAGATGGAAGAAGTTGGAGGGGGTGAAAACAACAGAGTAGAACTAGATGACAGTACTAGAGATGGAGGAGGTGACGATAAGAGAGAATGGTTGATAGCACTGGATGTTGCTGAACAGGCAAGGCAGTCTGCTTTGATATTCAAACAAAGAAACATGCATAATGACTATAACATTATAACAGGGGTGGAATCTACATTTGAAAGTAGATTTAAACATAAACATGAAGATACCCAAGAACCTGAAGAAAAAACTACATCTTTGCACTCCTTACCTGAGGATTCTGGGAACTTGTCACAAACACAAATTAGTGACTTAACCAGCAAAATCAATGATGATGAAAGTAATAAGGAGGATAAAGACACACTTGAGGATAAACTTTTGCAGACATCACTGAACCAAATAAGTGACTTTACCAGCGAAAACAATGTTGATGGAAGCAATAAGGACATATTAGAGGATAAATCGTTGATGTCTCCAAAAAATACCTCAGACAAATTTGAAACCTCTGTAAATAAGTCTGTAAAATCCATGAAGCAATCACTTGAGATGTCTTCTCCTTCAGATACTGAATCTCTTGTTCAAGAGATTGACATGACCTCTGTCTATCAAAACGTCCAGAGATCTGTGGTTATACCTTTAATGGCACAACTGGAACTGACTAGTGATGCAATTGTGAGACTGTATAACCAACATAACTTGTTAAGACATATAGAGTGTATTTGGAAGTACTTTTTCTTGCTAGAAGGAGAATTTGCTCGCAATCTCACTAAAAACTTATTCAAAGAAACTCAAAGTTCCCAACATCCTTCGTACTTATTGAATGTAATGAAACTCAATTCAATTCTTCGGTGTGCTGTTGGGAACAACATAGATGAAGAGTATACGGAGAGGTTATCATTTTATGTGAAGGAAGTTCCAACAGTATTTCGAACCCTTGATCCTGGAATGCTCGATTGCCTATCCCTGAGATACAAAACTCATTGGCCCATAAACATCATAATTACTGATGAAATAATTGCAAAGAAGGATCAAATATTCAAACATTTGTTAAAACTTCACCGAATGTCATGGGCGTTGGAAGAAACAATTTACATTATGAAGGATAAGAAATTGTCTTGTAGCGAGGAGTACAGAAAGGTAAATAATTTGAATAAAATTCTAGCTGAAACCAATAAAGCGTTGTCATACTCCTCGCAGTAAAGAAATCAAATTGTTCACCAACTTAACAATTTATACCTAGCGCACAGATTTGCCAAATTCAAAAGACGTTCTCTTGAGAGAGAGAGAGGTCTCTTAATGCCGTTCCAATCCATTACTTTGCTTTTATATACCAGCCTTTTCTAAAGTTTTTGAAAAAACTATTACTGAGCAAATTTATTTTTTCCTTGAAACCTTGAAAGTAATAACATTTTTGTAAAAGAACAATATGGCTTTAGATCAGGACGTAATACAACTCAGGCTCTGTCTGACTTCTTGTGGGAGGTCGGTTGCAGCATTGATAAGTCTCAGAATATTGCTGGAATGTTTTGTGACTTGTCAAAAGCCTTTGACTGTGTTGTACATAAAATTTTATTTTCTAAGCTTAAATTTTACAATTTTTCTCCAATTGCTTTGAAGTTGTTGAAATCCTATCTTACAAATCGCTTTCAAAGAACTATTATTTTTAAAGATAACATCTATAACTTTTCAAAATGGAAAATTAACTATTGTGGTGTACCTCAGGAATCTATATATTGGGACCCTTGTTGTTTTTAATCTATATTAACGACTTGCCTTTTAACATAAACTCAAAGCTTGTTCTATACGCAGATGACACAACAGCTATATTAAAATCAAACAGCCCCAACCATTTACAAAATTTGATAAACCAAACTTTTGAAGATTTAAACAAATGGTTCACAGCAAATGGGCTGAGTCTAAATTGTTCTAAAACTCAAATTATTAGATTCAAAACTACTCATGACAGAGAAACTATTGAATTAAATATTAATTTTCAGGGAGATATTATTAATGAAACGTCATCTACAAAATTTGTAGGCATTCAGGTTAAATACACTTTAAATTGGGATAAATACACATCAGTCCTAGCTAATAAAAACTTAATACAGTCTGTTTTCAAATGTCTGTCCTGCAGCATGTTACTGACCTCAGGACAAGGATGATTGTTTATTACGCTTTGTTTGTGTCGAACATGTTGTATGGAATAGAGTTCTGGGGCAGCTGCTCAAATGCCAAAACCATTTTCAAAATTCAAAAAAAGGTCCTTAGAATTATGACATTTTCAAAACCTAGGCGATCCTGTAAATTATTATTTAGAGAGTTGAAAATATTAACACTTCCGTCAGTTTATATCCTGCAAACATTAATCTTGATTTAAAAAAAATCTTGAATCTTTTATGAATGAAAACCATAACCATAATTATTTAACACAACATCGAAATGATTTGCAACTGCCCATTCATAGACTTACCTCACTTGAAACCCTTCCACAATATCTAGGGAAAAAACTGTGTAATAAACTGCCTGATAATGTTAAATCATTAGAATCTCTTGAAAAATACAAAAAAGAAGTTACCAAATTGCTGCTTAATAAAGGGTATTACAAAGTTAATGATTTTTTAAATTATGTATATTTGACTTCTTAGCATATTGTATAGTTAATTATAGTTTTATGTATTTTAATTGTCCATGACCATTTCACCTGTTTCCCAGCTATGCTGGATCTGTAAAAGTTGTGTGAAAATAAATGATTTGACTTTGACTATATATTTACTTTACTTACTGGGATGATGGAATATCTATTAGTGTATTATTTATTTAATAAACAATTTGTTGTTTCCAGATCCAACTCTACCGCCATATCATGTCACACTTCATCTCAGCTGTCAAACAGTATCTAACAGCTGTAGTTGTTGAGAAAATGTGGTATGAGTTCAAAAATAAGTTCCAAACTGCTACAACTGTAGACATGATGTATGAGCTTTATCAATATTACATCAGAAGTGTCAATTCAAAGTAAGTGAAATCACTTTGTCTTCATAATAAGCACCAACAAATAGAAATAAACATAACTCAACATTTTACCTTCGGTTAAGAAGACCAAGAAAATCAATTAATAACCGTGATTTTAAACAGTCAGTTTTTCTATAAACTTCCATTCCCTATGAGAGCTTGTATCTGGAGTAGCCGTTATTTACTATTGGTTTATCTCATTTAAACAGATTAAAAAGATGTTTCCAAAATATTTTTGTACTTGTCTAAAGTATATTAGATTTACATTCTCAAGTTCTAGAAGGGCAGCTATGTTTTTAGGTCCAGTCCAGGTCTGAATTAGTTATAACATGCCACAGAATTTCTTATCTAGTCCATTGATGAACTTTGTCCCCTCCTTGTTCTATTACCTTTCTTTTTCAAGCGGAGCTCATTGAAAACGTGTGTTATTCAAACTTTTTTATTTTATCACGCAATAACGGCTGAACATGTTAAATTTTAGCTAAGGGTACCTAGGTTATTTTGATAAACAGTGGGAAGGTTTTTTAACAAACAGATTTTAATTTGATAATGCCTAGTATACAATTTAAAAATAACTTCCTAAATGTAAACAAAGAATCATAGCATTTGTATCAGGTCCAAAAGTACATGATCTGCAAGAAACATAGTCTTTCAACAAGCTTTGGACGTCATGTGATTGGTCGTTGTGCAACAGGACACCTATACTCTAAAAAACTTTAGCACCACGTCTAAAGCCACTGCCAGTTGCACGACGTCCAATAACTCGGTGGTGTTGCACGACACCCAGAACTCCTTCGTACGGAGCAATGTTAGGTTAGGTTAATATGCGCTATAGAACGGTAATACAGTACTCAAAGTGTGCATGCGCTCTGAACATCGTGGGACTATTGGACCTCGTGTAACTGGCAGCGGCTTTGGACGTGGTGCAACTGAAATTTTTGTAAGAGTGTCAAGTGCGCTGTTTCACGACGACCAATCTCAAGACATCCAGAGCTTGTAGAAAAACTATGTTTATTGCAGTTACTGTACTTTTGGACATGATGAGATTTGGACATTGTGCAACAGTCAAATATTGTATATTGGATGTCGTGAGACAGCTCAAGAAATATATTTTGGACGTCATTACACTTGGATGTCGTGCAATGCATTCTGATCAAGGAATACACAGAAAGTGTTACTGGGCATTTGGTAACTACCAGTAATTAATACACTCACAATTTTTACTGGTTTTCTTCATGAAATTCAAATTAGAACTTAAAAAATTATTTAAATCAGCTGTTTTAACTACTAGCAAACTATCAAGTCAATATTTATGAAAGCTACCAAAGCTATCGGTGGGGCACACGGGAGGGATTATGGCTAACATATCTTGTAGTGTCAGCGTTCGCCGCTAAGTTGAAAAAATTGAAATTAATTTTATAATTTTTAGCTATAAAATTAATTTTTTAATTATAAAATAAATGTTTGATCATAAAATTAATTTTAAAATTTTTTATTACACAATTAAACTGTCATAACCTAACCTAACCAACCAAACTTGCTGATAATATAAAAAATATCTATATCTATAAAAGAGAACTATGTATGTATATTAGTGATGGGCCGATTCCGATTCTCGATTCCAAAATACTCTCGATTCCGCCGGAATCGAATCGAGCATTCGATTCGAATCTCCGTGGGTTTGGGATCGATTCCAACTGTCTTCGATTCTTTCATAAAATTGGTTAAAATCAGCCACAAACGTCATATAAAGCAACAAAGAAACAAAATAAATTCAGATTGCTAGTAATGATTTGCTTGCAACTCTGAGCAAACAACAAGTTCTGGTCGTATCGTCACTAAGTCAGCGAGACTAGAGCGAGCGTATTGCAAATGAAATAATAGATGCGAACTCAATACAGAGGCTTAGTACAATGAGAAACAGTTAACCGATGGGAATTGGAGATTCGGGCAAACTGGACTGGAGCGAGTAAGCATTGCGTCACAGCTCACAAGACATACAAGGAAAGGATGAGCATCGATTTAGATCAACCAGCGGTACCAAGGCTACTAACCACGAATACTAGAAAAGTAGAAAAATACTGGTATGGATCATAAACATCCATAAACAAATGACATTTTTGGCCCGAAAATAAACATTATTTCACATTGCTTAAATGGAACTGCCAAACCCAAAACATATGTTCAATGCTATTCGTATAGGATTCGGGCCAACGACGTCATTTGTTTATGTTCATGATCCATACCGGTATTTTTCTAGTATTCGTGCTACTAACTGAAGCATTGCATCGGTACAACGATGTTATCAGTAACCGATAACATCGTTGTGAAAAATCGATGTTTTTGGCCTTTGGGACTAAGACATAGATTTTTTTCTTCAATTTTTCGTCTGGTCTCTGTACTCTCCAGTAACGGAAAGCATCGATATCTCAATATACTTGGTCAAAAACATCGATGTGAAAAACAACGAAAATCGATAGAAAAAATCGGTGATGCGAAAACATCGACTATCGATGCTCATCCCTAAACAGAGCCGACTGCTGAGCTACCATTCATTACCAAAGTCTAACAAAACACTTCTATTCGTATTCGTCGGTCCGTCGGTCCCGAAACGTCACTTCACTACTGAACGAGACTAGAGCGATCGTCCTTTCTAATAATGTTTGGGTTTTAATAATTAATTTCTAAAAACCTTTAAAATTATTTTTAAAATCAGTTTTGTTCACGTTGAGTGGTAATTGTAAACTTGTAGGCCTATAAGCTCTAGGCCTATATTTAAAAGTAAAAGTCATTGTTAAAAATGTTTGAAAAAATGTGCTGTAGGTTTAATTTTACGGTTTACGTTCATTCGTTTTCTTTCACTGTTATTGTATTATTATTATTATTATTGTGTTTATCCTCATTAAAATTGTGTGTTTCGTTCTAATAATGTTTGGGTTTTATTTAATAATTAATTTCTAAAAACCTTTTTGTCATCCTGAACCATGGTATTCGGAATCGAACCCGGAATCGAGAATCGAATCCCAAATTTCGGAATCGGAATCGAATAATTTTGGAATCGACCCATCACTAATGTATATATATGTGTATATAGTTAAGTTAAGCGGGGCAAAGCCCGCGGGAGTCGACGATGACGTTTCCGTGACCGCGGGAGTCGACGATGACGTTTCCGTGACCGCAGGAGATGACGATGATATCTGCTCGGCCGCAAAAAATATTCATAATTTTGTCGCGATCGCCGACGACGACGATGACGTTTCCGTGATCGCGGGAGATGACGATGAAGTTTCCGTGACCGTGGGAGATGACGATGACGTTTCCGTGACCGCGGGAGATGACGATGACGTTTCCGTGACCGCGGGAGATGACGATGACGTTTCCATGACCGCGGGAGTTGACGATGATATCTGCTCGACCGCGGGAAATATTCATGATTTTGTCGCGATCGCGGACGACGACGATTACGTTTCCGTGACCGCGGGAGATGATGATGAAGTTTCCGTGACCGCGGGAGATGACGATAAAGTTTCCGTGACCGCGGGAGACGACGATGATGTATACACGGCCGCGGGAAATGTTTATGATTTTGCCTTGATCGCGGACGACGACGATCACGTTTCTGTAACCGCTGCAGTCAATGATGATGTCTAAACGTACGGTACGCAGAAGATTTCATGATAAAAATAACCAAATTTGCTAGTTAGAATTTTTTATTGCTGCATTATTTCTTTACTTGAAAACACCACACTATCATAATACTACTTTATGACAAAGACAAAGGGTTGGTGTAGTATTATTTAGAAAATTTGGTTAGAAAAAGCTATAAAAATAGGTATCGGTATCAAGAATCGAGAATCGATACATTTTGGTATCAACACCCACTAATTGTGGAAAAAACTAGTCTTGAAAAATCTGGAATTAGTCTTGAAAAGTCTGGAATTAGTCTTGAATTTTATAATGGAAATAAACTAGACACCCTGTTTACCATAAAAAAAGTTCTGTTCATAAATAAAATTATAAATGCATCAAATTCTAAGTTAAGAAGTAGTCGCATTCAAAGCAAAATCTTTGGCAAAAAGATCGTGCCCCCGGCTAGTTTCGAACTGGAGACCTCCTGAACACCAGTCCGAAACGCTACCAACTATGCCACGACCGCCTCTGGAAACACGTTGTCTCGTTACAGTAATCGTGTTGCCTCAAGAGAAGACATTAGCCACTATAGATATGACGTCACCACACCTTTAGCCATCGTCCCTCCCGTATGCCCATTCGCCAAAGCTATGGAATAGGTTATTATAAACACATTGTTTTACCACAGACTTAAAATAATTACTGTTTTTGAAGAAACAGTTGTAAAAAGTGCTAATAAATAAACACATGCACTTCTTATCTATTTTCATTTTTCAGGTGTCTGCTAGGGAAAGCACGAGTGCACACTGAGCAGTTGTTCAACAATTTATTCAAAGAAGTCCTCATCTTCTACGAGGCTCTTCGGAGCGGCGAGTGGATTCAAGAAACTTGTAACAACAACTTTCGACATTCAAATTTCTCCCGGCTCAACCATGCTTATGATAACTTCAAGAAAATAGCAGACCATTTAGTGTATTTGTTCAAGAAAATGTCCAACTCATTTCCTAACATTGAGCAATTGGTCACGACTCTAACACTCAATGACTTTTACAAGATGAAAGAAAAGGAACACAATCAGTAGAGTGCAAACTAAGTTTCTAGTCAAGACTAATTTGATTTTGATTTAGTCGATACCCCAATGTAATATTTTTGCAATATAATATAGGATAATATTTGTATCAATAGTTAGAAACCTTTGCTATATTTTGTTACCATTTTTGCTATTTCTAATTCGAAAATTGAGATGTACAGCAATTCTTCTTTTCTAATTGTATTACTTTTAAAAACACTTTGTATATATAAACAGTACCATTCACTTTAAAAGACCTTTTATCAATTTCTTTTAAAAATCGATTTCACATCCTATACGTTTCCAAATCAGTTACAATAAGATTTTCTGTGAGGAAAAGCTTTAGGCTATAACCCCAGCTGGCAACCGATAAATAGTGTAGGTCTGTTAAGGTATATACTTGCCAAGCTAATTAAATGTAAATGATTTCTGTAATAAAAAATGTTTTAGATGTATTTATATTGTAGTTCAGTTTATTAAGTGTGTAATATAACTGTTGATCTCTGTTTTTATCATTACAATTTGAATTTTTAACAAATAATTTGTTTTTGCTTACACCCAATCATTAAGTTTGATGATAGGCTAATTTTTATTTTTTATAAACTATCAATCATTGATATTATTTACTGATTAAGATCAGCCAGGATCATTTACTTAGAGCCCAATGATAAGGAACAGCTGGGTTCAGTTTCGAACCATCAAAAAGCAACTGAATTTTCTCAGGATTGAACTGGCGACCATTTGATTGTTAGGCAAGCCCGAAATAACGATGTTATGCTGTGATCATCAGCAGTCTTCTAATGTATTATTAGGTAAGCAAAGATGTTAGGCTTTACTACTTTTAAACCGGATGTAACATTTTTAACATTAACAAATAACCCAAAATATTTTCAGTACTAAGATTAATATTTGTTTGTGATGTATAAAATTGAGGCATCGGTGCCATAAAATAGCTTGTTAGGAAGTCATTTTGGCGTCGGGTCAGGTAAACTAGGGTTTCAAAATCAATAATTCATGTTTACAACACAGCTAGACACGACTTGAGATTTGCTATGTTAAAAGTTTTTTTTTTTTGTCAAAACAATAGCCTACAGGCCATTTTAATTTTACAATTTAATGGCTTCTTTTCTTGGAGAAATTATACATGTCCACAGCAATGTAATACTGTTGTAAATATGAAAACAAAGTCAAACACTCGTTCTTAAGGACGAGTGGTTCGCCATGGTTATTCCTAGAAGAGTTATTCTTTAAACCAGCCTTCTAGTGTTTAATTGAACTCAAACAGAGATAGATAAAAAACAAACAAATTAGTACAAAAACAATTTATAAAAAATCCATAACAAACTAAATAGTACCGGCATATCTACAAACAACATCTCTCAAGTACACAAAGAACTGTTCTGCACACAGCCTACACTTGGTGACTGCCTCTTGGTGTTGTTGCTCAGATATGAGACCATCCGTGTGTAGGCCGATGATGTCACACAGCACATTGTCAAACACGATTGTCATAGTACCTTGTGCTCCCTGAAACCAAAAAGATAGAAAAGTATCTTAACAACCTTTAACTGTTATTTGATTATTCTTACTTTGCATAACATGTTGCGTACTAGTACATCACGCTACCACATTTTCGTTCAAAAGTGGTTTCATAGCTATTTACTTTATTAGTGTAGTAAGAGCGTTTTTACATCACGCAGGTGAATGTTGTGCAACGAGCGGAAGCGAGTTGCATAATTTACCGAAGTGATGTAAACACGCTCTTGCGTAACGTGTAACGTACAAGATTTTACCTGACCCGACAATATACAGGAGGTTACGAACAATATTTTTCATTATCCATTTCACTCATTTTCTAACAGTAACGTTCATTTACAAACAAAAGCTAGGTTAGGAAAATTCGTCAAAACATAACAATAAAATTCAAGCGCACAGCTGATTTCTAGCGTTGAACTTCGTTGGCTCCATAGAGGTATATTTTTTAAGTTAAGCACTCAATGTTATTTAAATGGGTTTCATTACATCACTGAGTGAGTTTTTTTCAACTTTACATCACTCGAGAAGTAACAAAGTTATATACATCACGCTTGGGATAGGGAAGTTTAACATGGCGGGTTAGGTAAATACATTAATAATTTTATTTCCTTTTTCTAACTACAATTTCCTATCTTACTTTCCCATCCCATAAGCTTATCTGACAGCTGATGAAATATTTAATTCAATGTTGATTATATCATACATTTTTGATTATTATAAAACAAAAAAACATTGCCTAATTAACTAGGCTGGTCCTTCGATCTCTTTCTCTTATTTTTCTTTCTCAACTACTATCACCCAACATAACATTTGAAGGTAATTCCCTGACAAAAGGTTGCAGATGAGAATCTACCTGACGAGATCCTTTCCGTGGCAGAATTCACATGTTAAAGACACCAACAACTTCTTAGAACGGTTTACTTTACATATAATTGATTTACTTTAAATATTTAAATTACTAAGACCTAGTTTCAATGGTGAAGACTTTACTTGCATCATTAGGATCTAATACTTTACTACATGTTTGATTGAGATAAGTCGGTGATTTGGATATAGGCCTACCTAAACTTGAGTTTAATTTAATTGTTTATGAATAGTATTGGGCATTTTCATTTTCCAATGACCTACTTTAGTGATTTAGTAGATGTTTCTAAAGTACCTATTTACTCCTTATATGAGACCAAATTGTTTTCTTTTTTCCCATCTGTCAAAAGAAAATTCAACATGGTACTACGGAAATGATCTGTCCTCTCTGTTCTTGGTCATCTGACAAAACCAGGCCCAGGAAAAATTTTACTCAGTAGTTTAGATTAAAAATCAATTATTAGGCTACATTAATGGAGTATAATCGAGAATGATTTACCTGTAACTGTTTGTTATCCGGATCAACGATTACTTCACCATCTTCATCAATCATACAAGAGACGGCAGCCACTAAGTACTCCATGGACAATCCAGAGTTGATGAGAGCGAGGCAAGCGGCATTGACAGCACACGCTAAACCCTGTAACATCCCAAGACATACTCATGATACAGAGACAGCAGCCACTTGGTCCTCCATGGACAATCCATAGTTGATGAGAGCGAGGCAAGATGCATTGACAGCACACGCTAAACCCTGTAACATCCCAAGGCATACTCATGATACAGAGACAGCAGCCACTTGGTCTTCCATGGACAATCCATAGTTGATGAGAGCAAGGCAAGCAGCATTGACAGCACACGCTTTAACACTGTAACATCCCAAGACATACTCATGATACAGAGACAGCAGCCACTTGGTCCTCCATGGACAATCCATAGTTGATGAGAGCGAGACAAGCGGCATTGACAGCACACGCTAAATCCTGTAACATCCCAAGACACACTCATGATACAGAGACAGTCCCAGCCACTTGGTCCTCCATGGACAATCCAGAGTTGATGAGAGTGAGACAAGCGGCATTGACAGCACACGCTAAATCCTGTAACATCCCAAGATATACTCATGATACAGAGACAGCAGCCACTTGGTCCTCCATGGACAATCCATAGTTGATGAGAGCGAGACAAGAGGCATTGACAGCACACGCTAAACCCTGTAACATACCAAGACATACTCATGATACAGAGACAGTGGCCACTTGGTCCTCCATGGACAATCCTTGGGATTCACTATAACCATTCCTCTCCCCTTCATGGGGAAGTCTTCATTCCTTTTCTTTATTTGTTTTTTTTTTTTGTTTCTTTTTTTCCAATTTAAAAGCCTGAATTTGCCCCAGGTTCTTCCTATTTCCCTAGCTATTTTCCTAAACGTATCACTTGTTTTCATGTGTCTCAAACAAATTAAATTAAATTTTATTTTCTCATCTGTAGACCTTTCCCATCCAAGAATTCTTCCAGTTCTTTCCTATTTGCTTCCTGAAGTGGACAATTCATCAAAACGTGACTCGTGGTCTATTTCTCAGCATCTGCTTACTTCCTCTTCCACCAGGTTAATTCGCCTTGAAATTTTCCATGTCCTGTGACAAACTCCTTTCAATAATGGTCTATCTCCCAATCATGTTCATGTCTCCTTCTGATGTTTGGCATTTATCCGAACGTTTACCTTTATTCCTCAAGCTGCTTCTTCAATGAGCAGGTCAAGTGGTATGGCTCCCAGTCAAAACCCTAATCATATCATATGATACTGATATGCTTTCCATACTTTCAACAAAACTCTCCTTTGCATACTCAAAAGTTTGCTTTTCAATCTTATCTTCCTGGCATCCTTACTCCAGGACTCACATCCGCACAGCATTGCTGGCTCAACACATCCTGTGTACAGAGTCATCAAATGCTCCCAGTTATCCCTCTATTGGCTCTGGCCTGTCCTGCTAAGAAGACTTTCATTTTTTCGCATATTTCCTTCACATATTTTTCAAAAGACATTCCTTTACCTACGGTCACTCCTTAATCAAGCATGACGACATATCAAGATTTCTAATTAACACAACAATGGTGTTTTCTAGAAATTTTGTGGATCGCCCAGCCTACCTTCTGATATATTCAAATATTCCATTTGGAGATGAAAAACATGTTTAAAACTTATATCAATGACTTCTGATCATTATTCTTGAGCACCTCTATAATAAATAATCATATAGAGGAATGCAGGTGCCATCCCTTACAACACATGAAAGTGGATAGTTGTGAAGTATTTTTCGGATGTTCCGTGCAAAACGGTATATCGTTGCGTGGCGCTTAAAGGGTTAAGGTGCCCATACACGATCATTGTGCAATTGCGCAATCTTATTGAAGAACGACCACCCACAGTTCAATATGTGAAGTAAAGTTCTAGGGGGGGGGGGGATAAACAAGTATTCACCTAAGTCAGGCTAGGCCTACCCCTAGAACCGGCCACACTCAAATTTCTTCCCTGGAGTGCTCAGAAGGAGCCGAGAAAAATCCAGGGGTCAATACGAAGTTGCCACGGCTTTGACTGATCAATTTATTTAAATTTAATCAAAGGCTCAGAGCTCTAGAAGCACTCAGGAAATCCTGCAGACACTCAGTGGGAACTATGTCATCCTCAAGTGTTGTGGAGAATTTCGCCTAACTTTAAGAATGACTCTGTAGGGCCGACGAGTCTTCAATCTTAGGCCAATGTGATGTAGCCTAAATACCCGTATTGAACTTTAAAATAATTAACTAAAGGCCTAGGTAAATAATATAGAATAGAATATAACGTAAAAAACCAATCCCTACAGAGTCGTCGGGCTCTAATTAATATAACTCGAACGGAGAATGTAACGTGAGATTGTTTAAAATAGATTTAATATTAATATTTGAAGCTGACTGTCAAATCGGCCTACTCCCAGACTTGGTTCTTTCACCCGCCAAAGACGGGGTTTAAAACTCAGAAGACAAGTCTCGGGGTATCAAAACGTCGAATTAATTCAAATAATTTTAGTAATAATTATTCGTTAAGCGAAAGGATTAATCGTAATTTTGAACCTAATTAATTAAAATAAAACCAAACGATAGCCACCGCTAGTCACTGTCATGCAGGAACTGGCGGGTTTTATGCAAGTCAGCAAAAACTAAGTTATTGAAATTTAGGCAATTAAAATCAAACTTAAACGGGTAAAATAAGTGGCAGACGAGTATGAGTAAGTTAAAATGGAAAATGAAATGAACGTAAGAAAGTCTATCAATAAACGTAGCTAACCTTCGTAATAAAATCGTAGCGTCACGTCGTCTTATACTTTGTTTGAGAGGCTTGTAGTGAGCTAGTCAGCGGTCAAACAGCGAATAATCTTGTCTCGGCTCAAATCCCAATTTCCTCGGCCGCGGCTTAACACGTTCACTGCGGGTGTATCCGATCGGATACGGGCCGTGCGCTGTTCAGGTGCTGCTGTAACCGATCGGATACGCTCGGCAATGCCTTTCGTATATCATCGTTTTTGCTCTAGCGTCGGTCGAAGGCAGACCTATTCCATGTTAGCGTGTAGTGGATGACTTGCTTTTAATTGTGTTGTAGGTTGGTAGTAAAATTTCCCCATAAAATCCCCGTCTGGCAAACTTAAAAATCAACTTGTTGTCCCGTCTTTCTCCCTCCAATTGGCAATACGACGGGACAGGCTACGTTCCAAGCAGTGCTGCTATCTGTGAGTGTTTAGCGAACTACGTCGACTCTTGTTATAAAACAGGACATCACCGCACGCTATTTGCTATTCGTCATACCGAAATATGAGAGCCAATCACCCGGCAATCGGGTTTGTTCGACGCTGCGGGCTGCCATTATATATGGGGCTACGCCTGCCATTTGATGGCCCGCAACGAACGTGTTAAGCGCTCCAGTAGTGATTTTGGAAACTAGCCAACAGCTGATCGGGAATTCAGTCTAGTTATAGTCTGTCGTCGGTGGTCAACAAACACCAATTCGAGGTTTGTCATCGTCGTCGGTGATAAATAACTGTAAAATCGGTCAGTTTAACTTTATTTTGTGACATGGAGGGCTATTACTGATAAATATATCGTGTGAGTGTGTGTATGTACTTCACTATTATTAAAAGTAGGCCTACGTTCTTTGGCCCATAGCCCAAGCTATGGCCAACACATAGGCCTATGAGTAGGTTGTTGTGGATGAAAATCGGGTAGGTTATGGTGTTTGTTGATTAGCAGTGCGTTTTTACCCCTCTTAAAATTTGGTACCTCACAAATAATATTGAACAACCTACAGTTGAGTCAAGTCATCAATATTGAGAAGATTCACTGGCAGACTGACAGGATATTGCGCAATAAAACTCATACACAATTCAATATATTGAAGATTGCGAAATATTTTTCAAAACTTTTTGTATTCACTAAATATATTGCAAAATCTGATTTTCGCCCTCAATATACATGTTCAATAATATTGTGCAATATGAAAAATTGCCCAATAATATTGACCGTAAAGCAATTGAATTTTTTGGAAATTCCACCACTCACTTAGAGCCTAGCAAAAAGAAGAAAAAATGGTGATGGCTTGTCCATATAGATGAAAGGTAATACTTCTGCAAACAAATTTGACTTACAAAGTTACAATTGGTTAATTTTTCTAAGGGGATTGCAAAATTATATGAACAGCTAAAGTTCTATACTTACTCCACCACAGTCTTGCATTTCTTGAACAACAATGTTGATAGCAGTTCTGGGATGTAGTGACGTTAACAGTGCAGCCTCACAGATATTCTTTATAAAGTTTTCTTTGATCCTATCACTAACACCTGAAACAAGTTTCCAAATATTCATCATGCAATAGCTACAATGCTGTTAAAACTATATTTTGTTGAATACTAAACATGCACTAACAAATTTAACTATTATCATAGACAAATAGAATAAATATGGACTGTCAAAGGAAGGTTCCGGCGCCCACCGCTAGGTTTGCCGTGTAGTTACGGCGCACACCGCTGCAGGCAAGGAGCGCAGGAGCCGTATGCGACCAGCAGACGCTGCAGCGGTGTGCTCCGTAACTACTTGGCAAACCTAGCGGTGGGCGCCGGAACTTATGCCAACCGCAGCACAGCTGAGAATCTATATTTATTTTATTTGTCTATGCTATTATCTAGACTACTAAAATGTAGTAAGTCTAGATACTTTTCTTTTAAGGGACTACTGAGGACGAGATCCCTGTTTCCTTGACCTCAAAGATTCTTTTTACAAGTCTTGTGGTTAAATTTGATAATCTGCTAAAGGATGATATGACGTTCTCTAATCTATATTACTCTAATAAATATCAAATCATGCTCTTACAACTATCATGCTCTAATATATTAGCAAATCCTGCCAAAACAAAATTTATATCGTTCAGTAGAAAACAGAACAACTTGGAAGCCGACTATTTCCTTGACGGGAACATGGTGGAAAGGTGTGACACCATCAAGGACCTGGACGTTCTGATTGATGCTTCATTTGATTTTGGACCGCACATAAGTCATAAATGTACCAGGGCATCACGCATGCTGGGATTGATCTCTCGGACGTCAAGACGTGGGTTGAGTGCCAACTCCTCAGCGATCCTGTTCAAGGCCTTAGTTCGTCAGCTGCTCGAGTACGCCTCTGTGGTCTGGTCGCCCTACCTCCACGGCCAAATAAATTATCTTGAATCAGTCCACAGACGCTTCATGAGACATCTTGTTGCCGCACTGGGTTCAATTTCATCGACGTCCCAGTCGAGGCAATATCTGCAGCCTGAGGGCCTAGGTCACACGTTGTCTGACCTTAAGTAATGTGACAAACAATCCCAGGTCTGTGTCCAACAGAGTAGATGGGGTTTTTTAATGAATAGTCTGATAAACTCGGGTGTCTTACACTACAGGCTGGCCACCTGTGTGTAAAATTATTTTTACCTCCTCTCCCTTAAAAAAAGTAAGTTTGGAGAAGTATTGAAAGTTGTGAGGAAGGAATATTAATTTAAGTCAGGCATACTTAAATATGGTTATATTTTTAATTTATGAACCCTAATATTTAAACATTAGGTAAAGAAACCCTACATTTTAAACTAAAATAAAAAAAATAAAAAAACTAAAAACAAGAATCCCTTCCAAATTTAAATATCTTGGGAATTTCCCTTCTCTTCCACAATTTACAGTCAAGTCCTGCAAACTCTGCACTCGATAACTCAGCAGTCTGGATAACTCGGCTATCACCTGGCTCAGAAAATTAGTGATTTTTTTTAGTCCGAGTTAAACATGGACTCAAGGCAGTTCAAGTCAAATCATTCGCAGCTTGTACCAAGGATATGTTGTACTATATCTGATGACTTAATACTAACTTGTTATATATTAATATAAATTAAAGAGGCAGTTAAAAAGCTTACAAATTTTATTCCTCTTTTTTTAACCTAGTTCCCGATAACCCGGCATTTCACAAACTCTGCACCCTTCCAGTCCACATTACGCCGAGTTTGCGGGACTCTACTGTAGGCTATTATTATTGAGCAATTCTGAAAAGCAGCACACTGCAGAAAGTTATTTTCTCCGTTCTTTCAGAACTGTTGTTTCCAATTAGCTTGCACCAGTAGCACAATACAAATATCACACAAGAATCACATTGAAATGATTGAAGAAAGTCTATTTTATTGAAAACAGATTTTAAAAACATCACTTACAAGATTGACCAGACTTAGGCTTGTATGATGTCTCAATACATGCTTTATCAATCTGGAATTTTTGCATTTTCACTTCAATAGGTCCATATACTGCTGCCAAATATACAGTTTCCCCTGTGACAAAAAAAATACAATACTGCAATTAAGTTAACTTAAATAAATTTTTACCCTAACTAGTGAAGAAGCTATTATCTTAGCACTAAAAGAAGAAGACTCGATACAAGACTAACGTAATGTAGCCTATTACTGCTCTAAATGTTTGTCTCGCAAAAATTATATTTTTTTCTTTATTCTTATGCTAAATGATGTCCTGAATTCAAAAATGATTGTCATTTTCCCCGAAAAACAACAATTTTGCCAAAATGGGTCATGAGGATACTCAAATTAACCGTTAAAGTGAGCTAAACAAGAATATGCAAGAATTTTCAAGATCTGATGGATTTTAACAGAGATACGGCCGGAAAAGCGCTGTTTCCCTGGAAAACGGAAAAACAAAGTTTTTGCGGAAATGGGTCATGAGGATACGGTAATCAAATTAACCGGTAGAGTGAACTGAACAGGAATATGCAAGAATTTGTAAGATTCGTTGGATATTAACAGAGATACATAACCTAACCTAATATAATCTAACCTAACCTAATATAATCTAATAACCTAACCTAATCAAACCCTAACCCAACCTAACCTAATCAACCCAATCGAAAAGATGACAATATTATTAAGTTAATTAGCTTGTACAGAGAACATGAAGTGCTTTAAAATCAAACTATTTCTGACTATAAAAACAAAAACAAGAAAAACTATGCGTGGAATGACATTTCACGGGAAATTAACTTAAGCAAGGCAGAGGTCCAAAATAAGATGAGGAACCTCATAATTCAATTTCACAGAGAATCTAAAAAGGGCAATAAGTCTGGATCGGGGATCGACGATGTGAAAACCAAGTGGAAGTTTTGGGTACACTTCCATATCTGTTGGCACAAACAACCGAATGAAAATATCGATCGATATCGATAAATTGTTTGGTTTAACCAAACGATATATCGAATTAAACAATCGAATAATCAATATTACTCATTCGGTTGATTGTGCCAACAGATATGGAAGTGTACCCGAAGTTTTTTTTTTCAATCAATGATGTTTCAATCAAGGTCGAAATTATTTCAAACATTTTCATGAAACACGGAAAGAAAACCATGGGCTGCACTTTACTTGACGTCCTACACTCATTCGAATGAAAATATCGATCAATATATCGATTAATCGATTGCTTCATTCGATATACCGTTTGGTTAGTTAGGTAGGCAAGGTTAACCTAACCTAACCAACCAAACGATATATCAAATGAAAATATTGAATCAAAAAAACCAATCGAATGAGTGTAGGACGTCAAGTAAAGTGCAGCCAAACCATGAAATAAAAATTGCAAACTTTTATTTGAAACTACTGTTTGCAATAAAAGTTTGCAACTCTTTGTTTAAAACTCCGGTGTAAACGCGGCTTTAGGGACCCACAGTTTATAGTGGAATCCGAACCACATTTTTGCCTTGGTAAATACAAATTGGTCTAATTATCAGGATAGTACTGCGGATAGTCGTAGTACTCACTCGTGCGGAAATAAATAAATTAGCAAACACAAATTTTCTCACTATTCCTAAAAAAAATTCTTTACATAAGTTTGGCCTATTACCTAACTTGCATAGCTAAACTAGCACTAAGGCACAGGCCCGCCGAGAGGGGGGGGCCAGCGGGGGCATTGCCCAGGGGCCCGGGCCGGGCCTGGTCTAAAATGTAGTATGTAGTATAAGTAGTTATAACGTAATAATATAATAGAGAATATTGCTGAACGTACTTTTTCAATAATTTCACAATCCATGTTGTATTTGAAATAAAACATTTTTAACGTCTTATTGATGATTTATGATGAAGATTTATTGATGATAATTGTTACAAAAGTTTTAAGTTTAAGGCTTATTGCGTAAGCTGTGGGGCACTGGCACTAATGTCTAATGTGATATTATTACCGACCGCGACGCACGACGGGTGACCAGTGACCATAGAATTTAAACAAACACGGTGTTTATTTAAATTCTATGCGGGTGACGCTCGCTACGATTCGTAGGATTGTATACCCGCCACGGGCAATTTCAGTTTCAGCCTGAGGGAAAAAAGGGAAATTTCGGGCTTCGGCGAGGGAGGAACTGTCGAAGCGAAGTGGAAACACTGTTTTAGTGTCAGTTCGTTGTTTTGATTGTGCAGTGAGTGAGGTTAATGTTCTGTTCTGCTGTTTACCGTGTGAGAAGTGGCGTTGCCGGCGTTGGTTTTTCTAAGCTTGTTTTGTTGTGAAATGACGATCGTTCTGTGTATAGGCCTAGTTTATTAATTGAAAAACTGTGCGTTTCTGAGAGTTTTGTAACTACAACTATGGACCCTTATAAACATAAATCGGGGGCCCTTAAAAGAAAAGAACGAGAAAAGCGACTTGAGGCTAGTAAAAAGGGATTTAGGACGTTATTTGAAGTTGGTTTAAAAAAAGAAGATTCTAGTAATGAAGACGTATCATTGGAAAGTGCATCAAGAAGTACAGAAATCTGTTGTAAGAATGATAAAGATGACAATCAAATCTCTTCATTTCAAGTTGAAAACGAACAGCCATCCTCAAGTAGGCCTAAGCCTATTCAGCTTGAAACCCCATTATTAAAGTCACAGAATGCAGAGATTACTCTATGTAAGGATAAAGCAGAAACTAGTATTAAAGAACCATTGCTTCAATTTGAGACTTGTGAGAGTGAGAGTGAGCTGTTTCCGATTGAGGATATTCCACCCGAAAGTAGGCCTACTTTAATTAGGCCTAATTTAGTCACAGACACATTATCTGATCAATATGACCTGCTACAACTGCCAGGATGTCCAACTTCAGATCAACTTGAAAGTTATGTCCGTAAAGGGCCTAATTTAATTCCTGAATGTTTACCAAGTGATGGTAAACGACCCTTCCCGAAGGTTGTTCTATATTCCAAATCTAAGAATGGAGAAACCCGGCCTAGGGATTGGTTGACATGGAATAAAAATAATGAATCACTTTTCTGTTTTCCATGCCGTTTATTTGGTTGTAGTAGCAATGACAGTTCTGAAAAAAATCGCTCAGTACTAATGAGCAACGAAGGTTGGAAAAAAGAATATACTTGGAGAAAGTTATATGACAAGCTACCTAACCATGAAGTGAGTGAACACCATAAAACTTGCTATTTAGAGTGGAGAAAACTAGATAGGCGACTAAAAGAAGGTTCAGACATTGGTTCTCAATTAGACAAAGAATTGAAAGAAAGAACAAAATATTGGAATAAACTGTTAGAACGTATTTTAGCAGTTATTTTGTTTTTGGCTGAACGAGGTTTGCCCTTGAGAGGATCATTGTCAAAAATCGGTGACCCGCAAAATGGAAACTTTTTAGGGATCATTGAACTACTTTCCGTGTATGACCCGGTTCTGCATGAACACGTAACAAAAGTGAGGGAGTGTCAAAAAGATGGAAAAAGAATTCAAGCACATTATCTATCATGGCAAATCCAAAATGAGTTTATAGAAACATGTGCCAATAAAGTAGTAAATGTTATTTTGGCTGAAAGGGAAAAAGCCAAATACTACTCAATTTTAGTTGATGCAACCCCTGATGTTTCTCACGAAGAGCAGATTACATTTGTGTTAAGATACATTTTTGAAAATGAAGACGGTTTCAAAATTTCAGAAAGATTTCTTAGTTATGTCAGTTTGTGTGAAAAAACAGGCCAAGACATTGCAGATGCGATATTAAAGGAACTAGCCAACCATGGGATTCCCTTAAACGATTGTCGAGGTCAAGGTTTTGACAATGGCGCAAACATGGCTGGCATTTACAAAGGAGTACAGGCACTGATACTTCAAAAGAATCCATATGCTCTGTTTTCAAACTGTGCCGCTCACAGCCTTAATTTGTGTGGTGCCAATGCTGCTGAATGCTGCACAGAAGCAGTGACATTTTTTGGAATACTGCAGCGTTTGTACAATTTTTTTTCGAAATCTCCTACCAGGTGGAAAATTCTGGAAGAAGAAATTAATTGTTCTCTCCATAACCTGTCTGAAACATGGTGGTCAGCTAGGGTTGACGCAGTGAAACCACTATAGCCCAAAATCTTCCTGGAGTCAAACGAGCTGTTTCCAGATGCACAGAGCTAAATCTGAGCGCTGACGCAAAATCAGAACTTAACGGAATTGAGAAATACCTCCAATCTTTCAATTGTACTTTAATGTGTTCCGTTTGGTACAAAATATTATTGCCAATCGATCACTTTAACAAAATACTGCAGAAAAGAGATGCAACCCTTGATGTACAGATTTCTAACATTGAAAGCCTATTACAAGAGTTGAAGGATTTAAGAGAAAAATTTGACAAAATTTTGACGGAGACTAAACTTGTTACTCAAGCTATGTCTGCTATAGACAAAAACACAGAAACGACACTGAATGAACGAAGACGTAAAAAAAGGAAAATTTTCTTTGATGAAGAATGTGAAGAAGAAAAAACTGATGATGGAAACGAGGACGAAACCAAGCAAGAAAGAGATTTTAGAATTAATGTTTTTTATACAATTATTGACGCAGTGATAGCTGGATTGACCCATAGATTTAAAACCGCAAGAGAGCTAAATGATATTTTTAAACTATTGTGGCAATACCTCTCATCTACAGAAGAGACAATAGTTGAGGATTCCAACCGACTTTCAGTTACTTTTCCAGAAGATATATCAAAGGATATTAAAGAAGAAATAATCCATAGCTGAAAACAATCCATCGAACAAATTTAGGAAGCACGGCACTGAAACCATTTGACCTTCTAAACAAATTAAAGAAAATGAAGCTTGATTGTCTTTTCCCCAATGTTTGTGTGGCGTTAAGAATTTTTTTGACATTACCTGTGACAGTTGCTGGGGCCGAAAGAGTTTTCAGTAGTTTGAAACGGATCAAAAACTTTAATCGTTCTACAATGGGACAAGAAAGACTGTGTGGCCTTACAACACTTGCTATGGAAAGTGATCTAGCACGGCAAATTGACTTTAGTGAAATTATTGTAGAGTTTGCAAACAAGAAAGCGAGAAAAATAAACTTTTAGGAAAATGAAAGTTACGCAAACTGCTAACTCATTTTAGTAGGCAATTTAGTAGGTAACTCATAAAGTTATGCAATTCTCCTTACTGTACTTTATGCAGAGAATGAGTAATAATTGTTTATCCATATACAGATTATTGAACGTGTAACCTTTTTCACCTAAAATTGCTTAATGTATGCATTAAAGGGAATATATGTAATTGTTTACTCGAGACCAACTATTAATAAACTAGTAACTAGTTTTAATTTTTAAATTGTACCTTAATCATGCCTTGAACCTTTGTATTCAGAAATTTATTTTTTTTACCATCAAATTATAACCTAGTAACTCTTAGTGGGTTTCTTCGACTAAGCTTGGCATTGGCTTGGGCTTGAACTACCGGGCGTCCGGTAACCCACAGTGAACGTGTTAACAGCAATAAACAGTATTTAAGTATGAAAATATAGATATCTCTAACTAGCTTCTTATTTAAAAAGCTAGAGATCTTTAAATAACAGATCTCTTTCGAAAAAAAAGAAAAGTCCTTTATGGCCTTAAAAATGTATTTAAACTCAGAGATTGTGTGATAAGTGCTATTAATAAGTTTAAGACCATCAACCGCCGCGCCGGCGCCGTTGCGTTTGGGGGATGGGGGAGTGGAGTGGGCCCGCGGCAACGATTGCCCAGGGGCCCCAGATTTCTCTCTGCGGGCCTGCTAAGGCACAAATAAGATCACAGTGTACGTTAGGTAAGTACTGAGGTACTGGGTAGATAGTTAAGTTAACGAAAACAGAAAGACCAACGCAACTTTGTTAGGGTAGAATATGAGACCTTTCCGACAGGAAAACCAACACCCCCGGCCAGCCACCCCAATACAATCATTTGATGAAAAAAACCATTGATTGTACAATCGAAAATCGGCCATTCCTAATACTTATTAATATTAAATCATTTATCATAACAACACTTATTTTAGGCCTAACTTAGGTAGACTAGGCTATACAAACAAATCTATGAGGGCTAAAGTATGAGGTTCACCTTGAGATAATAAGGCTGAACCATCTGGATTTTTTAAAACATTCATTTCACACTTTAAATTTCTTCTAGTCACTTCAACTGAGTTATTTTCCATATTTTATTCGGTTGAGTCCTAAGTCACTGGTTAACACAAGCTCAGGACCTAACCTAGGCTAATTTTAGTTTCTGTTTCTATTGTGCAGACGCAAAAATCTTAGGCTAGATTGCAATAAAATATATCCTTATTTATAACTGTTGTAAATGGTAGGCAAGAACTCATATAGGCTATGTCTATTTCTCTAAAGCATTAAATCATGAAATTATCCAAATATCGAACTATATACACCAACAACACCAAGTGGAAGTGACACTCACTCAGTGACAGTAATAAAAATAATCAGAACAGAACAGAGTGGAGTGAACAAGTGAAGTGAGTGAACACAGACAGACCGACAGGACAGACAGACGACACCACGACACTATAATACAAACAAACACAAACCCGTAATAATTAGGATTTTTTGTCAATAATTTACTTTAGGAGAATGATGATTTACTTTTTCCTACAGTTACCTAACAATGTATACATGTTCTCTCACTGATTTGAGAAAGCAAAGTGGCCAATTCGCTCATCAGTGAGACAATGTTGTCTCACTCTAATTACTTTGTCTCACTCCATTTGCAACGTGAAGGCACGACGAAATAGTGAGCGAGCGCGTAACATTTGCCAAAAACGGGGAAAAGTCAACTTCTCTTCAAAACGACTAAAGTGTTACTACCAAAACGTTAATGGGTTGAGGAGTAAGATGGCTGATCTCTCTACAAATGCCTTGGTTAGTATTTATGATATAATAGCTCTTACTGAAACCAACCTCACCCCTGATATAAGCGACTCTGAGCTTGGCCTTTCTGGCTTCTCAATATTTAGATGTGACAGATCTAACTGGACCAGTGATAAAACAAGCGGAGGTGGTGTTCTACTTGCTGTACATAGTTCAATATCCTGTAATCAAATCAATTTATCAGCATACAACAATGAACAAGTTTATGTTCTTTGCAGTATCGGTAACACCAAATTTCTTCTGGGAAATGTTTATATTCCGCCCGGTAGACCTACATCAACATACTCTGATATATATGCGACTCAATTATTGAAGTTATCGATTCTGCTGGAACTCCTGACCAAATTCTCCTGATGGGCGACTTTAATCTTCCCAATTTATGTTGGGAAAATGTTGATTTTTCAAGGCTCACTGAGTCTTCACGCCTAATTCTTAATATAGCTACAATGTATGATTTGAGACAGATTAACAAAATCACAAATTATCGAGGAGTCTGTTTGGATATCATATTATCTGCATTTGACGGCTCAGAGGTTGATGAGGCGGATGATGTATTGCTGGTGGAGGACAGACATCACCCTGCTCTTATGATCTCATTTGAGGTTCTCAACACACCTTCAACTTGTACACCAAAATATGTCACTGACTTTCGTCGTTGTAACTTGGAGGGAGTCTTCAATCTGCTTCAGTCATGTACTTACCCCGGCCCAGCTGACCTTCATGATGTGGAAAAAGCTTTTAATTCTTTCAGCAGCAGTCTAAGCCAAGCTGTTAAGGATTCGTCCCCCCTTAAAAGAGTTGGCGCATCACACTTCCCACCTTGGTTTTCACGTACCCTCAAACAAATGGTTATTCGGAAGAAAATTCAACATAAAAGATTCAAGCAGACTCATAATATAGATGACTTTGTAGCATTTCAAAACCTCAGGAGAGACTGTAAGATCTTAGCACGTCAATGTCGAGCAGCCTATATGAACAGGATTGAGGAAGACATCCAGATCAATATTAAATCTTTTTGGTCTCATGTTGATTGCGTAAGGAAACCCTCAATGACATCTTCTACAATAGTTTACGACACCAGGGAGGCATCTGAGCCTCTCGAAAAGTGTGAGCTCTTTGCTGAGTATTTTGCTTCTGTTTTTAGTGACAATCAAGTGCCCGTTCCTAACTTCGATTATGGCACTAATATCAGCCTTTCAGGTTTTCAAGTATCTGCTCTTGATGTGCAATCAAAGCTAGAATCTCTAAACCCCAACAAGGGAGCTGGCCCTGATGGAATACCACCTGTGGTTCTCAAATATTGTGCCCCTGCCCTCGCTCCTATCTTGGCCATACTCTTCAATGCTCTCTTGGCAGCTGGACTCTTTCCATCTTCACTCAAGGAAAGCTATGTGGTTCCCATATTCAAGTCCGGGGATAGGAAGAATGTGAGAAACTACAGGCCTATTGCAATTCAATCCAGCCTCGCCAAGATTTTTGAAAGCATAGTCCTTGACTACCTCGTCCATAATCTCAACGGATTTCTCTCAGACAACCAGCACGGCTTTAGACATGGGAGGTCGACACTCACCAACCTACTCCACTTTCAAGAGTATATTATGTCAGCGTTTATGGAGTCATCTTCAGTGGATTGTGTTTACCTGGACTACTCTAAGGCCTTTGATAAGGTCAATCACCGCCTCTTAGTTGCCAAGTTGGAAGGATATGGCATCTGTGGCTCTCTACTGAACTGGCTCAAGGACTACTTGAGTGGTCGCTCTCTACTGGTGAAATACGAGGGGTCAATCTCCATGCCTTTTGGCGTCACGTCTGGGGTACCTCAGGGTTCACATCTTGGCCCACTACTATTTAATGCCTTTATCGATGACATTGGTCTCATTATCAAGACTGATTACCTTATGTTTGCCGATGATCTGAAGGTTTTCTGCAGAGTCACTTCCCCTCAGAGCTGTGCAGATCTTCAGCTTACCTTGGACCGTATCGAGGAGTGGTGCCATGCCAATGCCATGGAGCTCAACATTTCAAAATGCCAGGTCATGACCTTTAAGCGTGGAAAGGGCGGTGTTCTCCATGACTACTCGATTGATGGCTCTGTCCTGAGAAGAGTTGATGAGTCCAAGGACCTGGGGATAGTAATGACTTCTACCCTCAGTCCAGAAAGGCACTTGAATTACATAGTTAACAGGGCATCCTCTCTTGTTGGGTTCATTATGAGATCTACAAGGGATTTCAACTCACCAAGACCACTTGTTATTCTGTACAAAACTCTAGTCCGACCAATTATGGAGTACGGATCCATTCTATGGTCACCGTATCAACTCGGACATCAAGATATGCTGAACAAGATCCAAATCCGTTTTGTCAGACTGCTGGGATGTAGGATTGGCTTTGACTACATAGAAACACCTATCAGAGAGGTCGAAGAGCTTTTTGATCTCAAACCACTCCAGTTAAGAAGAACTAATCTTGACCTCTTCTTCCTTTACAAGCTGGTGAATGGTCTCCTGGACTGCCCTGCTCTCTTGTCCGGCATTGACTTCACAATTCCTAGAGGAACACGTTCCGGGACCATCTTCCGGAGAAGGTTTGAGCCCTACTACTACGCTTATCACCATGGCACTTCAAGACTGCTAAGACTAGGCAGCATTTTTGCTCCTCAGCTGAACTTCTTCGGCGTCTCGGCCAACTCCTTCAAGAGAGAAGTCCAGAGGCTACTACAGTGATTCCCTGCAACACAGTCTGAATATTGTGATTCGGTCAGTCTGAAATTTGTAGCTGTTGTATTACCTGATAGTGATTATTCTCTATTTGCATGTTTCATTTTATATGATATTTGTTGGTTAGGTCATTGTTACCAAAGAGCATATTTATTACTGTTACACACTACATATTTTATTGCATCACTGGCTTGGTTATTGTTATCTAAAAGTTGTTATTTATTATTTGTTACTCACTGTTGTTATTTATTAATTATTGTTACTCACTGTTGTTATTTATTAATTGTTACTCACTGTTATTAATTTTTCATTGTAAGTTGTTATTTATTCTGAGAATATTTATTTATTGTTACTCATATTGCACTCAATCTTTGTCACTTTTTATCTATTTAGAGTATTAACATAATTGAACAGCCGTCCATGTATTCACTCTTGATCAAATTATTTGTTACTATTAAGCATGCACAACAATGTATTAATTTAACTGTATTGGTTGTAACCGTTAAATGAATAAATAAAATAAATAAAATAAAAATAAAAAAACATGCAGACAAGGTCGTATGCGCGTGAAATACGTTGGCCGCACTGGCTGTAATTCAGCTGGTCAGCTTTTGTACTGTTGTATTTGTCATCTCACATTAAATGTCACTTATTAAAAGTTCACTTCTGTGTAAAAATATGTTAGGTTTCTTTACCAATTTATTTGTTTTGTGGGAACAGTAGGAAAAATGTAATGTGCAACTCGAGTGCCAAATAACTATTTCCACCATGTGACAACGGAGTTTACTGTTTTTCTACTTTAGAAGATTGCAGATTGTATTTTTTTTTTATAAGACTGTAACTTAATTGATGCATTTTAACAGATAGCACAAACAAAATTATCACGAATTTTAAAATTCGGTCACCAGAAAAATACCATTGTTTACTTAATGAATGAATGAATCCTTTATTATTTCAATGGATTGATTAATCAATGGTGCAACTCACTTAGACGTTTGTAGAAAACAGCATTAGATAAAAAAAAAAACGATGTGGTGAAGTGAAGGGTGAGGTGATGGTTGGTAGTCAGTCAGTTGGTAAAAGTGATAGTTGTAGTTTGTAGTGATGTGATGACAGAGGAGGAGGAATAATAATAAGAAAGAAGTGTCAAAACTCTGTTATTATTGATGTGAAATATTTTTTGAAGTGTAGCCGAGACCTAGGCCTACAGTTTAAATTGCTGAATAGATCTAAACAAAGTGTAAACGGTAACTTAAGCCTATAATTTTACATAAGTTATTTAAATATTTCGTCATTATTTTTACTAGGCTATAGCCTCATTTAATGAGTAGGCCTATGAGCAAGTTTATTTTTGTAAGAATATAAGGATGTTAAGCTAAAGCCTAGGCTTTGGCCATTGACTATTTAAACTCAACACTAGTGTTAATAGTCAATGGTGTGACTGAGTGATACGTCTTACCGTCAATAGGCCTACATAGGGCCTACTTAGCCTAGTTCTGCCACTAAAGTTAGTTGTTCTAAACCACCTTCTCACTAGTTCGCAGCCACCAGATGTATAAAATTGCATTGAGTTGTTGGCTGCACTTTACTTGACGTCCTACACTCATTCGAATGAAAATATCGATCGATATATCGATTAATCGATTGCTTCATTCGATATATCGTTTGGTTAGTTAGGTAAGGTTAACCTAACCTAACTAACCAAACGATATATCGAATGAAACAATCGAATGAAAATATCGAATTGAAAAAAACAATCGAATGAGTGTAGGACGTCAAGTAAAGTGCAGCCGAGTTGTTTGGTCCTTTACACTTACTTGAATACTAATGCCTACTTACTTACTTACTTGAATACTTGTATTCCTAATCCTTGACTGACTTATGTCGGATAGATTGCGTCATATCTTTAAAAATTTAAAGACTGATTTATTTCTTTAAATACTGTAATAAAACTAATATCTACAACTGGTGGTATGGCGGACGTTTTTATTGTGAAGGGAAGAGTGGTAGGCCTACCTCATTCTCAGCTCCCCCACTAAGTTGTGAGTTAGTTAAGTTATCGGCGGCAGCGACCCGGTCGCCATAGAACTATGTCGCAGGTCAGTGGCTGCCACCGTGCTTTTTAGCGACTCAACTGGAGGCGGGCCATTGTAACTTAAGTTATGTCCAATGGACTTTGGTAGCTACGACCTAGATTTTGGGGGTGTGCATGCAGCTTGTTTTGACGTCTGACTCCCTTCCCTGTACACTTGTATGTCACTGCTATCTGCTTTTTTGAAGCTGCGCACGCACCTGTGATACTTTCATGGTTTGTGGGGCTGTTTGTTCTAAGTTAAGTTAGTGATAACTTAAGTTTAAAAAAGATAATACATTCTTGGAAAAGTGTGTGGTTAGAAGTATAAGCTTAAGTAAGTTAGGCCGGTAATATAGAACTTAGGCTAGGTACTGACTTACTTATGTTAGGGCCTATATTGATTTTTTTTACCTTCTCTGTACCAAAAATAACTTAGAACTAGGCTATTGTAAATGCTTAAAATAGCATACTTTTGGTAGATAAGGTAAAAAAATTCAATATAACATAAAGACCTTAGTATAAGCTCAGTAACTTATTACCCTAACGTTAGGTCTACCGTACCGTACTCGATCTGTTAGTAGAGCAAAAGTTTCTGACACGGAAAAACAGCAAGAAACTTGGCTCCATTTAGAAGAATAAATCATAACTTAAGGTAGACTTCCGTATCTGTTGGCACAAACAATCACAAATATAGATTTTTCAATTGTTTCATTTGATATATCGTTTGGTTAGTTAGGTTAGGTTAACCTTACCTAACTAACCAAACGATATATCAAATAATCGATATATTGACTGATATTTTCATTCGGTTGTTTTAAGTGCCAACAGATACGACACAAAAAGTCTCTTTTTGGCGAGAAGGCTGCAGCCACCATGTGTGAAGGGACAAGCGTGGCTGTGCTGTTTATTAATTTATTTATTAATTTTGATGGCAAACACAATTTTTACAATAAATTTTACATCGTGATACATGCGTCAAAATACTTTTTTTACATGCTGTTAAATATTGTGCAGATACATACAGGATACATGCAAAGATGAATTTTCAATGAAAGTGACATGCAGTTGTGATTTTTAACAATGAAGAGTGATAGTTGAATTAGGTAACTAGGTAATCGTAATAATTAAGTAACATGACAGCTGGGCTATATAGCCGGATTTCACAGCTATATAGCAGAAAACGAGGTATCCAAAAGTTTTGGTAAACATCAGAGGGTATCTGAGCTATATCTAGCTCTGCTACATATAGCTATGCTATACGTGTATTTTTGTTTGTAGCAGAGCTATATGTAGCTGCCCCCTCCCTAGAGGTCGTCTAGTGCACTGTGCAGTCACAACCAATTTCATAATTCAAGTTGTCTCTATCACCCTTGTTAAGGTCTTTCAAAAGGTCACCACTGTTTCGTGTCCTAGCCTGAAGTGAGGGCTTGATCCAAAATATTCTTTCTCTTCTTTGTGTTGAAAATATCACAGTAGCTAGAGCGAAAGCAGCGGCTGCTGCTGCTGCAAGAACTACCTTCTTCTTTGGCATCTGGCTGAGGGAACTGAACACTCTGGTTCCTCCCATGCTTGTTGCTCTGCTACACAAAATTAAGCATCAAAATTTACTTATAGCAGAGCTACATCTAGCTGAGCTATATGTCGCTGACGGAGCTAGATATAGTTTATTTTTATATAGCAGAGCTATTTATAGCTCTCCAGCTACATAGTGTAAACCTAACATAACTTAACTTATATGATATGATTATATAAAGTACAGTAAGTTAAGTCTAGGCCTAGTCACAGATTTAAGCCCCTGTTACACAGAGCTGGTTTTCTCGCCGCTAGTAACTAGCAGCTAGAACCAGCATCGTGTGACTGATTCTCCAGCTGCTAGAAACACTAGCGCTTGAAGAGTCACTAGCAGGTCACGTGACCACCCAGCTGTAGTCTCTAGCACCGTTCCAGCTCTGTCTTACGTGCATTAAGGAAAATAAATTTAAATTAATTGAACACATATTTAAACTAATCAAGAATAAATTTAAACTTTCGTGTTTAGAAATTTTTTCACGCATTGTCATAACTTTCTCGTAGTTACGATTGCTACATCTCGCATATATTAATTAAATGAATGAGTTTTTTTGTGTTGATGAAGGATAAAGATATGCCTACCACAACCTATTCGATTCTAATTAGTTAATTTACATGCCCGTAGTAGATACAAAATAATAGTGTTTTTATATAGGCCTATAGATATTTTATTTTTTCGTGGCACTTTTTTCTATGATGGCTGATCATTGAAAAAACATCACTTCTAATACCAACATTATTTTTGTTACCTACGGAGGATGTAGTTACATCCAATTACATCCCCATACTTGTAAGTTGTAGCGCTAGTTCTCCAGCTTCGTGTAACAGGACTTCTAGCGCGCTGGAGAGCTAGCAACTAAAGCTGCTAGTTCTCGCAGCGAGAACTAGCTGCTGGAACCAGCTCCGTGTGACAGGGGATTTAATCAATTGAAATCCAATTGACTGACCGGTTCAATACGGTTTGTAAAATAGATGTAGGTTTAGGTAAAAAGTCAAATTTTTTACCAAACGAGTTGTAAGGCCTACTTGCCTGAAAAAGCCTGGAGTTAACTATATTAGGTTTGTATATTTTAGGCCTAACCCCTGACTTCTTCTAATGAATGAATATTTACTAAATGAAATGGGTCATAAACTTAACTACCTAGATTTCTTAGTTTATCTCCATTGCAGATGGCTGTTACGAATAATACACCAATATCTGAAATATTAAAAAGCAAAACTTCTTTAGAAGATGAGCCAAAAAAGAAGTCAAGAGAAGATTGGAGGAAGGCTAAAGAATTAGAAGAAGCTAGAAAGGTAAGCTAGCCCAGCTATCTTATACAGTTTTAGAATAGTAGGCCTAGCCTACTATTTATTTTCACTATCTCACTGGATCTCGATTTTACTATTTGTTTACATGTTTAGAGAGAGTGAGAGAGAGATAACTTTATTACATAAGCATTGTGCTTAGAAATAGTGTTACAAAAGTTCAAATTAAAATACATTTTTTATGGTTGGTAATATCTTTGGCTTCTTTCACAAAGGCGGCATTCTTCTACATCGGGCTTCAAACTCCTAGATGCTGTAAACAGGCTCTTCGAGAATCCATTTTCGAAGTCTTCTCTTCATTGTTCCTGGGTTGCCGGCTTTGATGTCCTTTGGGAGAAGGTTAAAAAGTCTGGATCCGGCATAGGATGGCTTCTTAGAGAATCTGGAGGTTTGGTGAACAGGAAGGTTGAAATTAGCTTGGTTTCGGGTATTGTGTTGATGGATATTCGAATGCCATCAATCCCATCGAATGTTTTGGGAGGTTAAGGTAAGTCGAAAAGGCAACAACCTCGCAGATATAAATGGCGGCTAATGGAAGGATATGGAGGGACTTAAAGAGATCCACTGCAACTATCTTGCTGCTGGAGGCCCCCAAGAATTCTCACAGCAAGCTTTTGGTTTAGAACTTGTGGAGTCAATCTCCACAGCACGGCAATTATTTGAATGTCCCGCCTAATCTCAACCCCAGAGCTGCTCGCGCATGCGCAGCGAGCAGGCGGGTAAAAACGAGTGAACCAACTCTCTGTCTAGTGCCTGGCTTCCTACAACAAACATGGGTCTCTAAATTGCTGGGGAAACGGGGGGACGCCCCCTTGAAGTATTGTGTCGTAGTAATAGTATTTTAATAATATGTAATTTCAGATCATCTAGTCAAATTTACTATGTCATTTATTCCGTCATTTATTATTGATTATTAATTCAAATGTTAGTTCACGTTGTGTCCAGTTGACTTATATACTAGATATTCACTATGTTGAACAATCCACGTATTTCAGTGTTATAATGTCTTAATTAATCAAACTCTCATCAGAGCTGGCTCTTAGGGCCTATGAATTGCGGTAAATTGTCTCCTCTGTGTTAAATAATGTGTTCAGTTAACGTTTCCAACAAGAACGATTTGGTCAGGATCTTGAATGGCATGACCAGATCACCAAAGTGTGGCACAAAGTATGCCACAAACTACGGTATTAACTATGCATCTCTGTCACAGTTAACAGATAAGTATCCAGATTTGTTTTGTTGTAGGCAGGCACAGCCCCTGCTGCAGTTGATGAGGAGGGGCGAGATATCAACCCCCACATACCTCAGTACATATCTGCCGCTCCATGGTACTTTGGCAGTCAAGGACCCACTCTCAAGCATCAACGGATACAACCTGAGAGCGTCAAGAAGCCAACTCCCATAGACCTATGGTACAAACGTGGTGTCAACAATGTAAGTAATGGTACTCTAGTAGGCCTATTTAAAGGGTTTTGTAGGGAGTGGTCGGTTTAGAACATTTGCTGGTTTTACATATTTTTAGGAAAAGAAACCGTAAAATTTATGGAAAATGTCGGTTTTGGTTTTTTTCTTGTAATAAAAATGTTGTTGCACAATAATTTTGCAGCGATCGCATAAGAAAACAAAACTTAAAGGTTGCTAGACCAATTTCAATATTTTTTGTATGATGTTGTTCTTTTAAATTTAAGATCCTCAAAACAGGTTAATTTTTTTATCATACCTGTTTTTCAGATGCAACCATTTTTGCCTAGCAATATAGGCTAATTTAGGCCGTTACAGTCATTTGTGCAAAACTTAAAACCGTTTTTTTTTGTAAAAGTTCTCAAAGCTGGCAAATGTTAAAATAATTAATGTGTACTCTTTTTAAAAGAAAGATCTGTTATAGCATACAATTTAGGTCCTTAAATAGAGCCATGAGTGTTAAACTAAATATGATTAATTACTCAACAATACAGCCAAAGATCAGATTCAATTTTAAGGAATTCAACTTTTTTGAACTGAAAAATTTAAAGAAAAATACAAACTTTTAGCTAATATGTACTTACATTACTTATAAGGTAGCGTATATGAAATACTATCCACAGTATTGAGGTAAGATGATAAAATGTGCATCCTTCAATTCCCTAAAAATTTTAAAATGCTTTTATTTTTATTTTGAGGCCTAATCCTAAATGGCAGATATTGGTGCACGTTAGTACATTATCTAAAAAGTGCAATACTGGTGAATCTTACAAGAATTTAACAATTAAAAAACTTATCTCAAAAATTAAATTGCTTCTACAAACTTCTCAACAGTATAAAAATAAACCAATATAACTATAACGAATTCAGACAAACTTGTTAAATTGTAATTCTATTTCTTAACTTTAAAATCGTGGTTATACATTGTTAGTTTAAGGAAAGATGTTCAATTTTATTTTAAAGGAATTAATTAATTTATTGTTTAGTTTAAAAACTGTTATGTTAGATTTAGTTTTAGACGTGCCAACCTGGCAGACAACCGTGAGGTTATTGCTGTAGCGTTTAGGCACGTTCCCTGCGTGAGACAAACTTGTGTTTTGTTTTGAGTATTTTGAAAATAAAGTGCTTTTAGCGAATTTCCCTATAGGGAAGTAGCTATTACCGTAGGTCTCATGGTAAGACTTAGGCCCGGGACCGATTTACTTTTTCATTTTGATGTCCCCAGAGGCCAAAAACACCATTCGTTCAAATTTTTATATATGTATATATATATAGATATATATATAGATTTATATATATATATATGTGTCCGTGAACACGATAACTTGAGTAATTTTTATCCGATTTCGATGAAATTTGGTTTGAAGGTGTAAGGCGGGATAAACTTGAATGAGTTCGCGATCCAGCATGATCAGACCATGGGAACAGGGTTTTATGGGGGGTTTTATGGGGTAAAAATTGGTTTTTCTCACTTTTGACTCTCAAAACACAAAATTTCCCAATTTTTCTCTAAACTTTCTTAAAGAGCTTAAAAAAACAAACAATTCAGTATATCAAAGTGTTTTTGTACGGTTATTGGTTACGGAGAAAACTAAAAAAATGGTAAATTTAAAATTCCCATGTTATTCTTATGGAGAATATTGTAAAATGTTGTAGTTTGCTTGTTTATGGATATATTTTGATCAAACTTGGCAAATTTATTTATTTAATAGTAAGCTATCAATATTTTACTAAAAACACACTTTATTAGTTTCCTTGTAGCAGCAAACCTAGGTACTCGTTAAACCTAATGTTATTTAAATAGATCAATTGAAAATCAATTCAGCCAAATGGAAATTCGCTTAGACGGCAGGTTTGCTGCGGCGGGGGTATTAGCGAATTTCCCTATAGGGAAGTAGCTATTACCGTAGGTCTCATGTTGACATCATTAGAGTAAGACTTAGGCCCGGGACCGATTTACTTTTTCATTTTGATGTCCCCAGAGGCCAAAAACACCATTCGTTCAAATTTTTATATATGTATATATATATAGATATATATATAGATTTATATATATATATATGTGTCCGTGAACACGATAACTTGAGTAATTTTTATCCGATTTCGATGAAATTTGGTTTGAAGGTGTAAGGCGGGATAAACTTGAATGAGTTCGCGATCCAGCATGATCAGACCATGGGAACAGGGTTTTATGGGGGGTTTTATGGGGTAAAAATTGGTTTTTCTCACTTTTGACTCTCAAAACACAAAATTTCCCAATTTTTCTCTAAACTTTCTTAAAGAGCTTAAAAAAACAAACAATTCAGTATATCAAAGTGTTTTTGTACGGTTATTGGTTACGGAGAAAACTAAAAAAATGGTAAATTTAAAATTCCCATGTTATTCTTATGGAGAATATTGTAAAATGTTGTAGTTTGCTTGTTTATGGATATATTTTGATCAAACTTGGCAAATTTATTTATTTAATAGTAAGCTATCAATATTTTACTAAAAACACACTTTATTAGTTTCCTTGTAGCAGCAAACCTAGGTACTCGTTAAACCTAATGTTATTTAAATAGATCAATTGAAAATCAATTCAGCCAAATGGAAATTCGCTTAGACGGCAGGTTTGCTGCGGCGGGGGTATTTATTCATTCATTCATTCACTCACTTTTAGGAGGTGAAAGCTACAAAGTACCGCAAGGGAGCCTGTGAGAATTGTGGTGCAATCACTCACAAACGCAAGGACTGCATGGAGAGGCCGCGGAAAATCGGAGCTAAGTTCACCAACACACTTATCGCACCCGATGAGTTTGTACAGCCTGTAATTGACGCAGACTACGATGGTAAACGGGACCGCTGGGCTGGCTACGATCCGTCTCAACACAGACTGATTGTAGATCAGTATCACAAGATAGAAGAGGCTAAAAGACAACTCAGAGCTGACAAATTGAACGCTGGAGAGGGGCAGGTAAAACTTTCATTTTATTTTTTATCCAGATTGTATGTCCTGTCATTAACCTCTCAACAAGAAGATTGTTGACTCGAGACAATGAGGTTTGTTTATAGGTTTTGATAAGCCCTGACTTTAAATGGTAATGGTAATAGTATTTTTAAATACAAGAACTCTTGGTCCAAAAACCTTTGAAGATGACACGAATATTAACAAATTTCCACCCTGATCTTCAATTTTGTTTTGCCATAGCGATGTTTTCCATTATAATATTTAAAAAAATAAAAAGAGTTTTTTAGGCTACTCAGTTTATTCCATATTTCTTTTTAAAATGTTGTAAAGACATATTTTTAGATTCTTATGCAATAGTTATTGGAGACATAGTCCTGGAGTTTGATTTTGTGTATTGGAGTCATATAATTTTAATAACTGAGTTTCAAAGGCATCATTGTATTTTAATTTTAGGGAAGTGAGCTTGATGATGAAGAAGATGAGGATAAATACGTAGACGAAGTCGACATGCCTGGTACGAAAGTTGACAGTAAACAGAGAATTACTGTTAGAAATCTGAGAATTCGAGAAGATACAGCAAAATACTTGAGAAATCTTGACCCGAATTCAGCCTACTACGACCCCAAGACAAGATCTATGAGAGATAACCCACATGAGGAGGACATAGTGAAACCTGAAGAAGAGTAAGTCCTAAGTAGTAAACTGACAGGCCTACACTCACTAACCACGTCTATTATACAGTTTTTGTTTACTCTCAGTATAGCTTTTTATTTTCTACCATTATAGCGTAGCCTACATAGTAAAGGAAAAAGTATTGTTTTTGACAAAATTGTTGAGTCTGGATGTGTACAAAAACAACCAAGTTATAAATTTTTTTTTTAGACAGTGTTTTATATGAATGTTATGTTTTAATTTTTTTCCCATTGTTGCCTCCGTCATGTTGTTGAGGTATGGCGTGTCGGACAGTACCTTTTGGGTCGCACAAAAATTGTTATATCTTGGTTGTTAATTAAAAACTTAACATGGATCTTTACAACCGTTAGAAACGTATCTATAAGTACCGTTGGATTAGTCATTAAATTTCCTAAAATTGCTTACTTTTGATATTTTTTGTATCACCACTCTTTTTAAATATATTTAAGATAGAAGATTTTAAATGGCCGCTATTTTGGATTAGTACAATTTATAAATCTGATACTTTGTGCAAAGATTTGATTTTTTTACTATTTACGTACCAAGTTTCAAGTCAATCACTTAAGGAGTTTGAAAGTTATGGATTCATTTGTGAAAATCACATACAGACAGAAAACCAGGCATCTTAGACCCATGTTTATATGGTGTTAACTGTTTTTGCATTGTTTTGACCTATGGAACAAATACAGTAAACTCTCAGTAATCCGGCAGATATAGGACCGTGATACTGCAGGATTGGTAAAAATGCCGGATTACTGGAATTTTATCAATAAAAACACTGCAACAAGTTTATTTTATTACTTAAAACACATCTCCGTGGATCGCGAGAACAGAAACCGCTATTGGATCAAGCATGACGTTTTGTGACCCTGGGTGGCGATGATAATGTCTAAATGGCCGCGGGAGATGTTCTTGATTTTGCCGCGATTGCGCAAGACGACGATGATGTTTCCATGACCGTGGGAGATGTTCATGAATTTGCCGTGATCGCGCAAGATGACAATGATGTTTCCTTGACCGCGGGAGTGGAAGATGCTTACAGGGCAGTGGGAGAAGATCAGATTTTTGCCACGGTCGGGGAAGACAACCATAATGTCCAAACGGCCGCAGAAGATGTTCGTGATTTTGTCGCAATCGTGCAAGACGACAATGACGTTTCCGTGACCGCAGAAGGTGATGATCGCACATGACGACAATGACGTTTACGTAACCACGGGAGGCAATGATAATGTTTAAACGGCCGTGGATGATGAATCCTTCTCGGCCGTGGGAGATTATCAGAATTTTCCCGCGATCGGGGAAGACCTCTTCGTCAAAAGATGCCGGATTACTGGAGTGCCGGAGTGGCGAAGTGCTGGATTATAGAGGGTCTACTGTGCACAAAAGTGTTCCAAAGAGTTCTGGGGCACTCTGTATAAGTTGGGTAAAATTAACTCAACAATGTCACCCTAGTTTGAATGCTGCAAGTGTAATCTGATTGATGTGATTGCTAATAAAACAAACCCATCTTGGTTCAGGCAAGACTATGCTGGGGAGAACTTTGTGCGGTTCACGGGTGACACAAGGAAACACGCAAAAGCACAACTGTTTGCATGGGAGGCGTATGAGAAGGGCGTGGATGTCCATCTGTTGGCTGAACCCACTAAGTTGGAGCTGCTACAGAAGGACTATGAGCAAAAGAAGGACGAGTTCAAACACAGAGTACAACAGAACATCTTGCAAGAGTACGGTGGAGAGGAACATCTACAAGCCCCGCCCAAACAGCTGCTACTAGCCCAGACTGAGGACTACGTAGAGTACTCTAGATACGGCAAAGTTATCAAGGTAAATATAAATCACAGGCAATTAGGTCTAGTATTGTTGCCTTTTAAAAATATAACTAGAGACTGCCCAGTGGCCGAACAAAGGTTTAGTTGATTAAAACCAAAACAAAAACCCAATTTGTTTTAAAATATATAGGCCTAGGTATTTTGTATTTGTTATTCTATAACATTTGTTTTATTGTGCTCATTTACATAGTTTTGTACTGTAGTATTTGTATTCTTATCGATTTATTTTAAGCTATAAAAAAAAAGAATATTGATTGTTTATTTTCCCTTTACTTAACCCTGGTTTTCCTAGAAGCAGAAAAATGATTAACGGAGTGCGGAAAAATGATTAACACGGCGTTCTGCTAGGCTTCTAGGAAATCATTAACATTAAATTACCTAAGACAAGAGGAGTCTGCTCTCCACGTTCCGCGCCTAGGAAAACCAGGGTTAAGTAAAGGGAAAATAAACAATCAATATTCTTTTTTTTATAGGTTAAAATAAATCGATAAGAAAACAAATACTATAGTACAGCTTAATAGATAAAATATTTAATCTATATTATTAAATATAATTATTATGTTGGTTGAGTTAAAAAAAAAAAAAAAACAGAATGTGACTACCTATGTATAAACAAATTAGGCTAACATAAATTATTCAAATTTCTGTTGTATTAGTAATCTGAAATTTCAGCATACACAACATATTTTGTAAACACTCTTTCATCAATGGTCAAATGCCCCTGTCCGCTGTTTTGAAATATCCAAATTTTGTCTGGAAAAAGAACGTTCTGGTGTCACGATGTTTTACTTTGAGGATAACTGAATCTTTTACATTACACTGATCAGGTTCTGCAGTAGTTTGAAATTCCCTACTGTTTTTTTTTTTTATTCAATAATATGCACCTATTTGTTTTTCCTAGTTTCAATGTCTGTTATAACAGGGTCAAGAGAAGAGCATAGCAAGGTCCAAGTACGAGGAAGATGTGTTCCCGAACAACCACACATCTGTGTGGGGCTCATGGTGGCACAACGGCGCCTGGGGATTCAAGTGTTGTCACTCTCTCATCAAGGTGAGGTTGTCCTAGTATGCTAATGTTCATAAAGTGTTTTTCTCAAAGTTAATAAAAAATAATTGCCTAATATTTGCCTTAAAACAAAGCGGTAAGTATATTTTAAGTGACCCCTCTTCTGTTTTTAGAAACTGTCTCAAGAACTCAAAAGTAGTCCAATATAAAAAAGGAATGTATATTGAGAACATTTTCTATAATTCCTGCAAGGTATCTGAAGTAGTCTTTCAATATAATCAGTCATCCCTATCTAATAGTTCAAAAAACATATCCAAAAACACAGGTAGTCTAGCTACAAATATTATTACCTAAGTGTTAAAAACTATTGTTTACTTCAACAGGGTTCTTATTGTACTGGAGAAGCTGGGAAGGCTGCAAATGTCAGTGTCCCTCTTGAGGTTGACAAAAATCCATTCAAAAAAGTTGATTCTCCACCACAAAAGAAAGCATCAAGTTCTGAGGATGATAGTTCTTCATCTTCCTCGTCATCGTCATCTAGCTCTTCAAGTGAGGTGAGTACATAAAGGAGTTTTTTGTTTTTTGGGTAAAATGGGAAAACCCAACTTTAACCCCTAACACTTCCCATAAAACACATTTCCATAGTCTAATCATGCTGTTTATTATATTTTTTTAATTTCAACAGACAGTGTTTTTTGCCTTGGTGGACATTAAAATAAAAATATTTAAGCACTCCTGGGTCAAATTTTCGCCGTGAGGCATGTTCACTAAATAGCTTAATACTGGAAATTTCCTAAAAAAAATCAAGAGTTGTAAGCTCTGCATCCAGTTTTGAACATAATAAATTCAGTGAACTCCTGTGGCATTGAGGGATGAAAATAGTTCATTATTAATTGAAAGATATCTTATCCAACATAAGCTCAAAATGTTTAGTCTTGTTCTTGTTCTACTTATTTAGGCCTATGAAGAATTTATTAAGAATGTAGGCCTTAATCACTAACAAGACTACAAGATGGTGCCACTCATCTCCATACTTGGCTTAAAATACCTACTATGTATGGTCACTATTTCATTGAGTATTGAACAGTATTTTTTTCGGAGTAGAGATTTAAAATTAAATTTTCCTTTAAATTAGCAAAAGTTATGTTTAATTACCACCATCTTTAAAACAGTGACGTTGAACAGCCCAAAATATGTATGTGCCTATAAAATTGTAGATCCATGTTGTATGTTGTGTATTACAAAAAATGTATTTCCAAATACGGGATGATTTGTTAGAAAACGTTACTTCTACAAGCGTAAAAATAATTATCTGTTACTAAGAAGTGTTTTACCATCTTTTCTAGTCTGAAAGTGAAAGTGAAAAGAAGAAAAAAGAAAAACCCCTAAAGAAGAAGAACAAAAAGAAACTGCGTAAAACTAAACTAAGGGAGAAGAAAAAGAAGGATAAAGAATTGTCTACAGAAGAAAAAATAAAAGCTGTAAGTAACTAATATAGTAGTATGTTTTCTGTGCTAATACTGAATAAACACAACAGAGACCATAAAGTAAATTCTCATGAAACTGAGATTGTTGTGATATATTTTCAAAGAAAATTTTACTATCTTACAAGTATTTTAATGGGTTTTATTTCCACCTAATGTCTATGCGCAGATCATAAATATGTGGTTTATTTTAGTTTGGTGATTTAAATTGCTTTTACTGCCATTAAACATGTCAGTCGGGACCACGTAAGTTTGCAGTTTGTGGCAGCCAATCACAAGACAAGGCTAGTGCGACGTTGCCACATCGCCTGTTGACAACACTTTTTAAAATATACAAAGCAATATTTTCAAATCAGCTGGTATTAGATTTGGCAACACCGCACGGTTCTCATTGGTTCATTCAAAACCATATGTTAAATAGGCTCCTCCCTCAACTGCAAACTTATGTGGTCCCGACTTTAATACGTTTACCATAGCCATTTGAAGAGAAGGAGGAAGGGTAAGAAAAGCATCATTATTTAATTTTACACACTTTTTAGGCAATGAAAAAACAAAAGGAAGACGAAGAAGAGGCCGAGCGTCTTTTAAAAATGGACGAGCGGAAGAGACCTTACAACAGCATGTTTGATGTGAAAAAGCCCACTGATGAAGAAATGGAAGCTTACTTCAGGAAGCGGAGAAGAGATGAAGACCCAATGCTTGCTTACAGTTGAACACTGTACATTATTACACTGGATATTAAACTGTTGTCAAGTTTACATGTTTATATGAGTAAATATATGTTTTATGGTAACAAAGACTCTATAGTGCTTATCTCAAACCATATTTGTAGTTTTCTACAGACCTTTATAAACTCGAAGTATTAAAAATATGCATAGCTTTCTTATAAACGTACATAAAAATAAATGGAAAAACACCAACTAAAAATTAAATAGATTTATTTTTTATATAAAAATATAAATACATTTTGGTAATACGACTTACTTAAATCTGTGCATAAAGCAAAACAAAAAACAAAAAACATCAATTCTTTCCACAGCCTATAACAATAATTAAAACTTGGTTTACATCACATTAAGTTACCAATAAGGCAGAACAAATTTTTAATCTTACTTGATATTAAAAGTAAACTTGTGTCTATACAAAAATTTATCAATTGTAAATACCCTTAACTGAAAATCGACTTAAGATTCTTGATACCGATGCCAAAAATCTCGTCAAGTCAATTTGAATTAAAAACCTTTTAAACACATTAAATAAAAACTATATTAAAGGAAAATAAAGATCTTCAACCAATATCAAATATGCCTACTCTAACAGCAGCATGGACTTGCTGACTGAGCAAAGTGAGCATATTTATATTTGCCTAATTGGTTTTTTTTTACTCAAGTATTCATCAGGGACAGATTTAATCCCAATTTTAATAATGTTCATTAAGTTCATTCTTCATTCTCCATAAGAAGTAGTAGGCCTATATGGCAATTTATACATGTACCAATGGAGACAGATAGGGGTGTGCGAAGCAGCAAAAAGTTTTCGATTCGAAGCAACGATTCGATTCAAAAGAATTTCGATTTGAATCGATGCAACTCGATTTGAAGCAATACGGCATTTTTTTTCATACTTGTAAATGGAGTGAAATAACAATAGGCTAATTAAAATTTGTCACATTTTGTGTAATACAAATTTTTGTTGATGTGGTATTAGTCCTTTGACATATATATACATTTTAGGTGAAAAAATATTTATTTTTAATCATATAAGAAGAACCTGTATTGCTGGAAATGTCAGTGAGCTGCTGTACTTGCCTATTTCATAATTTTTACTTGCAGGATCATACAAAGCATGTTACCCATTTTATAATATTGATTTTACAAATAAAGATATGTTTTGGTGTAAACAAATAAAAACATTTGCAAGATTTATACTGAAACTTTCAATAATTGGTTTACATTGATAAAATGAGAGGATAGAATCAGACCTACAAACCACAAGGTATACATAGCAGACCTACAAAAATACCAAATTTATCAGTCTAAAAGATCAACCTTACTAGTTAAGTATCGAGTACAAATTTTTCAGACTTGTGTTATTTTTAGAATGATTTTGGGGTGACTCGTTTCTTGTTTGGCTATGTTTACAGTAGTAAAACATGTCTCACACTGCTTACACTTGACTTAACAAAACTTCTCATAATTTGCAATGTCAAAAAAAATTATAAAACCATTAATAAAGCAATATTTACAAGCAACGAATTAATTAAATAAGAACGCCTTCCCAAAGGAAACGCAGGAAAGGAAACGCTCCTGTATTGCATTGACTTTCTACAGGCCTTTTTTGTAGATGTATACTGACTCCCTCATGAATCGAATCGATTTTTGATCACCACTGAATCGAATCACGATTCGATGTATTGAATCTGAATTTTGATGCATTTTCGATACATTGCACAGAGACGGATGGTGTTTTTGGCCTCTAGGATCATAAAAACCAAAAAGTAAATTGGCCTAGGTCTTACCATGAAACGGGTAATAGCTTATTCCCAATGGGAAATTCCTATTACCCTATATAAGGCATATGAGGTTTATTTTCACGTACGAGGCAAAGCCAAGGACAAGAATAATTATAGCAAGTGGCTGAAAATCACTTTCTGTACAGAAAGATGACAAAATAATTTCAACCAATCAAATATCAGTAACTTGAGTTGTGATTGTATCACTCTGCTCGAAGGCTCTACTAACTGTTGGGAAGACTAATCTTTGTCCATCTTCAGTTATTACATGAGTTTCAAACATGTTATTGGTGACTATAAGGGGAACAACACCGATCTCTTGATGAGTTTCTTCTTTATGCTTGGTTAGTTCTTTCTTGGAACCAAAAACAAACAAGCACTGACCACAAGTGTGTGCCTTGGAGTTTCCTTCCTCGTGGGTCTTCTGGTGTTTCACAAGGTCATTTTTCTGAATGAACCCTCTACCACACTTGTCACATACAAACGACTTCTCGCCGCTGTGAATTCTAAAGTGAACATTCAGCGCTGCTTTCCTTTGAAAATGTTTCCCACAAACAGTGCATTGGAATTTTCTTTTGCCGCCATGCTTTTCAGAATGTTGATACAGGTTATTTCTTGACCTAAAGCCTTTTCCGCAAGTATCACACCTGGAAGTAAAAAGATAATAGGCATTGCATAATTGAAACAGAGAATATACTGTATATGAAAACTAAGGTTAAAAAGTTGGCTGACGTAGTCAATGATAAATACAATAGTTACCTGTGTAGATGTTTACACACAAGCTGCAGGCAAGTGTGGAAAGTTTCTTGAGTGCAGCAAAGGCACTTTGCACTCGTGTTGCACATCATATTTTCCTGCAGTTACTATTAAGCATAAAAATAATTAGTCTTTCAACCGGTAAACAAAACATTTTAGGTTAGGTTAAATCCAAGCGTTGAACAAAATGGGCAACAACTGCACCAGCTGATTGTAGTCGTAGTATCTTTAAGTGTTGCCAACCTATTTCCAAGTGTACACGGATTAAGTGCATAATAAAAGCACACGTTTTGTATTGTTTTTGGGATATTGCCATTGGTCATTGGTGGACGGCAAAAAAAAGAAGCGTGCGGTAAAAGCAAGTAAATGCAGCAATTAGAAACTTTCTGTTCTATAATCAGAGCAAGGAAGCCAACTTTCTGTTCTATAATCAGAGCAAGGAAGCCCACTTTGTCAGGTGATTGTAGGAAAAATAATTTTTAATACAAGATCTTCTTAAAGCATAATGTAAATGTTGTGAGTAATACGTTTCTTGATTTATGTTTACAAGTCTACACCTCTCTACTCCTACTTAGTACTTTTGTGAGAAGAAAACAAATATGACTGTGCCAGATAGTGTATTCCACTATAAAACTGGTTTAAATAGGTCAAAACTAACTGTAATGTTTAACTTAACCCCATCTATATTGAAGTTTAAACATAAGTTTCCTGAATTTCAGGTTGTAATTTATATTGTAGTTTAAGATAAAATGTTTGTTGGGAATAAAACGTAAGAATTGCAAGTATGTTGATGTTAGACCAATAACATGAGAGCAGAGCAGAGATATGAGAAATTGCTGATCGCATGATAGTCAGATTGTTTGTCTGCATAGCATTGCTTACTTGAAAGGTCTCTCGCCAGTGTGCTTGGTCTCATGTGCTTGCAGCAGTTTGAGCAGCAGGAAGCCCTGACCACAGTGAGCGCAGCGGTGCGGCCGCTCGTCAGAGTGCTGTGAGCGCTGGTGGTACACTAGAGAGCGCTGAGACTGCAACAGCTTGCCACAATCCCCACACTTCACTGTCAAACTGTTGCCACCGTGCACTTTATCCATGTGTGTTGCTAGTATCCTTTTGTTTGTAAATATTTTATCACAAAAATGACATGTGATTAAGTAATCCTGTAAATTAACAACAAAATTAGATATCCTGTAGCCAAAATGGTGTGTTAATTTGGGTAAGATTTATTTTCAGGTTCGTTTTTTCCCAATTACTGAGACATTAAAATTACAAGAATACAGATTACAGAGAAAAAGTTAATGTTCAAAATCGTATTTCTATTGGATTTAAGTATTAAATTTATAAATTGAATGGTTCTGTCAAATAATGTAGAACTTGAAAGTGGTCATTTTGTCAAATGTTGGTAAACACGTAGGGACTACACCACAGGCCTGACCAAAATTTGCAATAATTTCTTTAAAACTTTTCTCAAGGAGATGATGATCATCTTTTTATCATCTGTTTATTAGATACCGAGACCGATACTACTGGTATCGAAATAAAAATATCGATAATATCCAAACGTCCCTACTTCTGAGCTTAACAACAATTTACATGTAGCAATTTTGTCCAAGCTGTATCTCGTTTCCTGTTTGAACAGTGTATTTTGTACCCTTATTTTTGGAAATCCAATTTCGAGGCCAAATAGGTCAGCCTGCACTATGCCGCCACCCTAACCACCGTGCTAAAAGGGACAATGGTGGAATGGTGGCAAGTTGAAGAACTGCTGAACTTATGAACAGAGTTCCCTTGCGACCAAACAATCTTATTGACTTATAAAAATAAAAAAAAAAACAGTCAACAGTCATGTAGTACAGAAAGACAACAATTACTATTTCTAATATATTATTGAGCTGGACGTACCTACCTTGTCTGTAATGAGGTCTTGTTGCAACAGTAGCCTTATCTCCTGTTGACTGTGTTGTCTCCTATGAGAGAGCATCTCACTGTAGGTAGAGAACTGTTGTTTGCACAGGGAGCAGCTGAAGGACCGGCCTTCCTCGTGGGTCTTCATGTGAGCTCTCAGATTAGCCTTGCGAGAACACAGCAGACCACAGTGAGGACATGCCACCTGCACCACAGATCAAACATCAAAGTGACACATGGGAAAAACCTCCTAGTCCTAGATATGTAAGGCCAGGTGCTAACATAAAGAGATGCTACAAAATGCCTAACATCACAAACATAGTAGAACTATGTGCACAGATTTACATGGCATTTAACTGTTGTTTGAAGTCCAGCGCTATCTGAGTTACCTTGGTGTTCTGCTGGTGCACCTGGAGATGTTGTCTCAGCAGGGCTCGGCTGTGGAACTGCTTGTCACATTCTTGACAGTTGTATGGTGTCACGCCCTGGTGAACATTCATGTGCTCTGACAGATGGAAGCTGTACAGGGCAAAAAAAAACATTTAGGTAATAACTAATATTTATATAAACTAAATATATCTAATTTATAAAAATAAAATTAGGTCTTAGCCTTCTTGGTTTTTTTACACCAGCATGATCTTGGACCCGAGTTGGAACATAAGTTAATTCCCAACTGCCCCGGAAGGCTTTTCACACTGGCAACAGGAACTGGGCATTTTCAGGCAAAAACTTAGTAATTTATCAAACCACTTACTTAGTCCTGAAAGACTTGGTACAAATTGTACACTGAAACTTCTTCTTGAGGTTTTCAGGTAGATGAGTGCGCTTGTGGGCGTGTAAGTTTGTCATACTTTTAAATGCTTTGCCACAAACGTGACACAGCACCGATGACGACAACTTCTTTTCTGTCTTCTTAACCTGCAAAGGATTTAGAGTTTCATAACCAAATGATAAACTTGATTCTCCATCTATGTGCCAACATTATTTAGAGAGTTAAATCTAAATTTTTTAAAGAGATATTGTTACAATTTAAAGTTGCATTCCCTAACCTTGACCCTTATTAAACAACTAATAGTTTGGTCTCTATTAACTAATACATAAATATTATGGAAATTAATCTTAGGTCATAAAATAATATATTAATATTTACAAGGCTACAAAGAAGGGACTGTAATAAGTGTGCATTTCTCGATTGATATGAATGCATAATAGTTTCCTGTTTATTTACCCTTATTTATTTACCCTTGTTTATTACCCTTAAGAGTTCTAGTAAATCACCGCCCCACTACGAGGCTTGGTTAAATCACGAAATTCCTAGGTTTTGAGGCTCAAAAATCAAAGATAACATACCTTTTTATTTTTTCCATCTGTTAGGTTTATTGAGCAGTCATTAGCTTTGGGGTTTTCACTATCTAATATTTCTGGTTCTAACCCCTCCCTGAAAATTAACATAAGTAAATAAAGGTATATTTAGTTATAAACTAAAACAATATAACCAGGGTCCATCATATATATTAAAACAAACAAGGTTTTTATTTCACGATTCTGAATCAACCACTTGACGGATATTCATTATTTTCGTGTTGAATGAAAGATAATTTCGAGAACTAGGGAATGTCGAAACCATCATTTTAGTTTAGGGTTTCGGATTTCTATAAATTAAGTTTTAATTTTTACAAAGTCTAGCAGCCGATGCTAACATTCTAGACTAGCTTTTGGAATAATTTCATTTGCTTACCGTAACAGCTGTAAACATACAGCGTTTGTGACACAAATTCAGCATTTGGATGAAAACAAAATGACATACGTAGGGTTGACTTATTTATACTATGTGTAATGCTATAATCATTGATACGTTCATTTATTTGGTATGAGGATGACAGATTATTTAAATATAATAGTAAAATACTAGATGTTTTTAGTAAAATTTTTTGTTTGTTTTATTGCAATATAATTGGTTTTAGCTAACAGCTGGTTGAATATGAAAATATTCTATATAACTATGAGGTTAGTTTATTTACTCTAATTTTTTATTGATTATAGGGAATAAGTATGATTCTATAACCATTGCTGTATACAAATCGAGGCTCTACCCCCGAGTCCTCAAAGGAAAGCTTATGCAAATTATTTTAGTGTTCGTATTTATATGTTTTAATTCATCTTGGCAGTGACAATCTCCAGACTGGGGATCTACATTACTACATTAGAAGAGGCAGGGGAAAGAAGATAGTGGGAGGCCAGAATCCTATCAAAGTTTCAGTGGCCACGGAAGTAAGATAAGATACGATACGGTAAGTTGTGTAGCTACTGTACTCAAAATCAGTGGGTTTGTGGTTAGTGTGTGTGTGTGTGAATCGGCCGCCAATCTCACTCCAAGGCTTTTCAAATCGACACAATCGCGGTTTTATTGTAAAATTATCGGATTAAAAATGCTTATCGTATAGGCCTATAATCGGTTGAAAAAAATAGGTAGTTACGTGCTATTTGTTTACAAGATGATTTTCCTTATTACAACTGCCAGAATTTTTCTTTGTGCGTGTAAACTAGCTGTTCTGAATTGTATTAAGTTTTAATCGACTTCTTGATTCCCGTACATAGGACAGGCCAACAGCTCATAATACATTAAATTAAAATTAATTGTATATTGAGAGAGAGTTTACTACGTTGATAAAAAGCACACTGCACACATCATGTGTGCATACTTTTAGCCACAAAAAGTACTCTGACTAGTGAGAAGCTGTTTCATTGAATTTTGTTTCTTCTATTTGGTTAAATATACAATTGCCGTTTATTACTTTGACAAATTCTCACATGGTGTATCCACTACTACCAAGGCCACACTAAAAACAAGCCGTAATGCTCGTCAATTTTGACGTCACGATAGAAGATAGCCATGACGTAGGTATTTATTTATTTATTTTCCAAGGAAAGATTAACACAAGCAGCTGATCACAAATGGCAAACATTACATCATTGCCATCTTCTAACGTGACGTCATTATTGACAAGCATTACGGCCTGTTTTTTTAGTGTGGCCTTGCTCCTACCCACCGATTTTCAGTACAACAATAATGAATCTTTATCTATTCAAGTCTTGTTATTTTACATACCAAATGTCAATATTTTCTAGTTTACAAAGGTCGTCCTCTTCCTCCTTTTCCTAGAATCAAACAGATTTATAAATATTTCAACATTAACTGGTAAATCCTACACACAGCATAAGCTGATTATTAATTTAACTTTTCATTAGAGGATTATACACAGGCTATGGCTTATAATTATTTGGTCCTCCATAAATATGATTAACTAAAAACAATAATAACTCCATAAAACTCTATTCACTGCAATCTTAAACTGGGTCACTTTGTGCATCAATTATTAATTCTTTTCCATAGCCATACTCAGTTAAGGTGCCAATGACAGAGGAGTGGGGTACAAAAACAGTATTTAGTATTTAGTATTAGGCTTTCCCAAATTAGCTGGTAGGCTAGATTGATTAATGAATCCAGCCACCTGTCTTTCATTGTTTGGCTTTTAATTGACTATTCTACAAATAATCATCTCGTATCAGAAAAAAAGGCATCAAACTAATTACATAATTACCAAGCACTCATATTTGGGTTGAATGTTCATTGCATTGCATGGGTACAGGGCCGAATTACCATATGGGCATGGTAGGCACGAGGCAATTGGCTTTTTTGGGGTGCACCAAAAAATTGGAAAATAAATAAAATGGTGATTGTATTTGCATGAGATCACGGTAAGCTTCTGGTAACCCCTCGCAACCCGTAATCCCTGGACATCGTAATCGACTCCCGCCATAGCGGAAAAATCTATATCATATCCCGCACTTGTCTGAAGATCATCATCGTCTTCTGCCATTGCGGTAAAATTATGACTGTTTCCCACGGTTGTGTTGACATAATAATCGTCTCTTGCGATTGCTGAAAAATGGTTATCACAGATACGTCACGGTTGTCATGCGCGACCGCGGTAAATTGAAAATTCCAGGAAAAACCACAAAATTCCCGGATAATTCCCGGTAAAAAAAAACTCCAGCATAATTCCCAGTTTAACCAGGCGGTGTACACCCTGATATAATATATATTGTGAAGGGGAGCTACCGTACTATTAGTTTTGCATATTAGTTTTGCATGGGTACTAAAATGAGCTAAATCGCTTGAATACCTTCCAACAGACATAATTTGATGGAATTTCAATTTAACCCTTAATCTAGCGCTGGTTCTGTAGGGACTACAGAAAATTGGTTTCTCAGTAGCAGTGGTCCTTGACATGGGGTTAGGTTTTTATATTATTATTAAACCATGAAAACAGTTTTAAACCGCAATGAATCTTATACCATTAGAAAGATGACATTCTGAGGAGGGTGTATTTTCATATATAAAACATTATTAAGTGAGTATTATGTAGCGATAAACATAGTTTGAAAAACTAGAGAATCCAAATTATATTTTGGCGGCGGAACGTTTCCATCACCTGACCATCAAAACAGCTGTTTTTGGCAATCGACAATTGTGTACAAATATTATTACATATTCTGAAACTACAATAAATTCCCTACAATTTATATATCCCCCCAATTGTTGTTTGTAAAAATGTATGTACCGTAGTTTAAAAAATGTCATAAAAATTATGTTTTTTCTTAAAAATTTCAAAATTTTACATTCTGAAGTCAATTACTCAGGATCTTTATGATTCAACTGCATACGGTATAACTATATATTTTTAAAAATACCTTTTATTTCTCTACTATGCAGTACCGGTATCATATTTATTTCCTGTTGATGCATTTAATTATTTCCTATTTAACAAAAAACATTTAAACAAAAAAAAGAAGATGTACAGTATATCAATTTTTTTAATGAGTATTTCAAAAACATTGATATTCCTACGTAGGGAATCATATTTCACACAACCTTTACTTTTAGATTAAATGTGTTAAACAATTTTCTTGTGGATTGGTTTTTAAATTTCTAATGTTCATAATCTGAAAATTTGCAAACCTTTTGATACTACGCTCTAAACGCATACACAAAAAATGTATATATATGTCCTACTTATATTCAGTGTTAGAATTGTAAAAAATTAGGTGACGGAACTATAACCTATTTAATGTAATTTGTACCTATGTATGTACCAATTTAAGCCAATATTTTTATCTTTCTGAAAGGGAGGTACCGGAACTCCGTTCCGCCGCATTCCCCCACAAATCGAGCACTACTTATATTCACAAACAAACTGTTCCGTGGTGAAATATATGTGGACTTAATGACAAATCATAATTCAACAAGTTTTAAACATCTGAAACTCAATACAGTGCGAACCCTTTCCTGACTTATTCTTAGCCCGTGTCCTCTCATTGGTCAATTTCAATGTTAGTGGAGAGGGAAAGACGTTCCGAATCTTCAATGGCCACTTGGTCAGTTTTGCATGTATTATCATCACAGCCATAAACCTTCGAACCGCAATCAGCGCATAAATATATAATTTTTTCCCGTTCAAATACATTAATACGTTGTAAAAGTTGTTTTTTAGTTCTGTTATGAACTTTTTAGACAGTGATTTATTTAATTTTAACTTTCACTTGAACATGTGCTCGAGATCGTGCACTGACTTGTGACTTTTGTCAAAAAAAGGCGTTGTTTCGTTTAGTTTTTACGTACGATCTGGTTTTAAAGTGCTTTGATATTTTGGAGAAAAGTGTATTTTGTGTGATCTTTTGCCATTTTGACTGTACCATAGTCATCGCCCCCCCCCCCCCCAAGAACGTCGCTTCAGTTCCCATAGAAGGCGCCTTCTCCCCCTGCTGAGTCACTCCCCTCGCTGATCCCTGGACCACGTTGCTGAGAGGCCCTGTACCAGCAGCCACAGCTTCCCAAGGACCAAAAGTGCAGTAGTATTATATCAGCTACTGTGCTCCATTCAAAATATTACTTGCACTAATCAATTTACTAAGCAAACGTTATCGTAGAACTTTCATGGTGTTGTTTCTTGACGATCTCATTGACATTTGTAAATTCTGAGAAAAGTGGCACATTGCTGTAACCGAGAACGGTATTTCGTTGCAGTTAACACTTTCTGTCTTGTTGTCCAAGAATTTACTCATTAACTAATTAACGAGCGACTGAGCTTACGTTCGGGAGTAGGTAGATTACAGGCATATTATTCAATATGTTACCACTACAAATGGGCCAAAATATACCCGCCACTGGTGAGTAAAATTACCAATCTGGTTAAGTACAATATTTGCTAAATATGTTACCATTACCTTATTTGGAAGAAACATCTGGTGCAGTTTGAAGGCTGCGCTGTGGCTGGCTTCAAAGAACTGTTGAAAGGTATTGAGCTGAGATATACATTTAAGGCACACTTGCTGGGGCAAACAATCATTCTCCTTTACCTGTAAATAAAAATGCACATAAACATTTATTCAATTTCTAATAACAATTGATTTAATTATTTATCATATTTATTGCACTGTGATTTTCCATACTGACTGATACAGTTCATTTATTTTTTCTCACATTTAATAAGAATTCAATTAAATGCAAATTATTTATAAAAATTTTTTATTAATAAGACAGAATACGATTAAATCTTTAGAAATTAGAAACCAACTACCTAAATCTGGTCATGCTGAAATTAGTCATTGGGCTGTTAGGCTAATATGGGTAAGAATATGTCAATTTTGTTGACTCCCTCTATTTCCGATCCATTCGGTTCAAACATGGCATTTGCATATGACTAATACTCTCATACACGCAAAGCACCTCTTTATCCATAAACAATCCTAGGTTACATAAAAAAACATTACTGTGCACTGAACTGATGTTACTGCTGTAGGTATTCAATTATTTTTTAGTTGAAAAATATTACAGTAAGTAAATTAAGTTACGTCTTAGTAACACTTGAATCATATATTTATACTTATACTGTTTTAACAAGAAGAAATATGGTAGTGAAGATCGATTTTGATTGGATACTCATCATACTAGTCATCAGACATAATATGCGAAAGACCTGAAATACAGTAACTTATGACGGGTGTTTATAGGCATAATTTATTTACTTTCCGTAAAAATTTACAACTCCTTATATGCTGATCAAGAAGTTATTTTAAAATGTTGTACACATGATGAATGGTTTTAAAGTGGTTCCCGTAATTGAGGTGTGATGGTTTAAGATATTCATTGTTTAGAGATGGGTCCAGTCCCAAGATGTCTAACAAAAGCAGTCTAGTAACTTATTAGTAAGGCAAGCCTAATAAGAAAAGGGATTGGATAATTTTCTTTCAAAACTTAAAAATGTAGCTGTTATTATTATGTTTATTATCGTTAAGTAGGCCTAAGACAATGTTATTTTTGTAGTCCTACACACTATTGTAGAATGATGAAAAATATTATTTTAAGCAAATTCTCTTAATTTGATAATTAAATGAATCAAAATACTATCACCTTTAAATGTATATGATCCTGGATCTTCTTTTCTAATGCCATGCCAATCCCATCCTCACTATATATAAGAATAAGATTGTGACCTGCGGTCTCCAATCCACACACTCTGCAGTATTGTTCAATGGACAGAGCTGTTAAAATAAATAAAAATTACTCAGCAAGTGTAAAATATAGATGAGTTAGTTGGACAGTGATGACATGTTTGACCATAAAGGTTGATGGCAAAAGAAGTATCTGTCTTACAAATCCATCTATACATCCCACACACTATTTCAGAAGATTTAGGCCTACAACTAACTAGCGGCTAGTTGCACATCCCGTGCTTCGCAACAGGATGAAAATACTTAAGAGAATATATTGTGGGTCTTAAAAACAAATGTAAAAAAAACAGTTAACATGCACCCACCTTTGTCTATTGAGACAAAACTCAATAGTATAGTAATTATTGCTTTTTTTAATGAAGATCTATTTGGTTTATGTATTTTAAGCAGTGTATCATAATCAAAATTAATAACTTGATCGCAACATAGAAAAGATATGAGTCAAAATGTCAACTCAGGGCCAGGGAGCCCATAAACCCAGGAAACCCATATGAATACAAAAATAACAGTTCATGCATCTTCAATATTTTAAATATGATTAAATACTGGTACAGCCTTTAATGTGGGGTTCGTCACTTAACAGAAAGTTTATCAAGTTCATATTTTTCAGGGAAATTTCGGGGAAAGATCTTTCATTCAAGTATGAGGTTTAGGGTTTTCTTAAAAGTTTGTGATCCTTATTAGCTTTATACATAGATTCCGTGATATTGTCATTAATGTCAAACTAGGTGAATTCGCACGAAAATAAATTAGGATATTATAGCAACGTCGTTAGAAGTTGCGTCGTTGTATCGAGATTGGTCTTGAGCTCGATCGTTGGCTATATGCATTCTAAGTTCTTTTTGCTGTTCAATAGGAGTATAGTTTGCAGGACCGAGCTCATCATGCTGACAACTTGTGCGTATGGATTAATATCAACCAAATGTTGAGTAAAATGTGCATGAGCTCAGTGCTGCAAGAGCCATTAGCTTTGATTGGCATTCTTTCTTGAACAGTGGTTTCGACGTCCGTACATATAAATTTGGGCATATGTGGGATGCTCCCCTTCTGACGGTTGAAAGGTGGCAAATGGGTGATAAATACCTTATAGGTACATGAAAGGCCCTCCACCGTTATGTTCTTCAATTTTAGCTCGAGTGCTGACCATTGCGAGCGCAGAGTTGTGTGATCTAATGTCCTCTTTGTAGTTTCTGCTCAAATGATTTGCTCCATTAAGTAGGATCTGGATATAATAGATTTCTCGGTATGGAGGTAGCTCGGTTCCTTTATGGCAGCAGGATGAAAATGCTTCGCCTCGTCCTCTTTGTTCTTCTTTAAAATGTAGCGCACCACATTTCTGACATTTTAATGCCATCTCACCAAGTGAATGCTGCTGAATTCTTGTATTTGTCAGTGTAATTTTGTAAGCACACGTTATTGCCACTAACTGTTAAAGCTCCTCGGCTCGGCTCCTTACGTTTTTCATTGCTTGCCATATATTGACTTGCCGTGTCCGACCAAGGCCCCACTGGTCCGACCGGCAATATTTCTTTGTCGTCGGGTCCCTTGCATGTTTAAACGAAAATATAATGTAAAACATGTTTTTCGTCATATAATAACATTTCTTTGCTGGGGTTCTAATTATTTTTAAAAACATGCAAACTATTTACATTTCAAAACCAAACAAAACAGCTGGGATTTAATTTTTTTTACTAATGTATTGACATCTGTTTCGTTTCAGAATATAATAACATTCAAATCAATCACAATGTTATCCTTATGGAAGGAACTTTGAGGGCAGCCCACGCCCTTAAAAAGGTATATTTCGAAAAACTAAAGCCAGTTTGCACATCTATACACCTAGAGGAACATTTTGGTATATAATATGTGGTGTTAAATCTTAAAACAAAAAAGCCTTATTGTTAACAAAGTTTCATGTCGCGTATTAAATATATAATAGATATTTGAAGAATTTGGTGAATATTTGAGTCTGACAAAGGCAGTTAAGGAGTGCTTAGCTTACACACACATGTTAACTTAATCTTACCAAGCTTTGTCGTATGCCAACCTGTTATGGAGATAACCTTGTTTATGGATATATTTTAATCAAATTTGGCAAATTTGTTTATTTCAAACAAAGCTATCATCATTTCAATAAAAAGCACACCTCAATACCTTCCCTGCAGCAGGAAATCTATAGGTACTTATTAAAATACAGCCCCCACTATCCCGTACACCTCCTTTTAGCCTATCTAATTTCCACATAGGGAATAAGCTATTACTGCAGGTCTCATGGTGACTTAACTTTATTTTTAAAATATTCCCCTGACTTTTGGCCTTTTTTAAAAACTTTCCCTGACTTTCCAGGTCCTTGGGAACCCTGTACTTATAAACATTTTGACATAACTCCAATTATTGAAGATGGAAACTGTTTATTCAGAAGTGTTTCCTATTGTTTACATGGAAAACATGATATTCAACCAAAGTGTGTTAGTAAGGTAACAAAACAATGGCATCTATACAGGGACTACATAATAGCAATAGGCGATCTGACATACGGACAAAACTTTAAGATATTATGGAATTCAACTGTTTACGATAGAGTTATGACTGTTTTTGGCAAGTTGGGAAAGTTAGTCAAAAATTTTAACTAGTTAGAAGTTATTAGTTAGTTCAGTAAAAAATAACTGATAAGTTAGTTAGTTTAAAAAGTAACTGATAGAAGTTATTAGATTAGTTAGTTTTAAAACTAACTTAAAATTCATTAATAGCCCCGGAACTGTAATAATGACTAATAATAATGGTTTTTTATTACACCTGTCGTCAGTTCCAAATATTTATTGTATATTATTTGGAACTGACAACAGGTAATAAAAAACCATTATTAGTTAAAACTAACGAATAAAATAGAAGTTAGCCAAAAAAACTAACGAATATTGCTATTCGTTAGAATTTCTATTCGTTATTCCCAATTATGGTTTTTCGACAATATGCTGGACATGTTGAGTTGTGTAGTTTAAAAAAAAAGTGATTTGTATCCCGATTGTGTCTTCAAAGTACATTGTGCAACAACCAATATTGTATATGACTATGGTAATGGACTCATGAGGTATAATTTACACTTCACTGGGGGTGTTGACAATGGTCATCTTATATATTAAAAAACTTTTGCAAAACTTATGACAGCTAGCCTGACCATACTACTGAACCGAATTACACACGGGGTTGTACTTAAAGAAAGGTTCTCGGTCCTATATGTGCAGGTTTTATTTGCATTTTGAGAATATTTATGTTTTGTTAATTGGGTCAAAAATGGAAATTCAACTTTTCTCATACAGATTTAACATGGGTTAAACTCTAGGCCTATATATTAAATAGACAAGCACGTTTCTTGAAAACTTTTATTCTCAGCTCCTGTGCATCGCAGGGAAAATCTATGCAAACTGTTAGAAATATATTTCCCTGTAGATGTGCAAAATCCCTTTATAAATTAAAATAGGCTAAAAAAGCACAAAACATTAATTTAAAATTCTTAAAAATTAACATGGACAAACCAATATGGCAAACCATGTTGGTGACAAAATAACAACAAAATATAAGCAGGAAAATTAAAACAAATGGAAGAAATCCCAATCACATGTTAAAAAACAGCCTGGGGTGAAAATAGAGAAGTTTGCACAATACATACTATTGGTCGAGAGTTTTCCACCATGGGGCGAGCTCTAGTAGCCTATTATAATAGGCCTAATATAATTTTGTCAACCCTACAAATGCATCTGGTTTCAATTGAAGTACTTACCTTGAGCCATTTAAAAAAGTTAGCCTAGTGTATTTTATCAAGTAACTGCAATCTGCATAGTCGACAACTAGAACAAAAAAAATTTGCTGTTAATAGAAAGTAAAGGCAAAAACACATTATGTTCTTGTAGAGGAAGATATTATATGTAAGCTAAGGCTACTAGAAAAGACAAGGTGAATCATAAACACAAACAAATGATGTTAACTTACTGGCCAGAAAGATTTAGGATTGCTTAACTTAAATGGAACTGTCTCTTAACCATATGTTAATGTTATTAGTATAAGGATTCGGGCCAGTTACATCATTTTCACTTTCTCCTATGGAGAGTGGACATATTTGTATTAGTCCCTCTGGACCCAAAAAAATTGTTTTTGAAGTGATGTCTGTGTGTGTGTCTGTATGCGTGGATGTGTAAAGAGCTACTACCTAGACACCTGTGGTTCGATTTGATGAAATTTGGTATGTAATGTAGGTACTAATCCATGGTACCTCCAGGGATTTTTTTTAACTTTTTTGAAATTTTGTTTTTTAGTGGTTATTTAAGAAAAACATAAAATAACAGAAAAGTTTGATTTTTTTGAAAATGTCAGAAACAATTTTGATAAAAATGTAATAGGCCCTAGGCTATATTGTAGCCCTTTAAATTGTGAACAAAATGGTATAAAACTCCCATTCCTGCAAAAATTATGGTTCAAAAGTTAATACAGCTTTTGTGAGTTTAACTTACCTACAAAAAAATAACATAGGTAGTTAGTTAATCGCATCCCTTACCCATGCTATATATTAGGTTGTTGACAAGCTAATGGGAGAAAGTACGTGTCAGATAGGTACCGTTTATTTATGTTTATGATCCATACCAGTTTCTATTTTAATATTTTTGATATCTACTAGCCTATGCAGAAATGCCGCTTGCTTCTTTAAAATCAAATTTTCATCTGGATATCTAAGATTGAATCTTACCCATCGAAGTAAATAATACAACGTCTATAGTAGCCTACATACTATAAGCTAGCCTACATGTTAAATTAAATGCTAAGTTAGAACAAAAGCATTTAGGTGAGTTGGATTGTGTCAATTTATACTTGTACTAAGATATAAGAAAAGAATGTATAGGCTACAAAAAAGGTTATAGGCCTACTTAGGGCTTCACTTTACTTTAAGTCCTAGACACTCATTTGAATGAAAATATCAATCGATATAGGTATCAATTATTTTCAATTGATTTTTAATATCATTTTAAATTATATATCAGCTGTAATTATGATCAGTTAAGGTAGTTTATCTTAAATTTGTAAATTAAAATCTACCTGATTTTCACCTCGTATTCTAACTTTCATATCTTCGTTACAGACCTCACATTTAGGAGTAGGCCTACGGTAGGCTATCATGTACTAATCCTTGATCTTGCATCCATTTGAAACAATTTTTAGGACTACACCAAATACTCTGACTTAATTCTCGATGATAATTCATGGTGAAGTTCTTTAAAAATGACTTATAGCCTACAAACAAAAACAATGAAGAAAACAAAAATGTAAATATTAAAACATAAACAATGCAATAATCGATGTATAGAATACCGCATTCAAAAAAGTGAGTAATCATAATATTGATTAATCGATATTGAATAATCGATATAGGCCTATCAATCGGTATTTTCATTCAAATTAATGTAGGACGTAAAGTAAAGTGCAGCCCTACTTGGGACCCAGACTTGTGTTGCAGCTTTGCTAATCCTCCCTTGTAACAGAATCAGAATCTTTATTGTCAGTTAACATTTTCACAAATGTTTTGAGGGGTTTCACAGTTTGTAGTCCGGTGGCTTAGTGTAATTACCGTTACCTGGCGGATAAAAGCATCAAATTTGGTATGAAGGTACCTTAGGGTATACTAATAAATTTTAGCCTAGGAGCCCTTTTAAAATTTTAAATATTTCCATACACGGCACCAAAATCCAAAATGGCCGATAAATACGACAAAAACTACTTTTAAAACAATCCATTCTGCTGTTAACTCTAAAATATAACTTAAATCCACCCAAGACTCTACAATACAAACCGGAGACATACTAAATTATATGAAAGAAATCTTATGTGTGTCTGTGTGTGAGTGGGTGGGGGTATGCGTGTGAGTATTTATGTAACGAAACCTGTACTGGACATTGCGCAAAAATGGTCAAACCAATTTACTGCAAATTTGGTGTGGACTTTGTTAGTATCATGTGTCAACATTTAGATCTGTTTCCTTTTATTTATCTATTTTTATAATTTTATTTTGTTTATTTTTACAATTTTCATCTTTTTTAGCGAATTTCCCTATAGGGAAGTAGCTATTACCGTAGGTCTCATGGTAAGACTTAGGCCCGGGACCGATTTACTTTTTCATTTTGATGTCCCCAGAGGCCAAAAACACCATTCGTTCAAATTTTTATATATGTATATATATATAGATATATATATAGATTTATATATATATATATGTGTCCGTGAACACGATAACTTGAGTAATTTTTATCCGATTTCGATGAAATTTGGTTTGAAGGTGTAAGGCGGGATAAACTTGAATGAGTTCGCGATCCAGCATGATCAGACCATGGGAACAGGGTTTTATGGGGGGTTTTATGGGGTAAAAATTGGTTTTTCTCACTTTTGACTCTCAAAACACAAAATTTCCCAATTTTTCTCTAAACTTTCTTAAAGAGCTTAAAAAAACAAACAATTCAGTATATCAAAGTGTTTTTGTACGGTTATTGGTTACGGAGAAAACTAAAAAAATGGTAAATTTAAAATTCCCATGTTATTCTTATGGAGAATATTGTAAAATGTTGTAGTTTGCTTGTTTATGGATATATTTTGATCAAACTTGGCAAATTTATTTATTTAATAGTAAGCTATCAATATTTTACTAAAAACACACTTTATTAGTTTCCTTGTAGCAGCAAACCTAGGTACTCGTTAAACCTAATGTTATTTAAATAGATCAATTGAAAATCAATTCAGCCAAATGGAAATTCGCTTAGACGGCAGGTTTGCTGCGGCGGGGGTATTTTTAGATCTACAGAGTTAGGCATAAGTATGGAAACCCCCAGTTAACTTTTTAATGCGTTGCAGTAGGAAAACCAAACTCGGCATATATTTACAAAATAAAAAATTGCACTTTTTCATCAAAATTACCACTTTGCCTCAGCCCCCAAAATGGGGTATTTTGGGGGCAGCCCCAAATGTTCAAATGTAAACACCAATCATGTGACCACTCATTTTAAAGTAGTGATGTGACGAGTCGAGTACTTTCCCAACTCGAGTCAATTCGACTCGATACCACAACTACTCGAGTCGGTACTCGAGTACTGGACTCGATTCTTGCCTGTATACTGTATAGCACCGAAGCTGCTCGTAGCTGCCGTGCGAATACTGGAAATGGAACTTGTTTGACTCGGACTCGAGTCCCTTTACTCGAGTCGGACAGACTTGGCTCGGACTCGTTTTATACTCTGTGTAGATTTAAGATGAGAGCGATTCATCTCACATTGAGTTGATAATTAATTATGGATTTTATTCGTTATTATAAAACTTAGATTAATAACAGTCTAATAGTGTCTTGACCCGAGTAAGCAAATTACTCGAGCGCTATGTACTCGTAGCGGATAGTTTTGAAACTATATCTTAAACATTTTAGCAGTGTATTAATACGAATTGTCAGTGTCAAGCACACAAGCGCTGTCGACTCGTAGTGGCAAAATCTGGAACAACATCCGAGTCTCGACTCGAGTAGACGAGTATTAAATGCACCCAACCCAAGCGCTATGGACTCGTAGCGGCGGATCTAGCAAGCTTTAGTTCACGAGTAATAGTACTCGAGTATCGCCGATTTGGTATCGAGTCGACTCGATACTTCATTGGACTCGATACTTAACGAGTCAAGTACTCGACTCGTCACATCACTATTTTAAAGGGTTTATCAAGAGAAGTTGAATGGTGCAAACCAGAGGTCAATATCCCACTCCAAATCGAAATGGCAGCCATTTTAATTATTCAAGATGAGCAAGCAAAAAATAAAGTCTTGACAATCCCAGTTACTTTAAAAATTTAATTATTTAATACTGACCAAAAGGTGAATTATCTTTTTTTATAAAGGTATGTAGAGTTTAGTGTTCCAGCTATAACCTGTTAAAAAGTTAATAAGGTATATTTCAAAATGACTGCCATTTTGATTAGGGGGGAATATCTTGGTGTCATACTGGACCGCACACTGACATTAAGGCACATTGTATTGCGACAAGAGGTAAAGTCTCAGCGAGGAATAATATCATCAGGAAGCTCACCAGCAGATGCTGGGGTGCTAACCCTAATGTCCTCAGAACCTCAGCTTTAGCGCTCAGTGTGTCGGCTGCGGAGTACGCTGTACCAGTATGGAATGCATCGCCACTTGCAAAAAAGGTTGACATTGCTGTCAATGACATGGCTCGGATTGTAACTGGGTGTTTAAAACCAACCCCAGTACACAAACTCTATCCTATCATAGGGATCACTCCTCCATCAATCCGACGTGATGTCGCTGCCGACGCAGAAAGGACTAAGCAAGAGACAGACCCTCGTCACCCATTACACGGCCACCAACCTGCAGAGCGACGGCATCGGTCCAGAAAGAGCTTTTTATCACGGACACGAGTCCTGGATGGACCACTCTCAAGCAATCGGGTGGCAAGGTGGTAGGCCACGTTGACTAACCCTTCCTTACCAGCCAGGAAGGAACTTATGGCTCCTGGTGGAGGCCTTCATTACACGGTGTGGAAGACCCTAAATCGAATTAGGGTCGAGGTACCAAAATGCAAGACAAACATGCAGAAATGGGGTCTCTTACCACACGAAGAAAACATTTTGTGCGCGTGTGGTGCTGTTCAGGATCCTGGCCATCTGCTGATCTGCCCACGCCTAGACCAGTCTTGCACTTTAGATGATCTTTTACATGCGAATGACAAAGCCATATCGGTAGCTATTTTTTGGAAAAGCAGAGTCTGATTTCCGGACACGGAAAGTAAGCAAGTAGTATTAGGGGGGGGGGGGGGGGGCAATATTGACTTCTAGTTTGCGCCATTTAACTTGTCTTGAGAAACCCTTTAAAATGAGGGGTCACATGATAGGTGTTTACATTTGAAAATTTGGGACTGCCCCTAAATACCCCATATTGGGAGCCGGGTACAAGTTCTAACAGTAATGAAAAAGTGATTTTTTTTTATGTTGTAATCATGTGTCGAGTTTGGTTTTCCCCCTGCCACACGTTATAAAGTTAACTGGATGTGTCCAGACTTTTATCTTTAATTTGCTTGCTCATCTTAAATTAAAATGGCTGCCTTTTTGATTAGGGGTGCGATATTGACCTCTGGTTTTCACCATTCAATTTATCTTGATAAACCCTTTAAAATGAGTGGTCACATGATAGGTTTTTAAGTTTAAAAATTTGGGGCTGCCCCAAAATATTCCATTTTGGGGGCTGAGGCAAAATTATTGTAACTTTGATGAAAAATTGCAATTTTTATTTTGTAAATATATGCCGAGTTTGGTTTTCCTACTGCAACGCGTTAATAAGTTAACTGGGGGGTTCCATACTTTTGCCTAACCCTGTAGATCTATAAAAAAACAAAAATATATGAAAATTGTAAAAATAAACAAAATAAAATTATAAAAATAGATAAATAAAAGGAAACAGATCTAAATGTTGACATATGATACTAACAAAGTCCACACCAAATTTGCAGTAAATTGGTTTGACCATTTTTGCGCAATGTCCAGTACAGGTTTCGTTACATAAATACTCACACACATACCCCCACCCACTCACACCCAGACACACATAAGATTTCATTCATATAATTTAGTATGTCTCCGGTTTGTAAATTGTAGAGTCTTGGTTGGATTTAAGTTATATTTTAGAGTTAACAGCAGAATTGATTGTTTTAAAGGTAGTTTTTGTCTATTTGTCGGCCATTTTGGATTTTGGTGCAGTGTATGGAAATATATAAAATTTCAAACGCAGAGGATACGCGTCCGGTAACCGGACGTGGATTAGGCGTCTGGCAGTTACTGTCATAACCTAACCTAACCAACCAAACTTGCTGATAATTAAAAAATCAAATGAAGGTTCAATTCTCTTCATAACATAAAATTATAAATGCCAAAAATTCTAACAAAAGATGTACAGTTAAGAAGAAATTACATTCAAAGCAAAATCTGTGACAAAAAGTTAAAGAAACCCATGGGTTTCGAACCAGGGACCTCTAGGATATCAGCCGAGCACTCTATCCACAACACCACGGACAACGCTGACCGAACATCGTATCGTTGTGGTAATGGCGTTCCGGGACCCCACAACCCGGTGACGTCACTACCGGACGCCTAATCCACGTCTGGTTACCGGACGCGTATCCTCTGTGAATTTCAAAAGGGCTCCTAGGCTAAAACTTATTAGTAGGATACCCTAAGGTACCTTTATGCCAAATTTGGTGCTTTTATCCGCCAGGTAACGGTATTCGTAAACTAAAGCCCTAAGCCACTGGACTATTGGGACAAATTCAGTACACTATCAATGAATAGGATACAAACCCTTTTGTATTCATTTGTGCTAGCCTATTCAGTCATTCAATTGGGAATTGGTTTATAGGGCCAAAGAATGATTCTTATCCAAATAAAAAATTAATTAGCTTGAAAATAATATGAATCTACAATCACAATCATAGGCAAAACCTACTTACTGCAAACTTTTTTACTTTCAAACGCTGTACAGTCCCACTTCAATTAAGTTATAATATAAATACAGTTGACTCAAATGTCAATTATTTAAGTTAACCTATATCCGGCATCCAATTTCCAACTATGGGCACATTTTGTATTTCTATTATGAAAAATAAACCTTGAAGGTATATTTATTTGATAAGATAACGTAACGTACACGTTGCCACTCTTGCTTTGCTTTACTTGACACTTGACAGATAAAGGTGACAGATGATCATATCAAATCAGATTGGGATTAGATTAGATAGAATGATTAGATTTTTTTAAATACTCTTTTTTATTTTCTGATTCGTCAAATAAGGCTAGCAAAACAATATTTGACCATGCAACTGTGAGATTTCCATTTTTATTTTGGTGGTCCATGACAATCTTTATTAATGTGTCTTTATTAATGTGTGGTTTGACACGGTAAGTAAACTATGTTTGTAAGTTTCATTGGGTGAGCATGTTTTCCATTATAAATATGGGTTTATAGTATGTATTTTTTGTTAAACAACAATTCAGTTTTTAGCGAATTTCCAAAATAGAAATTAGCTATTACCCCGTAGGTCTCATGGTAAGACCTGGACCCGGGGGCCGATTTGCTTTTCGTTTTGAAGCCTAAGGGGGCCAAAAACACAATCCGTTAGAATTATTATCCCTTCGTGGTAATTAGACTACACTTAAGAGTGTTAGGAATATAAAAGAGGATCTCCTGCCTTATTTTAGAAATGGTTAGTCACAGGTTGAATGGAGTTTTGCACTGCAGTTTAAGGAACCTGGACTAGCTTTTGAACTGTTTTTCAACCAAATGAATGCCATTTTCAATGAATATTTCCCAGCCAAGATCTTGAACAAAAATAATAATAAATCAACCAATAAAGTCAAAAATTCAAACCTAGAAACTAAGACATGATGATATACTCCAGACCAGAGCTTGCTAGATATAAGCATTGACCATAATATATAGTCAATTATATTAGGACTTGGTCTTAGCATAGATAAAACATACTCACTCCCTTGTGTTGCTTTAGTCTATGGTCTTAGCTGTAAGAGATAGATATTTTATCTGCTACAGGTCAATAACCTAAAGGCTAAAAATTCTAATAAACTTAAGGTTAATTTAGCTAAAAAAAAAACAAAACAGGGAAATAAAAAAGTGAATCTGACATGAACCCCTGCAAGGCTGCGTGGTCATTGGTAAACGAATCTAGAGGCATTCCAACATCCAAAACTGTAAGGTGTAATGCTAGTCCAGATATGACTTTTTATTGCTTTTTTGCTGGGAAATGTAGAGCGTGTCTTAAACACAATCCCCGAAACAAACCAATTAAGATCTCTCACTTAATGTCAGACGGGTACCCCCAACCATTGGCCTAACACAATGGAAACCTATCGACCAAAGGGACATAATAAGGATTGTGTCCAGGCTTAAGTCGTCCAAAACCAAGATGAATAAAATGAATAATGAATAAATGATTTTATTTGCATCAAAAATCACAAGGTATAAACCATTATAATATTGGAAATATAACTGACCACTTTAGATATATTTTGGTATGACCAAAATAATAGTCCTGAAGGCCATTTTGTAAATGAAATTGCAGAGCCACTAGCCAGTACACTTAACCAATGTCTGAGAGTAAGTGTCTTTCCCAACATATCAAAGATGGCCCGTACCGTTCCTGTGTACAAAAAGAGGAAACTTCCACTTTTGTTTTAAATCAATTAAATATCTGTAACGTAACTATATTTCTTTACTCAAATGTTTTAAATTATGTTGTAAATTAATACAAATATACGTACACGTTTTGAACTATGGAACAGAACAAGTTAAAATAATAACTGTTATGTATTATGTTGAAACTATATTTAAATTGATAAAATATGTGCCCTGATTAACAATAATAATAATAGTGGTTGACTTTGTAACAAAAGGTAATACAAGTTTTCCATTATAGTTTATTTTTTTTACACACTGAGCTGCATGTAAAGATTGAACTTTGAAAAAAGCTCAGTAGTACAGGCCACAGGGTAAAACATATCAATTATATGTGAAATCAATATAAACGGGTCTTTGCTTTATTGCAGTGCCTATGTTGATGTGATAATTTTTTCCTTCTTTACTTTATATGTACGTTTTTTTTTTTCAACGAAATAAATGTTTAAGTAAGCTTATCATTTGAAAACTTAATCGTAAAGGGACATTATTTCCATCATATCAATCAGCGAATCATATCATTCGTACTAGATAGTAGATAGTAGTAGATAGCCTTACAAGCTACTTCATATTGTAGTTGTTTTTCTAAACCACGTTAGCTAATCAATAAAGGGTACCTGCAGACTGCCTTGTGGGTTTTGTTAATCCAGTAGGATTACGTACGTTTCGGCAAATACTGATACTGTTACTGTTGAATGAAATGGCGACCATACATAGTAGGTATTTTAAGCCAAGTATGAATGGAGATGAGTATAGGATGAATGGCGCGATCTTGTAGTCTTGTTAGTGACTAAGGCTGACATTCCTTAGACACAGCTGTTAATTAATAGCCCATACAGCTAATGGCAACTAAGGGACCTACAGTTTATAGTGGAATCCGAACCACATTATTCCTTGTTATATACGAATTGGTCTAATTATCAGGATAATACTGCATTAGTCGTAGGTAGTACTCACTCGTGCGGACGTTAATCCACACCAGGGAGTATCACATCCACAGTGCATGCCTATAAATATCTATATAGGCAATAATAATAATAATAAATATATTGCCATCATCATTTAATCAAATCCAGGACTTGAAAATTAAAATCTTGATTCTTCGACACACATGGTCACGTCAGAGTTTAAAATCGAACACATACACAAAACGAACATTAAATACATGTAGGCCTACTATTAAAACACCGAACAGGATATAATATGATGCAAGCATCTCTCTTGCCGAGTCTCGACTCACCTAAAATTAATTTTAAATGAATCAACCCCCTTCAAGTGACACCTCATTTTGAAGAGTTTACAATAACTTAAAGAATGGTGAAAACTAGAGTTAGCTATCTCTTTTCTATCCAAAATGGTAGCCAATATTACAATTACATTGATTTTTCTTATCAGATGTCAGACGTACATACATTTGATGGTCTTTCATGAGGGAGTATGTTTTATCCATAGACAAAAGAAATAAAGGTCTTTGGTTTTATCACAGATAAAACATAATATGGTTTTATCTATGGTAGTATAACCGTATAACTTTTCGTCATTATTATCCAGAGACGTAAAAAACAGGAATTGAGACTTTCGTTGTGGCGTGCCCTGCCCCCGTCCCTTGCCATGGCATTTTCTTGATTTTTGCCTATTGCCTGGCTGCTGGCTGGCGGGCCGCTGTTGAATCGAATCGGGCAATTGGGTTGGGTTCTGGTTCTGTTCTGTTCTACTGGGTTTGGGTTTGGTTTGGGTTCAAGATCTGGAAAAGTTGTTGTCAAAAGATGGCGTCCAAAAATTCAGACTTGGTAAGTTATAATTACTAACTTATTTGCAATTTATCTTAGTATTAATTCTAATCTGGCTTCTAAAGAACAATTAGGTTATGTATATATGCTAACTGATTATTATGTCAAAGCCATTATAGGTTAACTCATCGGTATATGCATTTTAACACTGTGCCTAAGTTAGGCTATGTTTTTCCCGACACGCCCATAAGACCAATATTGATGAGGTCTCTAAACATTGCTGAACTTAATTGCAAGGAAATAGTCGATTATCAATTATGATTTCTAATGGGCCTAATCATTTAATTTTACAACTTAAGTTTCTGATTTGGGAGTATTTCATTTGGTCCAAAATCGTTTGGTCCACAAGTTGTAAAACAGTTCGTTTGGTCCAAAATCGTTTGGTCCACAAGTTTTAAAACAGTTCGTTTGGTCCAAAATCGTTTTATGATCCAGTTGGGGAGTATTTCATTTGGTCCAAAATCGTTTGGTCCACAAGTTGTAAAACAGTTCGTTTGGTCCAAAATCGTTTGGTCCACAAGTTTTAAAACAGTTCGTTTGGTCCAAAATCGTTTGGTCCACAAGTTTTAAAACAGTTCGTTTGGTCCAAAATCGTTTGGTCCAAAAGTACAGGCAAAACCAGAATTACAATTGTGTATTGTGGAGTAAACTTATGAAATAGACTGTACGTTTCACTGTGGACCATTCGATCGGGTCGTTTTATTCAACACTCTATTACGAGTTCGTTTGGTCCAAAAGTATGAACTATTGCGTCCCTCACATAGAAGGCGTTCAAATAATCGCCGTCACGTCGTCAACCCAACCGCCTGCCTTCCGAGGCCTATTATTTGTTGTTTTGTGATATGTTTCTAAATAATATATATGTTTGCATTTCTAAACACGTACATATACATATATTTATTTATATATAATGTGTTTGTGTAATGTTTACTTTTTATCCCCAGTCAATCTTAAAACAACGCGTTTTAATTCCCTAGATTTGTGGATAAATATTGACTTTGCTTTGAGTTTGCATTTAATGTCAAACAGATGGTTTATTTTTTAATCTTACTAATATTATAAATCTAAAAGTTTGTGAGTTTGTGTGTGTGTTTGTGTGTGTGTGTGTTGCTCAATCACGCATAAACTACTGGACGGATTGGGCTTAAATTTGGCATGTTAATAGCTCACATTCCCGATTAATATTAAAGCATATTATTATCCCAAAAATCCTTTCGGGCTCCGCCCCAGTGGCTCTACTGGCTCAGATGCTACTGCAAACCATCTGTCAAGATATAGGTACTACTGTAATTTAAGGTTTCTGTGTTTGGATGTTATTAGACACGATAAGAGCACACTGATCTTCTTCTGCAGATGAACAATCTGTTGGTTACGAGAAATATAAGCCGAATTAATAAATGCCACAATTCAAGCGCATTAAATTGACTTTGGTCTGAGAAACTATTTATAGTATGGAGTTTGGGCCTTTTTGATGTCACCATCTGGGTAAGTAACTTTGAGAGATCAATAATTTTTGTTGCTGAGTAGCGCCAGTAAACATGCGCATCACTTCTTTAGTTGAATAACATTCACTGACTCCATTGTGTATTCTTTCACTAAGCTGAATGAATGCATCAAAGTAAACTCTCTAAAAGTATGTAATAAACTGGAATTTAGGATTAATAACTTTCTATAACTTATCAT